AGCAAAATATTGATGGTGCCCTAAGCAATCCACAAAATGAGAAACTTAACTGTAGCCATCGAGGAGTGAGATTCGGTCTGTCAAGTGGGTCCTGACCCTTCCCAGGCCTAACCCATCTGGGTTGCTCAGCCTAGAAAAGTAGGAGCTGGGTCCGCATAAAAGGAGGAAATGTTGGGGAAGGAAGGAGGGTAGAGAAGGGAGGGTAGAGGGAGGGAGATAAGCCGCACTTGTTGGGGCCTTGCGTGGAGTATTCCAAAGAAGGGAGGTGGGAAAATCAGTTCAGGCTCTGGTGGAGGGAGGCCCAAAGTAGGGGGAGAGTCAGGGACCTAACAGCCCTCTTTCTCTGTGCCTGAGTATTGATTGGGTGCCCTCCAGTGGCACCTCAGCCCTTGCTCAGTCTAGCAGAGACATCAAAAGAGGTAGGGAAGAGGTGGGAGGTCCCAACAGGTGAGACTGGCTGGAAGAAGGCAGGGCAAGGTTAGGAACTGTAAGGGGTACAGAACACCCCCCCAAGGACAATGGTGACTGAAGGCAGCTTGGCATTGACATTGAGACTGGACAAATGCTGGGCATTCAAAGGGCTGCATGTGCAAGCACTGGGGACTTGAAATTCTCAGATTTCTGGGACAGGAGCAGCTGCTGCCTCCCAAGCCAGCCCCAAGGAGAGAAGAGGGTAGCCCAGTAGCTTTGCTAGTTGGAGCTGGGAAGCCTGGAGTGTGGAGGTGCTCCCCACCACCCAGCTCTATCCTCTCTTGGAGTGAGAGGGTGTTAAGCTGCCTGTCAAGTGTCGATCCTTGCAGCTCAAGTCCCTCGAATGACTGCTGGAAACGCCCCCAGCACAACAACCGCGGTGACAAGGCTTCACATTGCCCGGTGCACGCCGACCGGGCACTGCCCGACTGCGCCTAACCGCTGCCTCCCGGACCCCTCCGGCTGCAAGAAGAAGCAGAGGCGACAGAGGCGCCTAGACACACTTTATTCCGATATTCCCCCTGCGAAGGCGGTGGAGCGAAGCGTAAGCCTCAGGGATGGTCGTCCTCAGCAAGGAGGGTCCCGGGGGTGCTGTGCAAGCGCCCCCCCCCGCCCCCCGCAACCTTTGCGGCCAACTCAGACGAAGCCTCGGAAGGGTTCTGCCTGTTTTGCTGACCAGATCTCCTTGTTAGCCGTTTCCGCCTGACAAGCCTGGCGCGGGCGTCGGCCTTCTCCTCTCCGGGTGGCCACCTCCAAAAGCCGCGCGGGGAGCGATAGGGCCAGGCCCGGCGGAGAGCTGCCTGGACCTTGAAGTTTGGAAAAACAAGAAGAGACTGAACCGGCTCCCTCCCTTCTCTGCAGACACACACGCACCGTCAGGCCGCCGCCACTTCCTGCCTTTGTTTTTCTTCCTCCAAACATTTTTGGCCTCTTGCATTAGCCGCGGTGGGGCTCTGGGTTGACGATAAAAGGAAATATACGCTGAAGACAGTTTTCTGGTGATGGCCCGCGCAGTGGAGCTCCTGAGAAAGAACAGCTCCTGGGAAGCCAGTCGCCAGGGCCAATGTCACAGCCTTACCCGCCCCGGCCTCTTCAAGAAATGGAACTCGGACTTGGCCTTCCGGGCGGCCTTAGCCCCAGTCGAGTCTTTCCCAGAGCCCGGTGGGCTAAGCTCGGCTCTTGGACCTCCTGCGAAGCGGAACAGTCAATCATAGGCTCAGAGCAAAGTCAAAACCAAGGACTCGAAGGTCTGCCTCCCCTTCTTCCCCCAGATTTGGTCTGATCCTCAGAGCTGCGGCCACCCCTCACCCCAGCCGCCTGCTTGGCGAAACCTTCACATTTACACCGCCAGCATATTCCGCACACGAGGGCAGGAGTGGGCAAAGCTGGGACGTTGCGCAGCTTTAGGGGACCTGAGTGCCCTTCTATCCCTGCTGCTCAACTAAAAGCGTTCCACCGCTCCAGGCTTTTTCCCCTGCTGATATCAAAAGCCTTTTCCCTCATCCGTCTTCACGGCAGCGCCCCCACACACCCCTTCCAGTCTGCAAGTCCCTGCGGGCACCCCGCTACGGTGCAGCCTGCCGAATTGCCCTGCCAGTCGCTCCCGGTGCGCCTTTCTCAGCCCTAGCCTTTCCTCCGGAATTCGCCTTTGTCTCCTGCGGACACCCATGGGATCCAGCCCTGCCAGTACCTTCTCGGTTTGGCCCTCGAGGAGGATATAGGAGGCAATGGTTATGCGGAACAGCGCACATCCCCAAACCGACCTCTCTGCGGGGACCACTGTCCCTGGCACCAGGGGAAAACCGGTCTAATTAAAGAGAGGGGCTGCGTGCCGCTGGGGGAGGTGGCCTGGAGTCCCCCGCTGGCGGGCCACCACAGCCCCGTCTGCTCAGGCACAAGCTGAAGTTGACTGCCAAAACTGCTATAAAACCGCAGGTCTGTCTAGAACAGTTTTCGGTTTTCCTAGACGCCCCCGGGTTCAATTATGGTCTTAAAAGCCCTAATACAAGTGCAAGAATTTGTTTGCCTTCACCCAGGGGCGGGGCGAGCCCCGCAATGGTGGCGCCTTTGTTATGGCAAAGTCACTGAAACCCTTCATGCATTCCTTTTGTTCGAAGGTAGGGGTGGCGAGGACTGGGTGGGCTGCAGGGAGAGAGTTTGGGATAGCCAAAATCAAGCCAGGGCACAGCTCGAATACCGCTGTTTGAAACCTCTCTTCTGCCTTTTATATTCTGTCTCTAAAAAAGAGATGCTGTGGAGAAACAAATATTTTGCCTTGTTGGTCACTGCTGGAAATAGAGTTTTTTCGCTGCAGGGCAATTCTGTAAATGTGCTTCCCAGCTTTAGGAGGTCTGAAGCTACTCTTCTCCAGTAACCTTCCTTCCCACTGGACCTTCACATTCACAGCACTTCTGCCCTCTGGACAAGATACAGTGGACAAATATGTCAAGATGAAGATGCACAAATAATTTCAAGTTCAGTTCTCAGGGATTCAAGGGACATGAAAGTTCTTGTAGCAAATCTTGAATAAAGAGTTCATTAAACCTATGTGTCCGAGTAGCTTGATTTGTGATGAGCAATTCTTGTAAAGTGGGTGGGGGGGAGGTGGAGAGCCACATAAACATTAATGCTAATAAATTAGTTTACTCGACTACAGAGTAATTACTCCATATTATTGATATTTACAGCAGGTATTCAAATGCAATGATAGGCCATTATTTGGAGAAAATACATAATGAAAATACTTCTTTTCCAGTGCAATACATGATTAGATTTGTTATTGAGTCAGTTACAGTCAGCTCAGCAATAAATAAATAAATCGATGTTGACACTTAAATGCCAAAGATCTTAGAGTTTATACTCTAAATCTCCCCAAGATATGTAAATACCTTTGGCTATTTCCTGGAGAGGGAAAAGGAAAAGGTTATCTTTTTCATTTTTTCATTTTCCTCCAGTAACACCCCAGCTCCTTCCAAGAAGAGCATTGTTGGGAGGCCTCAGGTCTGGGCCCCTCTCAGCTCCTGGCCCTGCCTGGCTGCACTGTGTCCTCGCCCTTCTTTCGCTTCCTCCAAACTGCTCCTCAGTCCTGCAGGATGGGGAGCATATTTTGCCTTCTTAATTTATTTTTTCCTCTTCCCAAGAAAGCTAGACTCCTAGTAGCGCTACGGCCTCTCTCTATCCTTAGTGGAACCTAGCCTTTTCAAGGCATCCCTGACTCCCCAGGTGCAGGGTTTGGGTAGCACCTCTCCTTTCTCTGGTATTGTATTCCTTCTGTGGAATAAGCAGTAGGAGAGGCATAGAGCTCTCTGAGTTTTTGCCCTGCACATCCCTTGCTTTCACTCTCACACATTGCAAGGAAGGCGAATAGGAGAGCAGGCAGGTTACCCCTTTCTCAGCCACCCCTTGGCTCTCAGCCCATCCTTTCCACCCCCATTCTCCCCACACCCCTGGAGCTCTAGGAGCAGCCTGGTGGGCCCCCCACGAAGATGCAGCATACCCAGGAGAAGGCTCCTCGGATGTCAGCGCCTCTAAAACAGCCCAAGGCTTGCCTCAATTGCATGGTTTCCCGAGTCCTCAGCTCCAGAAGACCAAGCAGACGAGTGGACCGGTGAGCAGCGGGGCAGCAGCCCCTGTGCCTCTGTCTCTGCCGAGTCACTCCGAAGCCCGGCAGGCAGCGAGAAGAAGGGGGTTTTTCCAAGGACAGAAGGTGGGATGAGGAGGCAGGCAGGGAAGATGAAGGGAGAGGTGGATCCCGGGTAAGACGAAGGCCCTTCCGGGCCCTGCGGATCAGTGACAAACAGCGGGGAGAAGCCGTTCTGGCTGTCGGCAGTTTAGGGACGGACGGCACTAAAGCGCTTCGGAAGTGACCATGAATGCGAGCGTGTAATCAAGTCACCGTGCAAATCGGACAAGCCAAGAGGCAGGCACATCCACGGCTTCAAACCCGGGCCCCGAAGGAGTTCCGGCTAGGGTCGGAGGCAGAAGTGCTTCCCAGAGCAAGTCTATGGGAGGGGGGCTGCGAAGAAGGGGGTGCAAATGCGGGCCTCCAGGAGAACAGACTCCTAGATCACAGGTCACACAGCGAGGGGCTCCCACCTGGCTATCCCCAGCCCAGGGCATCCCTCACCCACCAGGGGAGCTGCGGGTTGGCGGGGGCAGAACAAGAGTTGAGTTCTCACCGCCCTCCGCACACTCGAGAACCAGGACCCTAAAATTGAGCACTAGCATGCTTCATGGGGGCGCACCCCAGCCTCTCCGCGCGCCGGGAGGCCCCCCAGCCAACATGAGTTACACCGGCGATTACGTGCTTTCGTTGAGAACACCGAGTGACGATCTGTTGCTTCCCCTGAGGTGGCTACAAAGAAAGGAAGCCGGGAGGGAGGGGAGGGGAGGAAAAAAAAAAGGAAAGGGGGGTGGAAAAAGGCCCGGACTAGCTCGCAGCTTGTCAATTTCAACATCGGGTCACATGACCAGCACCTCCCTGCTAAGGATGGGGATAGATTTCCACGTCAGCTTACGTCTCCAAATTTCTACTTCACGGATCCGCTTCAAAGAGGCAGCTGCAGTGGAGAATCATGTTAAGCTCGGCTACTGCGGAGAGCCCAAGGTAGCCCAATGATGGATTTTGATGAGCGTGGTCCCTGCTCCTCTAACATGTATTTGCCAAGTTGTACTTACTACGTCTCGGGTCCAGATTTCTCCAGCCTCCCTTCTTTTCTGCCCCAGACCCCGTCTTCGCGCCCAATGACATACTCCTACTCCTCCAACCTGCCCCAGGTCCAACCCGTGCGCGAAGTGACCTTCAGAGAGTACGCCATTGAGCCCGCCACTAAATGGCACCCCCGCGGCAATCTGGCCCACTGCTACTCCGCGGAGGAGCTCGTGCACAGAGACTGCCTACAGGCGCCCAGCGCGGCCGGCGTGCCTGGCGACGTGCTGGCCAAGAGCTCGGCCAACGTCTACCACCACCCCACCCCCGCCGTCTCGTCCAATTTCTATAGCACCGTGGGGAGGAACGGTGTCCTGCCACAGGCTTTCGACCAGTTTTTCGAGACGGCCTACGGCACCCCGGAAAACCTCGCCTCCTCCGACTACCCCGGGGACAAGAGCGCCGAGAAGGGACCCCCGGCGGCCACGGCGACCTCCGCGGCTGCAGCGGCGGCGGCCACGGGCGCGCCGGCAACTTCAAGTTCGGACAGCGGCGGCGGCGGCTGCCGGGAGGCGGCGGCGGCGGAGGAGAAAGAGCGGCGGCGGCGCCCCGAGAGCAGCAGCAGCCCTGAGTCGTCTTCCGGCCACACTGAGGACAAGGCCGGCGGCTCCAGTACGTATAAAGGCAGCGCCCTGCGCTTTATGAAAGGGGAGTTGGAAATCTAGCGCAGCACCGCTGTTAAATTTTTATATGCTGTTTTATAAGCATATAAGGTTTATGAAGGGCCTTTAGGTTTCCCCCAACAAAACTTTGTTATAAAAGGCGGGATCACGTGGCGAGTGCTGAAATTGGCCGTGAAATACCCACCGGCCAAGGCATGCCTGCAAAAAAAAAAAAAAAAAAAAAAAAAAAAAAAAAAAAACCAACAACTCCCCTTTTCCCTTTTTTCCCTTCTCAGCTCCCAAGCCCGGCAGCTCGACCCCGCTCAGGGCCAGCTCCGGGCTGGGGAGCCAGAGGTGGGCGCCTGTAAATTCCCCCTGCTAGGGCTCTGGGAGCCTTTGATAGCGAGGTAATCCGGAGATTTTTATAAAAGCCATGTGTTGCGCCGGGACTCCAGTCCCGGCCGGGATTCAAAGGCGTCGCTGTTTAACGACGGCGCTAGGAGTGCATTTAACAGATAAAGTAGCCCGCTTAGTTCCAGCAATATATTAAAAGAAACAAATTAACCCAAAGTTGGCCTTTTTGTCCAAAGGAAGCCATTTTCCTCTGGCGTGGTGGCAATTATATGCCTCCTTCTGCCCAACTACATGTTATTCACAATTGTTATTCAATCTGTCAAAAGCGATTATTATTTTTTGGGGGGGTCTTGTGGGTCTTTTTTTTTTAAGGGGGAGCAAGTAGAACCTGCCCGAAGCTTTGGGAAGCCCCCTTTCCCTTCACCCTACGTAAAATAGCGCCGCTGCTCTGCCGCGTGCAGGGTGGCTGTGTGGCCGTGGTGCTCAGCGAAAGCCCGGGGTTGGGGGCTTCCGCCGCCACCTCCCCACCTCAGGGGAGCCAGGAGGCTGGCCGAGGAGGCAGAAGCTGGTGGCCAGGACTTGGGCTGACAAAGACCCGGCAGCCGCCCCAGATGTTAACGACTGCCCAGTCTTGGCGGCAGCCGAGGAAGACTGGGACTGGAGCCCCCTTTACTGCCTTGAGAAGGGGCAGCCCAGGTGCTGGAAGGTGAAATGTCCGCAGGCGGCTGTTTGTTTAGTCTGGCCGGCGAGAGGCAGCCGGCAGCCCCCACTCTGCGGCTTTGAAAGAGGCTTAGGCAGCGCAAACTCGCCTGTTGCTATGCGAAGCCCTCCTTTCTGTTCTGGGGGCAGCGGGAGCAGCTTCCCCGGGGGGCTATCTAGAGAGCTGGCTTTTATCTGTGGCTGAGCCTCCAACTGCGGCCCGTTCTAAGCCCGCAGTCCCAGCGATAAAAGCAGGGGCCTGGGAGACTTAGACGAGGCTTGGGCTGGACCACCAGTCCCTGTGGCAGCCGTTCTCCTCAGCTATGGGCTCTGGGGTGGATTGCAGCCCCCACACCTGGCTCACCCCCCCGCCTTTTCTCCCTCCACAGGTGGTCAACGCACCCGCAAAAAGCGCTGCCCCTATACCAAGTACCAGATCAGAGAGCTGGAGCGGGAGTTCTTTTTCAGCGTCTACATCAACAAAGAGAAGCGCCTGCAACTGTCCCGCATGCTCAATCTCACTGACCGTCAAGTCAAAATCTGGTTTCAGAACAGGAGAATGAAGGAAAAAAAAATTAACAGAGACCGTTTACAGTACTACTCAGCGAATCCGCTCCTCTAAGGCTCCAGCGGCTGGAATTGGGTGGGGGGCTTCATACACAGGAGATAATATGCAGATTTTGTCCTTGACAAGGTCAAGCCACATGGTGACTTTTGAAAAGAGGTGTGCAAGAGAGGGCTGCATGGCGATAGCCCCTCAGGAGGCGGCCTGGGACTCTCTTGGTTAAGATCTTGGTGGTTAAGATTCCTAGTAATCATTGGATTCTGAGAGCTGTGCATCAGCTAGAATGACAGGTTTGGGACCCCTGGTGGTTCACTCTTGGAACCTGCAGAGCTGTGGGCTGGGTGTGGTCTCCACTCGGGACTGGGCCCCCTGCCAGGTCCCCTGGAGGCTAACCCCTCCACATCCTCCCTCTACCGGGAGCCTAACCACCCCCAGGACCCCTGAGTCAAAAAGCTGTGTGCTCTCCAAGCCCAGTTCAGCTTGGGGACAGGGGCAGGAGGAAGAGGTAGGATTACTAGGTGCCCAGAATGAGGCTACTTTCCAAAGCCAGTGTGAACGGCGGCTGGACTCAGAGGTGTCTATGAGGTAGAAGAGGGCTGCAAGGCCTTGTGGGAGAAGAAATCTATGATTCAAGGTGGTGGTCGTGTCTTTCCCCTCCTCCCAGCCACCCACTACACTGATCCAGGCTCCTAGCCACTGCCTCCTACAGCCCACCTGGTTTTCCTTTCTACCAAATGAGGGTCTTCGTTCCAGCCTGCCACTCAGGCCCAAAGCCTCCTCGAAGAGTGGACTGTTCCCTGAGGTGGGAGACACGGAAAAGCCAAGAGGCTGCGGCCAGACCACTGGCCCCTGAGATCTTCGCAGGAAATGGCTGTGGAGTGCGGCAGTTTGGCAAAGTCTCCACCACACTTAATGAAGCTTGGATTTGCTCAGTGTCTGGCTGCGGAGCAGCAGGCCTGGCCAGCCGGTCCCCAGCTTTGGCTATGAGGGCCTTGAGTCCCCCAAAACACCGGGTTCCAGCACCACACTCTGCCCTCATTGGCTCCGGAACTGAGCTTGGAAGCTTCCGGTGACCCTCCAAGAGCCAGAGAGTGAGGTGGAATTATTTTAAAAGATAAATGTTATATTATATATATATTTCCCTGAAGGAACCAAAGCGAATTTTAAAAGATGCAATGTAGAGGGGAAAAAAGATGATGAAAATATTTAAAGGCTCTATCTGTTTACAGTGTTCCATGGTTAAACTCGCTCACTGCTAAGAATATTTGAATGTATGCTTCATACAGGGATGGTGTTCAAAAACTTGTAAATAAAGGAACCATAACCAATTTTGTTTTGTTTTGTTTTGTTTTGTTTTGTTTTGTTGCCATTAATTGATTTCCTTTGGGGTGTTGGAGGGGGTGGAAAAGGTGTTGAGAATGGTCTTTTTAATCTCTTGCAACATTTGGAAAATGTTAGGGAAATGCTCAGAGGCAGCCGGCCTGGGGACCTCATCTGGGAAAGCCAGGCACCCTCCCGTTGAATCTCCTTTGCCTCCCTATATGAAGAAATGTCTGATAGCCCACTTGTACTGGGAATGTTGGCCTGTCCTCAGTTCTGCTTCTTACCCACCATGTGTGTCGCAGCGTGTATACAGGCAACAGGGCACAATGAAAATAAAGACGGTGGAAATTTGAGTATCCTGGTGTGACATTCCTCTCCCTGATCGCCTTTTACCGCCAAATGTCTGCCCACCCCCCCACATACACCCCCCAACACACATTACCTAGCCCAGGGGCAAGTTATCAGGCCCCTGAGGGGGTGAGAAGGTGACTGAGTCAGGAATTGGCTACAGTAGGGACCAGGCTTAGCCAAAGTGGCTGGCTAGGTCCTTGTAGGAAGCGAACACCTGGGGAAGGGGTATCTCAGAGCCTGGAATATGGGACTTCATCCCTTCAGACAGACCTCAGCCCTGAGGAGGGCTTCGGGGCCTGAGGTGGCCAATGGGTCAGATTCCAGCTGTCCTCACTCACCTCAGGACCGGTAGGCCTGCAGTGGGACCATCCAGGGCCCCGTGGAGGCTTCAGCAAGAGGGAACCCGGTCTGAGTTCCAAGGCAGAGCAGACTCTCAGGAGCCTCTAAGGGCGCTTTCTCCCCAGCTCCCAGTGGAGGCTGCTTTTTCCCTTTGGGAAAAAAAGGATTCCGGTTTCCTCTTTGTTTGCTGCCTTTGAACTTCTGCCTTAAAATTGGACATCACCCATAACCTTGAGGAGAAGGGTTGAAAGGACAGAGCCTTTTGTTGCCCACCCCACCCTCTCTTCAGCCACCCAGGCAGGGCCAGAACAGCAGATAGGGTCGCATTTGGAGAGAGGCCCCAGACCCCAGTCTGTTTATTTGTTTGTGTGTTTGTCTAACTGGCGCGACTGGGGAAATCCAGCTGAAAGGGGAGTGGGACAGACCCGGAGATGAATGCCTAGGTTGATAGGCAGACACGCAGAGACGAACAAGGGCCCTCCTGGGGGCAGGGAGGGGGCGGGCTGGGAAGCCTGGGTTTAAGGAAAGACTTCCTTTGGGATGGTTAAAGATTAACCAAAGTCTCTCAAGTTGCTAGAGAGTCTAGCCAGGAGGACTGCTCGCGGGCGGGCGGCAGGCGGGCGCGGGTTTGATTTCTGAGCCCTATAAAAGCCCATCCTCGGATGGCTGTGACAATGTGGTCGTAAACCCGTCCGGGGCCGGCCAATTTGCATATTTGGAATGCGCCGCTATAAACCCGGCTGGGGTTTTGCAGCGATTTCTTAGATGTAAAAATGAGATCTCAATAGCAGCGGCTGGGCACATCCTCTCCTCTCTTCCTCTCTCTGTCCGGAGCCGGTTTCCCTCTCTCGGCTCCGGGCTGGAGCTCCGGCCCGGCCTAGGCGCGCAGCCGCCACCAGATGGCGCACTTCCGATCAATGTCAAAGCCGCCGGGGAGCCGGGAACCCCAGCGTGATTCTTGGCCTTTGTTCGCTTCTGATACTAAGAGCAGCACGGTACATTATTTCACTTGTCCCGCTCCCCTTCGTATTAGAAAAAGGGGGCTCACCCTCAAGAAACGGTTGGTATTCTAATTTAAAGCAACGCTCATTCGCTAGACCTCGCGAGCGTCGCCGCGCGGAGAAGCCAACTGCCCCCTTGGCAGTGATATCGGAAATGTGTCAAGGTAAGAGGCCACAAGTTTAGCAATTTCAGTCTGGTGGGGAGGGAGTGGGGAGGTGGCCGGTGTCTAAGGGCTCTCGGGAACGCGGCTGGGTTTGTGGAGTGGCGCGGTAGGCAGCCCCCACCCCATTGCTCCCGAAGGTTGGAAAGCAGGGGGAGGCCTAAGTAGAAAGTTGGGGATTTTAGCTCCTTGGCCAGCATTTCATTCAAGGCGAATCTTTCGATTTTGTAGAAATATTCAGAAGAGAATGAGCTAGGGATGAGAGGCGTCTAGGCTAAAAGGTTCCAGCTGTGCTGGGATAGGGGGTTGTGGGAGGGCAAAGAAATAAAAAAAGGAGGTGACGGGGCTGAGGAAAACAGAAAGTTTCCATTCTAAACAATGGGGTGGTAGAAGCCTGCGGGCCGCTAAGGCGGGATTATTCCCAGGGCCAGACGTTTTGGAGGTCACTGGTTTCCTACTAGGTGCATCTATAGGTCTGCCCACAGCGTAGAGAAAACCTTTGTTCGAAAAAAGGTCAATTTGGAGAAGTCGCATGTGATTTTTGAGAGTGCCAGACAAGTCTCTGTGTTGCATACTTGGAGTACGTGTTATAAACCCGGCTGGGATTTTGCGGCAATTTCTTACATGTGAAAATTAGATATTCTGTAAAAGATATTTTGCAAATATGCAAAAATGTATTGGTAAATACCAATACATTTTTAAAAAGTTGCAACCGAGGATAAATTTTGATGGAGCAATCATTCTATCGGGGTTGTCATCAAGCACATTTTAAATAATAAAAATTAACTTACATTTTGGGGGCCTGATTCAAATTCCCTCTTTCTCTTATGTTTAATTTTTTCCGCTATTTTTCCATTAGTTTCTGAACATTGTTTTCTTTTCCCAAATATACAGTGCATAGTGAGCAGTGGGAATCCCAGAGAAGCAAGTATTGCCTGTTTGTTGAGTAAATTTTGCCTATCATAGTCTTTGTTGAGGGCTAGGTCCCAAACTATACAAGAGCAAAGCAACCAGGCAAGGAATGAGCGCTCACCCAGTGAGCTGCTCTCTGCAGCGGGAGCCCTCTCTGCAATCACAGAGCCGCCTCCAGTTCTAAGGCCAGAGGCGGTTTATTATGAACAAAACTAAGAATATTGCAATTCAAGGGGTGTGTGAAAAGGCCTCAACACTTCCTTAACAGGGGAAGGGCCATCTCAATGGTTGGATTTAGAAAAACTTTAAAAGAACGTCATTGCTTGTGGAAAAAATTTCTAACTATGCATAAATGTGTGGATCTGAGAAGCTATTTTTTTTTTTTTTTTTTTTTTTTTTTTTGCTAAAGCCGGATATGTAAAAGTAGCGTTTATTTTTTCCTCTGTGGGACCGCAGCTCACCTCCACCACTGGATAATTCAGAGTCTTGAAAGTACTGAGCGTGCCCTCCAGATACCAATTGTTTACTAGCAGTTTTAATCTCAGAACCTAGTATTTTTTTTCTTCGGGAATTTGTTTTTCATAGTAGTTTATTTCTTACAAGGGCCTACTCAGGAGTACCTAGTGAACTGAAGCCTAATCCTTGCCAAAGGCCTTAATCCATGGGCCTGGTGTTTACTTTGGCTCCAGAGGGCTGGTGGGTTATTACCCAGGTAGAAATGAGCAATATTTACTACTAAATAAAACATGGGCTCTGGAGGCAGCTTCCTAACTTAGCTGCATAAGGCCTGGTTGAGGCAAGCAGGCACCGAAGGTGTAGGTCAAAGATACCCTGAGGGAGAGGGAGAAATTGAGTGCTGGGAAGAACGGCGAAAAAGAAAGAAGGAAAATGAGCACGAGGGAGGAAAAGTGCTTGAAAGCCGACCCACTACAATTGAATTGCTTTCTTAATCTCTTGGGGTGAGGAATCTCGGGGGGGGGGAAGCCGAAGTGATCGATAAATGGAATATTTTATTGAGAAATCTAACACCTCAGTGTTAAAGTCTAGGGAGCACGGGAGTCTTGAGGGCTGGCCGGCCGGGGCTGCTAGGGGCTAGGAGACCAACTGAGAGGGCCAAGGAGGCATTTAATTTGAGCCGCTGCTGCGTGGATATCCTTTCGTTTAAACCAGCAGAAGCCGACCGGGCACACCGGCAGTATCTCCCTGCATTTCCTGCTCAACAAGCCCTGGTGGGAGTTGGAAAGCAGTCCTGGGCCAGAGAGGGGCTCTCATACATGAGCTTACATGCTCTTTTTTTATTATTATTTTTTAAGCAGAAAAGAGCTCAAGCCCAACATCCCGTTTGGTTTATTACAAGTGGGGGAAAAGTCATGCTAAAGAAACACATCTGGCTCTCCACAAAAAGGTCACTGAAGACCCAAGTGCCAATGCCATGGCCTGCGAGGCCCGTAGCAGGCCTTCCAGCCTCTCCACTCCTCCGCCAGGGCAGCCTTTTGTAGCAGATGCAGTACAAGCTGACGTTTGTAACCTTGTTGGCACGTGCACGTCCCTGGATCCTTTCCAGCTTAGAAGCCCATTTGGCTGCCCTTCAGGGCCCTGACCTGAGCTGTCTGCCACAGGGCACCCAGCTTGTCTTACCAGCCAAATTGGCAGCCCCCCCCCCCCCAGTCCCAGGAGACTAGGGAACTCTGGAAGACCCAAGGAAAAGACTTTGAGGGGTGTGTGAATTCCTTTGAAATGATGGATCAATTTGTGGAAATACACAGATGCGCACTTTTCAATGAACGAGTCAAAAGTTACTCAGATTTTCCAAAATGGTCCTGACTCCCTAAAAGGTTAAGAAAGATAGGTTTTGATCATTGCCTTTTACTTCACGTGGTCTCCACCATCTCAAACATATACTGGACCTTCCCAGAACTTCCTGGGAAGTTGCTTTCTGCATTTAGTCTGGAGAGAAATGGTTCTAGGCCCAAGTCCTGGCCCACTGACCTGATAACGGCTCATTTTTTAAGAGGAAACCTCGATGCTCCTGGGACCTGCTTCCCAAATGACACAGCTTTTCTTAGAGGCATGGGTAGTGCTGAAGAGCAAAGCTTCCTTCCTAGGCAGTCCCCAGCCTGTGGCATTTCCAGGTGGCATTGCTAAGGGCAACAGTCCCAGTCAGTTCCACCCCTCTGGTGAGCAGGGTAAGGACCAGGCAGATCCGGGAAGCTAAATATAGAGTCATTGGCTGCGGTGCTCTGAAGCTTTTCTGCACTCAGGTTCGTCGGCCTCATGGGCAGAGCAGGAAGAGAATTTGCCTTGCCTTTGGGCGCAGGAGCATGCGAAGAGCAAAGGAGAGTTAATGATCTCCGGGCACAGACCCCGTCTTGACTCCTCTAAGCCGCTGCTGCAGCTTAAAAACCCCTTCAGGCTGGAAAGAGCTGGGTCTCTTGTGCTCTCTCCCCTCCTGTTTCTCTCTTTCTCTCCCCCTCTGTCCGTCTCTCCTTCTATCTCTCTATTTTTCTCTCCATCCTCCTCCTGGGCACCCTGATGCTCAGTCCTCAGCGCCGGGTCACCGTGGGGCCCCGAGGTGGAAGCGGCTGGAACGCCTCGCTAGCGGTGGAGCGGCCTTCTGGGCCGGGAGCTCGGAGCAGCCACGGCCCACAGCGACCGCAGCTTCTGGAATCTCAGAAGCCAGAGCTGGAGCTCTACCTAGCTAGCTCTCTCGTGCGCTTTCAGGGTCCTCTCAGGCTCCTCTTCCTCCAGAATCCAGGGCTGGGTTCACATTGGGAGGAAGGAGGCAAAGCGCCGCACATATGACCGGGATGCAGGAGTCTTTCCCAGCCTCAGGCAGCGGCCTGAGCTGTCTATTTTTTGGGATGCCGGCGTTCAGCAATACCAGCTCCAACTGGAGCCGGAGGGGCAGACAGGCCTGAGGTATCCTGGAGACCTGTAGCCCACAGGCCAGGGACAAGACAGAGACCTCCCGGGCTCCATTGGATCTGGCCGGAAAACGTTGCATTTCCTGAGACTAGTATGAGGGTCACACTTGGGGGCTCGCACCCCAGGCCGGCCATTTCCAGATGGCTAAAACAGCGCCCCTGAGTCTGCTGAGCAAAGGGCCTGGCCTCCACATGCTCTTATAACAGGGCCAGAAGCCCAGCCCGGCCTAGTAGGGAACGGATTTCCTCACCGGGGCCTCGTTAAAATGCACACACTGCAGGAGTTAGGACTGCCCTAGCTGAGGGTATGGGAGGGAGGGGAAGAGGGGAGGGGACAGAGAGGCAGGAGTGTAGTGACATTGCTTCTTGTTGTAGCCTCCAGGAGCATAAGAGTGCCAAAGCTAACAGGAGAGCAGGAGCATAAGGCGGCAGAGGTGACACCGTGCACACCCCTCCAAGTCTCCCCCTTGGGCCAGCCAAGGACCCCAGGGCCACCATTTTATTTCCCAAAATGACTGTTGGCTTAGAGTCTTCTCTGGGTGATGAGGGGATGCTTGGACCTAGCTCTGGCCTTGAGAGTGGGAGTAGGGGCGTCTTCTGCTTCCCACCCCTACTCCAGCCAGCCCACCAAAGACCGCTGACAGGAGTTGCAGAGAAGGCGTGCCAGGTGAGCACAGCACCGGAGGAGAAGATCCTAACTAGATCAACGGACTGGGGGAGAGAAGTGTTGGGGGTTAGGGGCCAGGGAACAGCCATTGTACTTTGGGGAAAATCTGTAGGATGCTGGAATTAGAGGCAAGTCACTATGGGCTCCCAACACTCTGAGAAGCCTGACAGCCGTCGCGTCAGGTTTGCCGCTTTTGGGGAGCCAGAATTCAGACAAGGGGCCAGCTCCACTCCAGAATTGAATGGGAAGCGTGTGAGTCCGGGACATGGCCCCTTCAGTGGTCAGAGCACACCGGGGACTAGTGGCAGCTTCTTTGACAGGGATGGTGAGCACCTAAGGTGGACTGGACGTGCACCATAAACACCCCACTTGTTAACTGCGCGGGGCCCAAGGGCGCTTCAAACTGACGCGGGTATGGGGCTTACGTCCGGGTAGGGGCGGAGCGAGCCCAGTGGCCAGGTCCCCCAGCAGCCACGTTGGGGCAGCCCCCACAGCTCCCGGCCTTCGGGCTGAGGTGTCTGGCGTGCGTCTCCTGGCCCATCAATAGAGATTACATATTTATATCAATCGCGGGCTCCGAGGGCGCCCTCAGAGAGCGGCCCCGAGCCTACGAAACCAAACTGGGAGTGGTCGCGCGGAAACTCTGGCTCGGGATTGGCTGCGGGCGCCCGCCGGGGTGCGGGGGGATTGCTAATCGTATTCAGCATGTTTTGCACAAGAAATGTCAGCCAGAAAGGGCTATCTGCTCCCTTCGCCAAATTATCCCACAACAATGTCATGCTCGGAGAGCCCCGCCGCGAACTCTTTTTTGGTCGACTCGCTCATCAGCTCGGGCAGAGGCGAGGCAGGCAGCGGTGGCGGTGGCGCGGGGGGCGGCGGCGGTGGCGGTTACTACGCCCACGGAGGGGTCTACCTGCCGCCTGCCGCCGACCTGCCCTACGGGCTGCAGAGCTGCGGGCTCTTCCCCGCGCTGGGCGGCAAGCGCAATGAGGCGGCGTCGCCGGGCGGCGGTGGTGGTGGCGGGGGTCTAGGTTCCGGGGCGCACGGCTATGGCCCCGCGCCCATAGACCTGTGGCTAGACGCGCCCCGGTCTTGCCGGATGGAACCTCCCGAAGGGCCGCCGCCCCCGCCGCAACCACCTCAGCCCCCGCCGCAGGCCACCTCGTGCTCTTTCACGCAGAACATCAAAGAAGAGAGCTCCTACTGCCTCTACGACTCCGCGGACAAATGCCCCAAAGGCTCGGCCACCGCTGCCGAACTGGGTCCCTTCCCGCGGGGCCCGCCGCCCGACGGCTGCGCCTTGGGTGCCTCCAGCGGGGTGCCAGTGCCTGGCTACTTCCGCCTCTCACAGGCCTACGGCACGGCCAAGGGCTATGGCAGCGGCGGCGGCGGCGCGCAGCAGCTCGGGGCGGGCCCGTTCCCCGCGCAGCCCCCCGGGCGCGGCTTCGATCCGCCGCCCGCGCTAGCCTCCGGCTCGGCCGATGCGGCCCGGAAGGAGCGAGCCCTCGATTCGCCGCCGCCTCCTTCTCTGGCTTGCGGCGGCAGCGGGGGCTCGCAGGGCGACGAGGAGGCGCACGCGTCGTCCTCGGCGGCGGAGGAGCTCTCCCCAGCCCCTTCCGAGAGCAGCAAAGCCTCGCCGGAGAAGGACTCCCTGGGTAAGCAGGGCTGCAGAGGGCTGCAGTCAGGCGGGCACACAGGCAGACGCAGGGAAAAGAATCAGAGAACTAGGAGCCCGCGCGGCAGCCTGCCGGCCTTGGCCCAAGCTGCAGCAGGCTGACCTTCTGAACTTGCTTTTTAATATTTGGGCGTGGGGACGCAGTAAAATTCATGTCCGGCTTAGCGCCCCACAGCAAGACGTCCTCGGCACTGGCCGCAGCTCCCCCTGACTTGGGGCGAGGACACCAGAGAGCAGGCCCCCTCCTGTGCGTTCTTCCCAGTGGCCGGGAGCACCCCAAGCCCTGGTCTCTGCCCAGCCTGCGCGGCGCGGCCCACGCGGGGGGGTGGGGGGAGGGAGGGAAAGTAGCTCGCCCGCAGATAGCACGGATGTTTGTAAGGCATCCAAAATAAGCAGCCGCCAGCGCCAATAAATAAGCCCATTAACCGGCGAAGTTCGAGTTTACGATCCCCCATGCTTTTTTCAAAGTTGCTGAGGGGAGGGAATCTTCGTTGAGGGGAGAAGAAAAGGCAAATCCGGCCTGGAAGCCGGGGACCCTGAGCTGAGAGCCAGAGAAGGGCCATTTCGCTTCCCCTGGAACTCGGAATCGCCCAGCTACCTACCCCTGGCTCCTGGAGAGACTTGAGGGAGGGCCCTTGACCCCCAGTCGTTTATCGTGCCTTCCCTATTGGACCAAGGATGCTCTTCTCTCTCTCCTTATCAAGTCTTGGGCAATCAGAGCACTCGGGTGAGACAGCCAAGCTGCCCGGTCCACCTTCCAAGTAAGCACCCCGTGCTCCTAGCCTGGGGGCTACAGGAAATGTTTGTCTGCCATATGGCAAGAAGCAAAGAAAAGCGTTAAGTTCAAGAGGTACAGCCTGCCCTCCCAGGCCTTTCCTTCTGCAAGCACCTACGGCTTAGTGCTAAAACAGGTGTTTGGGAAAGGGGAAAATGTAAATTGGAAGCGTGGTGTAGATTGAAGGCCCACTCGATTTCTGGAGGAACTGCGTGCCCTCAGCAAGCCCAAACGGGGGACACAACTCTCTTCTCTGTGACTTGGGACCATCTCTCTTATGGGAGAAATGGAGGCAATTCACCCCTGCAGGCAGTCCGTCTGGCCTCGACCTAATCTTCCCCTCTTTATTCTCTTACACGCCAGGCAATTCCAAAGGTGAAAACGCAGCCAACTGGCTCACAGCAAAGAGTGGTCGGAAGAAGCGCTGCCCCTACACCAAGCACCAGACACTGGAGCTGGAGAAGGAGTTTCTGTTCAACATGTACCTTACTCGAGAGCGGCGCCTAGAGATTAGCCGCAGCGTCCACCTCACGGACAGACAAGTGAAAATCTGGTTTCAGAACCGCAGGATGAAACTGAAGAAAATGAATCGAGAAAACCGGATCCGGGAGCTCACAGCCAACTTTAATTTTTCCTGATGAAGCTCCAGACGACGTGGTTTTTCCACTTGCCGAGCGCCGGTCCCCTCCCTCTGTCTTCAGCCTCTGCCCAGGAACCCGCACCTGTGTTGGAGCCCTGTTCCTCCCTCCCACTCTCGCCACCTCCTGGGCCGTTACATCTGTGCAGGGCTGGTTGGTTCTGACTTTTTGTTTCTTTGTGTTTGCTTGGTGCTGGTTTATTTGTTGTTTTCTGGGGGAAAAAGCCATATCGTGCTAACATTCTATAGAGATAGATATTGTCCTAAGTGTCAAGTCGTGACTGGGCTGGTTTGCTGTCTTGGGGTCCCACTGCTGGAAATGGCCCCTGTCCTCGGCGGAGCTGGTTTCCTGCCCAGCCTGGGGCAAACCTAGCCGGAAGGCCGAGGTCCCATTGTTGGCGCTGAGGTGTCTGGCCTGAGGTCAATGGTGCAAGGAGCCGCCACCGGGCACGTCTGCCTGGAGTGCTACGCTGTGCTTAATCAGGGGATACAGGCCCCTGCGTTTCTTTTTTCTTTCTTCCTTTCTTCCTTGGCCAAGAGAAGGGCTTACAGGCATGGACATGCAGGTTGGCAAACGGGCTTGACGTTGGCTGATTTAAAAAGTGAGAAAGAAAGTCAAAGATGATTTTTTTCCTTCCTCTGTAAGATACCCCAGCTTTAAAAAGAAAAAAAAAAATTACCAAGAGAAGGGGACTTCTCTTCCAGTTTCTGTAAGGTCTTACATTGCCTGACTAGAATGTTTCATTTACCTCTAAATTTCCATATCCTTCTGACTGTAGATAAATAATATAGTTTTCTTTATACATGTGGAATTAGTGGATTTTTTTTGTCATTAAAATCGTTACCACTGGTAACATACGACAAGCACACCACAATTCTCCCTATCTTGTGAAGTTGCTTTTTAAAATCACCTTGAACAAAAAGCTTTTTTTCTTACATTTTTGCTTTCTGAAACTCACAGAAGCCTAGGAGGACTGGGGTAAGCGGAGTAAACTAGAGAAGGGAGACATTGTTTAGATTTCCTTTATACTGTGAAGTTACATGCATAAAAGGGTCAAACCTGTAGATGCAGAAAAAGAAAAAAACTATAAATACAAATCTGTATAAATGTCTATTATTATGAAGAATTGCCAATCTTGTTTTAAGCAAATGCATTCTATCGTTATTATAAATGTTAGTTCTAGCTCTATTTACTTCTAATCTTAAATCAGAATAAATTAATATTGTATTGCTGCTGTGCGTGGAAAAAAGACGATGTTTATGTTCTTATAGAATAAAAGCTGTGGAATGAAGCTTTTTAATTTTACCTCTTTTTTGACTTCTTATCTTCACCTTCCACTTTATCCCGTTCACCACTTTTACAACAGGAGGACTAACCCGAGCCCCCTGCAATTACTTGAGGCATCTATTTAAATATTACCTAGACGGTCGTAATTTGTCTGGGCCCTATAGCCCTGGTGCCGTAAGGTTTGTCGGCTTTTGTTCAGTTTTATGACTTGCTAGTATATCTGGATTGTGGCTGTCTTGGACCAGTGATTTCAGTTGAGAGGGGAGCTGCATAGACAGAGGAAGCCAAACAGGATTTCTTTCGGGAGCCCCAGGGAGGCTGGCAGAGGCCGGTTATTTTGCGAGTGTCTGGGTCTCAGATGACCCTCAATCTGAATTGTGGAGCAGGCCTGGCCCACAGTGCATCCCTAGCGCTGGGGGCAGCCGTTAGGTGGACCCGGCTGGGCTGCATGGGGGCCGCCCCCTCCCCCAGCACGGCCTCCCCCACCTGGCGGCCCTTGGTAGGGCCACGCGTTTCCTGCTTGCCAGAGTTGGCGGTGGTGGGGGGGGGAGTTAGGGGGAGGGGGCGCGGGAGCGCGCGCCCCGGCGGGCGGGCAACTAGGAGGGAGGAGGGGGAGAGCGAGCGGTGGGAGGCCGCGGCCAGACAGGGAACCGGGCTCCGTACCTTCCCTGGCGCTTTCGAGTCTTCCACGGCTGCCGCCTCTTGGCGCCGGCTAGCTGGGCGGCAAGATTTGGGAAAGCAGCGCTCGTCTCGCCTGCTCCCCGCCTTTATTCCTCTCCTCCTGCCTTGCCTCCCCTTCTTTCTCTCCCTCTCCTTCCCAGGCATACCTTACTGGGGCCTGAGGCCTCCCCCATGACGCATTCGCGGCGGCCTGGGGCACTCCGTCACGGCAGCGGGCGCAGGTTGTCTAGGGGCTGGGCTGGGCTGGGCCGGGCGCGATCGCAGGGTTCTCTCCTTGGCGGCGGTGGTGGCAGCGGCAGCGGCGGCGGCGGCGGCGGCGGCGGCGGGCGAGGCAGCCCAGCTCGCGGGCAGCACCAGAACTGGTCGGTGATTTAGGTAGTTTCCTGTTGTTGGGATCCACCTTTCTCTCGACAGCACGACACTGCCTTCATTACTTCAGTTGAAATCGTCTCCAGGTACCTGTGCGCGCGGGGGGTCGGGCGGGCGGGGCATCACGGCCCTGGTCGTGCCAGGCCTGCGGTGGCAACCTCGGCTTTCCCTGCGCAGGAGCCTCGTGTCTTTCTCCGTGCTGTGCCAGAAGGCCGGCTTCCCCTTCCACCACACACCTCCACCTGGCTCACTGCAGGTAAGGTCAGGTTAGCTGCTTCTTCGCGGACGCCAGGGGCGTGGTAGGAATTCTGGGCCTTGGGCCATTCAAGGTCAGGGGCGCGCTTCCATCCTGAGCCTCCCCCACTGAAGGCGTGCGCCTGCCCAGGGACCTCCTGCCATTCTCTTGCAAGGCTGGAATACACATACACACACCCCAGTCCTGGGTGTGAGCTTAGGAAAGAACCTTCTGCCAGTGGAGACTAGGAAGGATAGGGCAGGCAGAGGCCGGGATCCTGGCCTTGTCACTTACTCCTCTCTCTGTAAGCCTGGCCCCTCTTTTCTTCTTTCTTTTCGCCCTCCAGCCTTCCTTTTTTACCCCCTTCTTTTTTCTTTTCTTTCCTTTGCTCCTTCCTGCTTTCTTTTCTTCCATTTGTCTTTTTTTTTTTTTTCATCTTGTATCTCTGTCAGATTCTATTTCACCTTCTTATCTCCTTCCCAAAGCATCCTTGGAGAGGAGCCCAGGGCTGGCTTCAGGAGAGCTTAGAGACTCTCACTTTTCTCTGAGAAAAAAGTGAGGTTGGGAAGTCTGCCGAGGAATGACCCGCGTGGGGTGGCTGCTGAGGGCCGTGGGTTTGGGCCTGGTGTGCTGCTGCGCAGACAAGGCCTCGGTTATGATCACGACCGGATGGCGGCGGCCTTGCTTTTCTTCTCAGCCTGTCGCTAACGGCTGACTAGGAGATCTGATTAGGGGGCATTTGCTGCATCTTTGTGTGCCCACATGGAGGGCAGGGAGGCCTTCACCAGCCTCACGGGGGACTGGAGCTGAGGCCCAACTAGCCTCACTGGAGCCTGGCCACTCGGGGAGCTGCTCTGGGAAGCTCTTAGCCAGCTTTTCCTGGCCCGCCGGTCACAGCTTGGGCTTTGACCGCATTGAGAGACTGGTTAAGGCAAAGCTTGACTGCTTGCTTGCTAGTGGCTTCTATCAGGTACACAATATGTTCCATACAGCACCTTTGTGTAGCTGGGTGCTGGAGAAGGGGACCCTTCCAAGAGCCAGTATGTTTCAAATGGGCAGAAGAAATCCCAAATTTCAGAACCATTAATATAAACTGAGTCCTGGTTCCAACTTGTAGTCTATTGATGGGAGCCAGTTTGACCATTTTCACTACCGAAAACAGAAAACAAAGCATCCCTCCCTACCTCTAACACACACACACACAGATTCCTGCCCACAGAGCTGTTTCCTTTCCCTGCCTGGACTGGAGGCCCCAGGAACCGATTCGTTGCACAGCCACTGACCTGCTGTCTGAGAGGCCCGCGTGCCCCATTCCCTTCAACTCCTCACTGCCATTTTCTGGACCAGGGTAGTGGATTTACTTCAGAGACCACAGTTTTAGAAATCTCAGTCGAGAAGGGGTGTTTTAAATTATGCTCATTTATTATGTATGTATATGCAATCTCACTTCTAAAATAAAAGCAGACACAGAAGTCTGAATGTCTGGCTCCAAACCTTTGGGCTGAAAGGAGGCAATATTTGGTTTTGTGTTTTTTCTCCCCTTTCTACGAACCAGTAACATCTAGTTAACACTCAATGCCTGCTAATTATTTAGTAATCCTCTTATTTGGGGGCTAAGGCTATTTAAAGGAATAGCTTTTTTACTTTAAAAATACTAATAATGATCAATGTCTTTTCTGCTACGAAAAGTGGAAAAGGCATGCAGACATGCCCAGTCCGTTTGCAGACACTTAAAATTAGGAGCAAGGGTTTTCTCCTGGGTTAACCTTTTAAATGAAACTCTCAGAGGCCTGGGGGACTGAGGAGATATTTAGGACAAGGTGAACTGTGGTTGGGGTGGGCATGACGCAGAGGAATTTACGGGGCAAGGAAAATATTACGGGGAGGGAGACGAGGCGGACGGGACTCAGAGTTCACTGTGTAGTCCACTTCCCTCTTCCCGGTGCGGGTGCAGGAAGGCGGACCCAATCGGTATCTTCGCGGCTTCGCAGCCTCTATCCCCGGAAAGCCTGGTATTTGGGAGTCCCAGCGGGAAGTGTGTCGGGGCGTTTGAGGGGGGAATACTGGAACTGCCAGTGAGGAGGGAGAGAGAAAGAGAGAGAGAGAGAGAGAGAAAGAGAGAGAGAGAGAGAAAGAGAGAGAGAGAGAGAGAGAGAGAGCCCGAGGCCGCCAGCCTCAGAGCCAGGGAAGTGGGCTAATGAGAAACACACTGTTGCAGGCACAGGATCCACACGTGAATTTGATTACCCCTTTTCTAGGAGTCGCTGCTTTCTGTTAGGAATTGGGGGGAATCCTTCCAATTAACGGAGTGGCTACCACCTTTTAATTTACCCCTAACGGGTGAGAAATAGAATTCTCCAACGTGGCCAGGCCGAGGAATGGGACTAGATTCGATGCCCTTGTGCCCTTCCTCGCTCTAATTTCCAGCCCTGGCCTTGAGCTGTGACTACCCCTCTTTGGGTCTTGTACCTCTCTGTCGAGTCGCCGGGTCCCGTAGGTAACCAAGGCGAGGCCAGGAGTAGTGGCTGGAAAGGGAGGAAGGAAGGAGCCCTGAAAAGCTCACACGGCCCCGACAGGCCACAACTGTGCGGCTTCCCAGCCACCTCTCTTAGGCGGGGCTGCCTTTTCCGAAGCCGAACTGGCCTTCCATTGATGTCACTTGCTGAGTTTTTTTGTTTTGTTTTTTTGTCTTACCCTCCCCCTCCCCCCCAGCTAGGGTTCAGGGAGCGCGACAAGGCTTGCAGCCCTCAGGGTTAGGGCCTCTGAGGTGGAGAACAGGGCTGGATGGCCAGCCGCCAGTGCCTGGGAATTCTGATTCCCAGATAAGAAGGGCGGGCTGGGAGCGCCTGTGCGTGGAGTCGAGAACCCGGGCGAGCGCGCCCCACAACAAACCAGGCTCTCAAACCCTTCGCCCTTGGGGCCTCTAGCCGCTATCCTCCGGCCAGCTCCTCGGTGGGGTCCTCACAGGAGGAGCAAAGGCGAATTTGAGGGCTGCCCCGGCGCGTGTCGCTCCAGGCGGGTAGCCGTGGGGACCTACACCCGCGGTGCTCCGTGGATGCCGGTCCCTGCCTGGAGTGCTCTGGCAGGGCAGGCTACAGCTCCATTTGGGACAGATACTGCGTTGAATTTGACTTTTTGCTTCCGGGGCTAAACTCACCTCTCCCGGGGACCGCAGGGATTATTTACAGGGAGCTCGCCAACCAAACACAACAGTCTAATTTAACCTTTCCAAGTCCTCGTAAATTTTTACAGCTGGGAGCCACGGCGAGGCAAACGAATCTGTTGGTCGTTCCCGACTTCCCACCAGCCTGTGTGGCTTCTGAAACAATAACTCCTTATGAAATATCATAAATATAGATTTAAATACAGTAGAGCGAGAATGCGATTTGGCTGCTTTTTTATGGCTTCAATTATTGTCTAATTTTATGTGAGGGGCTCCGCTGGCCGCACTCGCACGCGGGACCTGCGCCTTCCTGATGGCGTGATTAATTGTGATATAAAATAGTCCGCTTAAGAAGTGTGTGCATGGGGTGGGGGGGCAGGGGAGAATACAGAGGCAAGGCCATTTGATCTTTTAATCTTCGTTGGCCACAATTAAAACAAACCCGATCGTAGAGCGGCACGATCCCTTTGCATAAAAACATATGGCTTTTGCTATAAAAATTATGACTGCAAAACACCGGGCCATTAATAGCGTGCGGAGTGATTTACACGTTATTGTTCTGCCGGGCGGGCACGTGACGCGCGCGGCCAATGGGGGCGCGGGCGCCGCCAACTTATTAGGTGACTGTACTTCCCCCCCTGGTGCCACCAAGTTGTTACATGAAATCTGCAGTTTCATAATTTCCGTGGGTCGGGCCGGGCCGGCCAGGCGCTAGGCACGGCGATGGCCACCACTGGGGCCCTGGGAAACTACTACGTGGACTCGTTCCTGCTGGGCGCCGACGCTGCTGATGAGCTGAGCGCTGGCCGCTATGCGCCGGGGACTCTGGGCCAGCCCCCTCGGCAGGCGGCGACGCTGGCCGAGCACCCCGACTTCAGCCCGTGCAGCTTCCAGTCCAAGGCGGCAGTGTTCGGCGCCTCGTGGAACCCGGTGCACGCGGCGGGCACCAATACTGTACCCGCTGCGGTGTACCACCACCACCACCACCACCACCCCTACATGCACCCCCAGGCGCCCGTGGCGGCGGCGGCGCCGGACGGCAGGTACATGCGCTCCTGGCTGGAGCCCACGCCCGGTGCGCTCTCCTTCGCGGGCTTGCCCTCCAGCCGGCCTTATGGCATTAAACCTGAACCGCTGTCGGCCAGAAGGGGTGACTGTCCCACGCTTGACACTCACACTTTGTCCCTGACTGACTATGCTTGTGGTTCTCCTTCAGTTGATAGAGAAAAACAACCCAGCGAAGGCGCCTTCTCCGAAAACAATGCTGAGAATGAGAGCAGCGGAGACAAGCCCCCCATCGATCCCAGTAAGTGTCTCGTCTCTTCAAATCCGCTGCCGCCGCCTCCACGCCGGCCTCCCGGATCTGCTGGTTCGCCAGCTTTCTCTCGAGCCTGCGTCATCGCTGGAAACCTCCTTAGTTGGGGCCAGGAGCCAGAAGTTGGTGTTTGGGACGCCTCGGATAAGGCCCCAAGTCTGGAGAGCAATGAGGAGCCGCTCGCAGGGCTGCGGGAGAGGAGGCGGCTGCTGCAGCGACAGGGGGCGGGGTGGGCAAGGCACTTCGGTCCGAGCCAACACTGGCCGCCCCTCTCCTTGGCTGCCCGGGCCCAAGACCGAGATACTTTGGGCCATTCTTCGAAAGCAGTGCAGCCGAGAGAGCCTTTTGTGCGACTAGATTATTTGTGAGCGGCGGCAGCAGGCCAGCCGGAGCCGGGGAAGACGCTAGGGAAGACGGCGGATTCCCTCCACTTCTTGCCTTCGGCCAGTGGCGGCGTAAATCCTGCCAATATGAGGCTGCGGGCGACCGGGGCCACAAAGGTCCCCATGCCAGATTATTCAAATAAGCCAGAGACGTGATCAACGGCCTTGGGGAGCTCTGCCGGCTTGCCCAGCTCTGAAGGCCTTCCAGGAAGGTCAAATAAGGAATGAGGCGCGTAGAGGGAAAGGTGGGGAAGGGAAAACAAGCCAGTGAGCAGGAGAGAGGAATTCCATTCTCGCAAGGCGCAAGGCAGCATGCTTTCCCTCTGCGTGGCAAGAAGAAAATCTACTTTCAAATTTCATTCCATACAGCATTGGGAGAGTGGGAGGAAGGAGAGGGGAAACAGGAGGATGGAGTAAGAAAAAGGAGGGTCTTGGAGGGGAGGGGGAGCCGAAGTTTTACTGCGTGCAATTGTAAGTGACCGTCTGTGCGTCTGTCTGTCAGGGTTCCATTGTGTCCGAGGCCTGACTGCCTTTCCTAACCAATTCAGCGGAATTCTGCACTTTGGCCAGAGACCCCACCCAGGAGGCTCCTTTGCCCCCAGCAGGGTGTGCCTCTCCTCCTCCTAAACCCAGTGTCTCTCTTCCCCGCAGATAATCCAGCGGCCAACTGGCTTCATGCACGCTCCACTCGGAAAAAGCGCTGCCCCTATACAAAACACCAGACCCTGGAACTGGAGAAAGAGTTTCTGTTCAACATGTACCTCACCAGGGACCGCAGGTACGAGGTGGCCCGGCTGCTCAATCTCACCGAGAGGCAGGTCAAGATCTGGTTCCAGAACCGCAGGATGAAAATGAAGAAAATCAACAAGGACCGAGCAAAAGACGAGTGATGTCGTTTGGGTTTATTTAGAAAAAAGAATGAGCTAGAGAGAAAGAGAAAGAACTGCCCGTCCCCCTTCCGCCTTCTCCCTTCTCTCACCCCCACCCTAGCCTCCGCCATCCCGCACAAAGCGGCTCTAAACCTCAGGCCACATCTCCCCCCCAAGGCAAACCCTGCTCAGGCCGGCTCCTAGGCCTGCCGCTTTGATGGAGGAGGTATTGTAAGCTTTCCATTTTCTGTAAGACAAAAAAAAAAAAAAAAAGAGAGAGAGAGAAAGAAAGAAAAAGAAAAGCGGGGGGGTGGGCATCCGTGCTGATAGCTATGTGTGCTAGGTTGTACATATTTTTTAAAAATCTACCTGTCCCTGACTTAAAAGGAAAGAAACTACCTTTTTATAATGCACAACTGTTGATGGTGGGCTGTATAGTTTTTAGTCTGTGTAGCTAATTTAATTTGCTGTTTGTGCGGCAGATTGCTCTGCCAAGATACTTGAACACTGTGTTTTATTGTGGTAATTATGTTTTGTGACTCAAACTTCTGTGTACTGGGTGATGCACCCGTTGTGATTGTGGAAGCTAGAATTCAATTTGAACTCAGGTTGTTTATGAGGGGGAAAAACAGTTGCATAGAGTATAGCTCTATAGTAGAATATGTCTTCTGTATAACTAGGCTGTTAACCTATGATTATAAACTAGCTGTAAGGATTTCCCAGTGAAATAAAAAAAATTTTTTTTAAGTGTTCTCGGGGATACACAGATTCATCGTTTTCTCCACATTAGAAATGCGGGCATTTTAGTCTCTCCATGATCTATAGTCCTGTCTTGTCCATTGTATATATAATCTATATGATTAAAGGAAATATGCATAATCAGACAAGCTTGAATATTGTTTTTGCACCAGATGAACAGTGACAAAATTTGGAGCTATACATATGTGCAGAAGGTTACTACCTAGGGTTTTTGCTTAATTTTAATCGGAGAAAATGAATGCTGATTGTAACGAAGTTAATTTTATTGATAATAAATTATACACTATGAAACCGCCATTGGGCTACTGTAGACTTGTATCCTTGATGAATCTGGGGTTTCCATCGGACTGAACCTACACTGTATATTTTGCAATAGTTACCTCAAGGCCTACTGACCAAATTGTTGTGTTGAGATGATATTTAACTTTTTGCCAAATAAAATATATTGATTCTTTTCTATTTTCTGCCAGTCTGCTCTTTGTACCTTCTTCTCCGGGTCATGGGAGCCTGTGTAGAGTCTCTGGGTAGGGGCGGGCTGGGGTAGAGAGAAAGCCCCAATTTTGCCTCTGTTTTGCTTTCTGGAGCGGGACCTGCCACAACCAGTCCGCGGAGCTAGCTAAGCCCTCCCAACCAGGCCAGCTGCCTGGTGGCGAGAACGGCTGGGAAACCCGGCGGCGGAGCTAGACTCCCGCCTGCGTCTATGTGCCAGACGGCGGAGTAGCCCCTGAGAAGCCGGGTTGCACTGGGCTGGCCAGCAGCGGTGGAAAGACCACTATTCCACCTTGGTGCCCCCAGGAGAATTCACAAACTTGGGCCTTCGTTAGCTTGGTGGGGGAAAAGCGTGAGAGGGCTGCAGGATAAAGAATTGGGGGCCGCCTTCTAAGCCGGCTCTGCAGAGAGAAATAGGAGCCCCACCCGACCAAGGCGGCCATGCAGGCAAACATTTTGGGCGTTTGTAAGGGAACGAAGCCCAGCGTCCTCGCACCGCGCACCACCCGCAGCGTCCTGCCAGCCTGGCCCGGGAGAATCTGGGTCCTGCACTGCAAGCCCCTCCCGAGCACAAGTCCGAACAGAGGCAGGGCTGGCTGAGGCGACTGACGAGCCCCGAAGCACCATAAAAGAAAATGAGGGCTGTTACTGTTTATGGGGTGTAAAGGGCTGCGGGGAGAACTGCCGCAACTTCGGAGGCCTGAGCGCTTTCCGGATGGGGCCGGAGGGCGCGGCCTCGCCTCCCCTACCACGCTTTGCTTCGCTCTTCCTTCCCCTCCCCCACTCCACGACTTCTGCAAAGTTGGCTGTGTTCTAAGCCTAAAAGGGGAACCAGGGTGCGGGTGGATGCGGCAGGCCCTCACCCCCACTCCCACCCCTCCGCCAGGTTGGGACGCCCTCTGTTGTTGCAGACAGAAGGAACTTCAAAGAATAGGCAGTAAGAGTGTGCCATAAAGGCCGGGTCTGCGAACTGTCTGGAATTCGGTCCTTAATGAGTTTACAACTGTCCAGCCCCAATTAGGCTATTCCACCAAAGCCCTTTCATTTGTTCATTTGTTCTGTCTGCCGCCGAGAAAGCGGCTGCGGAAACAGCTCTTTTATTGGCATTGCCTCCTCTGCAGATTCCGGGCTCCATGTAGACTTTCCGCGGACTAGGCCCGCGTCCCTCCTTTCGGAGTGGGGTGCGGTGGGCTCGCCCGCGGCTCCCAAAGCTCCGGCCAGGCGAGGCAGCTGGGGATGCAGTACCAAGAGGCGGCCAGCAGATGGCAGTGTGGCTCCACGCAAGAGGCTTCCGAGCCGCCATCTCCCGCCTCCGCGACCCTGGGGAAGTTCCTAAGATGTCGACTTGACACGAGCCTTTCTGGAATGGGAGCCCCAGATTTTAGTGAACAGCCGCCCTATATTTTCAGTGCTGCTCACTCCTGGCTAGAAGCCTCGCTGGGAAAGAAGGACTCGGAGGGAGCTTGCCCGACCCTCACCGCTCACGCCTCCCAGAGCGTATCCCGAGGGCCCGAGGCTGCCCGGCTGCAGCTGTCCAGGCGGCCGCGGGGCTGCAGCTCCAGGCGCGGGCGCGGCTCCGGGGTCACCGTCCTCAGCCGGGACAGGCCTGACACAGCCAGGCGCCAGGGAGCCCCGGCTGACTGACGGACACTGGAGGAACGCCTGCAGCCCCCAGACCTGACGACCACCCCAGAGGGTGTGCACAGGGCGTGCCGAGGGCTCACTCCGTGACCAGGGGTCCCGCGGCCGCCCCGGACGCCCCCGAACCCTGCGACCTGGGTCAGGGCCCCGCGAGCCGGAACCCAAGACAGAGCCAGGACCCCGGGACTCGGCCGGCTTGAATCGAGGCAATAAAATTGGGCGGTGAAAATTGAGCGTAACGGGAATCTCGGCGTCTGTCCACTGTAGGTCCAGGGGCCGGGCCGAGTTGGCTGGGAAGGAGAATCCCGGGGGACAGACCAGGAACTGCTTTCGTTATTTTTTTTAATGTGATGTTTAATATGACGATCACACCGGAGCACCAAAAGTGTCGCTCACGGCGTGGAAGCCGCCCGTGCTGTCTCTGGCTGCGGCGTGTCCTCCGCTGTAGAGGAACCGAGGCTGCTCTGGCGTTTCCTGCTCAGGAGGCCAGAAGGGAGGGGACCCCAATCCAGGCCCAGCCTCTCCGGGACCCCAGGCAGGGAACACGCCGCAGGCTCCTCGGGTGCAAGCATCAGCCACAGATGTCGAATGGTTCCAAGGGGAAAACGCAAAAGCAAACAGAGAACCTTTCGACGCGCCCCGGAGCCCTGTGAACACGCGGCACAGTGCATTTATTTGGGTCGTAATAGTCTCCGCCAAACCCACAAAATGTTTACGACTCGCATCTCCGTGCTGTACATGCTGTAAAACTGGGGGCTGGATTTTGGCTGAAGTCTCTCCTGGGTGTTTCTTCTCTCTCTCCTTACACACACACACATCTCTCTCCTTTCTCTCCCTCTTTGTCTCTCCCTCGTCTCACATACATGTATATATATACGTCGATATTACAGACACACGCCTTCATTGTATTTCCGTACATAATTTCCCAACATCTAATTGTAAGAAGGGTTTTATAGCTTCCCCAGGAGTCAACCGTGGCTCTGTATCCAAGCCGTAGATAGCTCTGTTTACGCAACTACAAATAAATAGTGAAGTCGCAGATTTGTGGATGCAGAGAGAAAGCTCAGTTTGTGTAACTACAAATAAACCAAGTCACAGATCGGTGGTGACCGCGTCTCTCCACTAATCACGGAGGCCTCAGGTAGGTGCAGGCCGCCAGGGTCTCCCAGGCCTGGATGGACTGTCCAAAGGCGCCTCCCCTGCCCTTGGCAGGCTGGTGGCTGGAAGGCTGCTTTTCCTCTGGGAAGCCTGGGAGTGGCTTCCCCGCAGCGGGCCTTCACCCAGGCAAGACCCCGCACCAACTCAATCTCGTTTGCGCCGTCGGGGACGGGTTTGTCTTTGCGCCCAGGCCAGGGATCACTCACTGGGTGGGGAACAGATGCAGTCCCTGAGAGAGGCATGGGTGGAAACCTTAAGAGAAGCAATTCGCCAACCACCCAAATCTCCAGAAGGCGCGATTCGCTGCTTAGAGCCGACTTTGCCTTCTTAATTCAATTTAAATATTGGACTATTTGGTAACAAGAAGCAGGGTGAACACACTCTGTCAGTAGGTAGGAAGGAAGCTCAGGGACAGCAGTGGAAAATGTCTATCTAAAGATAGCTCGGCTGATTGGAAACCCACCTACATGTGCCTGCTTCAGGCAGAGGGTGAACGAGTATTCCTGTCAAAATTATCTCACATAACCTAGTGCATTTGTGTCTTTTCAGTCAAATAAGTAGAGAACCAATGACTAGAGAACATGCAATTAAAGAAGCCTTATTGAAAGCCTGATTTTATCCGTCCTTTTCGTTTTAAATCAGACCACAGAGGGCAGGAGGGGAGAGAGAAGCCTGGAAACGAAAGGGAGGTTTCGGTGTCCGCAGAACTTGGCCCAGTTGGCTGACTTGGTTCCAGAAGGGCTGAAGCCTTGCGGGCGGTATCCAGATCCTCCTTGGCCGGGGCAGAGGGGCAGTGCGTCCTGCCAGGACTTCTGGACGCCCGCCGGGCAAAACCAGGACAGGGATCAGCTGGTGGCGAGGGAGCCCAGCCCTCCCTTGGCGAAGTGCGTTCCTTCCCACGATCCCCGAAATCGCTCCCCTCTCGGGCTGTTGGACTGGGTAGGTTCTACTTTAAACACCAGTGCTGTCGGCCCCTCCAGCCGCTTGAGTCTAGACAGACGGCGACTGCGGCGGGGGCCTTGGTCTTTTCTCTTTTCGTCTTGCTCTTTGTCACCCCAGGAACAATTTACTGGTCTAAAGCGGTCTAATTCTGCCTCTTTGATCTCCTAGCCTTCTTGTTTGCTTCATCTTCCTTTAACTTTCTTGGGTTTTTATTTCCTTCCAGAAGGCGATGCGATTGGAATTATTCTGGTGTTTTGTTTTGTTTTTTTTTTTTCTGTCTTACCCTCTATTCTCCAGCAGAGACACGGTATCATCTGATCCGCCCTAAAGGGCATCTCCGGATATCGTCCCCCACCTCCAGGGCTTCTGTGTCCCCGCAGGAGACAGCCCAGGGCCCACCTGCCCCAGGAGCCCCCGCCTTCCCACTCAAGCCCCGGTGGTTCACTGGGCAGGAACTGGGGCTCCCTGGCATCCCGATCTGAACCATCCCTCCACCTTTTGTGTTCCCGGGACCCCCTGAGAGGGTGCGGTAAATTGGGGCGGCCTGGACCCTCTGAAAGTGATGGGAAGTGCTTTGTACACAAGAAACTAAACTCTATAATTTACAGGAGAATTTCCGGGGCAATTCCATTGTGAGGTCGGGTTTATGGTGTGTAATCGAGCTGGGCAGTAAAAGGTGGCCGGGCTTCTAGCGCGGCCCAGGCAGTTTATGAGGCGTTTAGGGAAAGCGTTCTCTCCACCATCCTCCACCGAGCCATGGGCAGCAGGGGCTTCAGCTGGTCCAATACGGTGCAGGGGTCGGAAGCCTGGAAAGGTAGGAATTGGAGTCCTGGATGGAAGGGACTGAGACCACTGTGCGCTCAGCTCCGTGTGAGCTGGTACTTGGATAGGTAAAGCCTCCACAGCTGGGTGGCCTTTGGGGGGGTGGTCCCCTTATTTGTTTTTGGTGTCTTTAAAAGAAATGAAAGTCCACAGAGGGTTGCAGTCCCCAGACGCCAAAAGCCCTTCTCCAAATCGGCTCTAAAGCATGTATTGTTCCCAGGTACCCAGGCCCACGAGGTGGAGGCCTAAGGATGGATGAGGCGAAGGCTGCTGGAAACCTTCCAGTGTTGGGAGAGCCTGGAAGGGTGCGGGCCTGAGATTTCTCCAAGCTGGGGAAAACAGCCCTGGCTCCCGTGCGCCAGAAGGGAATTAGAAGTTGTGGCAAGGACAAAGGAATCTTTAGCCATTTATTGGTCTCTTGGAGCCAGCCAGGTGCCCAGGAGCGAAGGCACACTGCCTGCAGCACTACAGCGTCTGGGAGGAGGGAGGGGAACCCCACGTTAATAAATCTGTTGGCAAATGAGGCTCATTAATAGATAAATATTTCACTGCTTCATTTAGGGCGGATAAACAGTGTGCCGCCGATTAAGGAAAGGAAGCTGGAAGACGTTGACTTTATTCGAACCACATGGTTCCACTTTGCGGTGGTATTCTCGCTGCAGCTGCCAGCGACGCTGCGCCTTCCCTGTAGGGATCCGAGTCCAAGTCCGGCCTGTCGCCCACCGGCCCTGGGTGAGGGAAGACTTGGGCAGAGTCGATCTGCTCATAGCTGAGTCCTGTCCACAAGGCCACCGCGGGGTAGTCTGGTGCGCGGGGACAGAGACCCTACCAGGGGCTGGGCAAGCGGACAGGAGAGGGACGGGGAGGATCCCCAAGCTTGGTCCAGGGCTCACTAGCAGGAGTGAGGGGGCTGCGCGGGGCCGGGGCTGCGCGGGGCCAGCGCCGCGCGGCTTCCGCAGACCCCAGTTCCCGAGTTGGCTGCCAGCGGGGCGCCCCCACCAAGCCTCCGGGTCTTCTCCTGCAGGACGCGCCGGGCCCGCCAAGCGCGGGCAGATTCGTGGGCCGCATATTTGAGCCTCTTCCCCTTCCATTCTAGGCGGCCGCGGGCCCCGCGGAGCGAGACCACCTGTGAGGGCTGCTGAGATTGGCGGAGGCGGTCATGTGGGCGGTCACGTGCTGCGGCGAGCTCCGTCCAAAAGAAAATGGGGTTTGGTGTAAATCTGGGGGTGTAATGTTATCATATATCAAGCTACCTCGTAAAACCGACACTGAAAGCTGCCGGACAACAAATCACAGGTCAAAATTATGAGTTCTTCGTATTATGTGAACGCGCTTTTTAGCAAATATACGGCGGGGGCTTCTCTGTTCCAAAATGCCGAGCCGACTTCTTGCTCCTTTGCGCCCAACTCACAGAGAAGCGGCTACGGGGCGGGCGCCGGCGCCTTCGCCTCTACCGTTCCGGGCTTGTACAATGTCAACAGCCCCCTTTATCAGAGCCCCTTTGCGTCGGGCTACGGCCTGGGCGCCGACGCCTACGGCAACCTGCCCTGCGCTTCCTACGACCAAAACATCTCCGGGCTCTGCAGTGACCTCGCCAAAGGCGCCTGCGACAAGGCGGACGAGGGCGCGCTGCACGGCCCGGCCGAGGCCAATTTCCGCATCTACCCCTGGATGCGGTCTTCAGGTAGGCGCAGCCGCTAGGCGGGCCGGGCTGGCGGAGCGGGAGCGGGGAGCGCGGCGCTGGGGAGCGCGGAGCGCAGGGCGGGGAGAGCGGATCCAGGCAGTTGTGAGCCGGCAGCCCTGCGACTCCCGGTGCAGCCTTTCTGGTTTTAATTAGAGCGGAGGCGCCATTGCATGGAGCCCACAGCATTGTATGTAAATGAGGCTCATAAAACTTTTTATGGCCCAATTAATGGGTTCGATCCTCGTAAATTTATTTAACTCCATTTGCCTTGGAATTTTAACATTAAGTTTGTTCGCTATTCTCTCTCCCTCCTCTGTCACCCTCCCTCCCTTTCTTCTTCTCTCCCTCCCTCCACCTCCTTTTCCTTGCTGCCTGGCTTTTATTTCTCAAAAGCGGGGAGAGCCAAGCCCTCCATGGCCTCTAATGCGACCCTGTGCCCGGGGCCATTTCAAGATGGGCGTGAGGAAATGAAGACAGAGGATCGGGGTGCCCTAGGAAGGTCCTTGGGATAAGGGCTCAGGATGTTGGGAAGGGTCGCCCACTTGCCTAGCAAGGCCTGGGAACAGCCGGGCTTATCTTTGAATGGCAAAAGTGCAGCGTCTCCCGCTTGCCCACACTCTATATTTACAGTTTCCCTTTGTCAGGGGAAGCAGGACATTGTGGACGCTTAGCCGGCTGGAAAGGTCCCTTGTAAAGTTGGGTTTCTGCGCCTTTGCTCATTACAGAGCCGCCCACGCGTCTGGCCCTGCGTTGGGGTCTTTCCCTAACACTCCCCCTCCTCCCCTATCTCTGTTCGGGGCCTGGGGCAGAGGGGGATGCCCGCCTGGAACTAGGCCAGGAGGAAGGTGCAGGCTCTGGACAGTAGCCTAACGAGTGCCCTGTCTGCTTGTCTGTCCTGTGTTCATGTGGCTGCATGTCTGTTCTCAGGACCTGACAGGAAGCGGGGCCGCCAGACCTATACGCGCTACCAGACGCTGGAGCTGGAGAAGGAGTTCCACTTCAACCGCTACCTGACGCGGCGCCGCCGCATTGAAATCGCCCACGCGCTCTGCCTCACCGAGCGCCAGATCAAGATCTGGTTCCAGAACCGCCGCATGAAGTGGAAGAAAGAGCATAAGGACGAATGTCCTGCTGCCGCCGCAGCTCCCGAGGGCAACGTGCCCTCTGTCGCCGCCAGCGCTGCCGCGGACAAGGCCAATGAGGAGGACGATGATGAAGACGACGATGAGGAGGAATGAGGGGCCGATCCGGGGCCCTTGCTGCACCGGACAGTCGGAAAAGCGTCTTTAAGAGACTCACTGGTTTTATTTACAAAAATGGAAAAAATAAAAGAAAATGTAAAAAAAAAACCCAAAAAAACAAACAAACAAACAAACAAACAAAAAAAACCCCAGAAAACCCAGTCCCCAACCTGCATTCTACCCGCCCCATCACCCACTCCGGCTCCCAACTTTTCTGGACTGAGTGGCCATAGAGACTAGGTCGCCTTGGATACCCTCGTCTCTGATGACCCCAACAGACACCCCCAGTCCCAGGCTAGCCGGCCCCGCGCTGGCATGGCCAAAATACTACCTAGCACAGGCCTCTGCTCGAGGCACCCCCAAACTACCTATGTATCCAGCCCCAGAGGGCCTCCATTCCCAGGAAGCCCCTATGTATCCCAACACTGGCAGACACCCAGCACCACCCTCCCAGACCCGCAAGAACGTGAATCTCTGTACTACCTACTCCCCTAAAACTACCTATTTCGTGCTGGCTGGCTTGCCTGCTACCTAGTGCCGACTGCTCCCAGGCAAGTCCCCTGCTGCTTATAGCTGGCAGCCTTTGGGGTCCCTGAGGCTGCCCTGAGAATGTGCTGAGGTCCAGGACCAGGGTATTGGCATCTATTTAAATTGAAAAATAATATATTTATTCCAAAAAGCATTCTAAGTGCTGCACCCTAGAATCCCTCCTTCTCTGGCTTGGCACCCAAAGTTCAGGCACATCACCCCCCACTTCTGGAGGGGAATGTTCCTGGACTGGCTGCAGACCTCTGGGTTAGCTTCTGCTTAGTAGGACTGTGGAGATGCTCCCAGCTTCATTGTCCTTTCCTCTGGCTCCCGTATCTTGCTGTTCAGCTGTGTTAAACATGTACACCCTGACGTTTCCTATAATAGCAAATACTGTATATTTGAACAGGATTTTTTGGGTCATTTCTATAGTCTTGGAGTTCATTTGTAGGGCAGTGTCTTGACTTGGAAAGGATGTGTTATTGGGGTGACTTCGTAGCATGGTGTGTTGTCTTGAGCTAACTGTAGTGAGTGGGGAGGTCCAATGCCTTCCGCAATGCCCTTCATCTCCCGTGTTGTCCTGTATCTCCCTCAGCTCCATCCTGGGGTTCAGGGAAGGCACACTTCCCAGCCCAGCTAACTGTGTTTTATGTAACAGAAAAATAAAGATGCTTGGTGACAAAGAAAAATGTGTTCTGCTTTATCCAGAGGGGACGTGAAAGGGAAGGTGAGCATGGCTGGAGGGTAAGAGGCAGTGAGGAAGCAAAAGTGGGGTGGCTGTCCTTGTGATGGTCCAAATGTTGGGTGCCCATATATTGGTGTCATGTCTCTTTTTATGTATTTTATGTGTATTTGTATGAGTATGTGCTTATTTTTTGTGTATGTATCTGTGTATTTTTTTCTAATTCCACAATTGCGTATATTTCACTGTCCATAATTGGGTGCATGTGTTTCTGTGTGTCCATAATTGCACGCCATTCTGTGCCCACAATAGAGTGTATGCCCGTCCCTGACTGCATAATTGTGTACGTGCCTTTCTCCGTGTAGAGACGTTTGTCTGGTTTTTGTGTGTGCGCTAACATCTTCTAGATTCCTTGAAAACGGAATCTTCGGTAGATAGGTTATATTCTATGATCCTCCCTAAAAACTGTCATAAATTCCACCAGGAAATTTCATATCCACCGTTTCCTCTAAGTCTGCGCACTGGGTTTGGAAAGGGGCTTTACCCAGCGGTTGATGCCGGATTTCGCAGGCTCCCTGAACCTAGCCCCAGGCTAGGAAATGGGATTTTAAGACTTCCACCCCGCCTGCAGCCGAGGCGAGGGCGCCCCAGGGTCCAACACTGCAGTAGGTGGCGCGGGGAGGGGCTAGGACCGCAGACCCCCGCTGGGTTGCAGTGCCAGGGCAGGGGCAGGGGAGTCTGGGTGTGGGGAAGAGGCGAGAGGCGAAGGGCGAGGGGTTGTGGTGGCTGCTCAGAGCGTCCTGTGTTCTGCGGGTAAGACCTGGTCTCCCGTCTCCTGCCTGGGTTGGGCCCGCTTCTTAGGGCTCTTTTAATAAAACCGGGCCCAAAAGGGTCTATAAAACCTGAGGCCCCTAGTCGGGGCGGCCTCAGTGGTAAGATGGCGCCGGTGTAAGAGCTGCCTCCTCTCAGTGATGGGGAAAGGGTCATAAATCCGTTGTTGTTTATGAAAATTTACAACTTTGCAATACAACTTTATGAGTTGTTCGGCCCTTCCATTGGCCGCTGTCGGTCATGTGGATGGGAACCGTGAACATGAACTTTTTTATAATTTCCCTTGCGAGAATAGAGCCGCATTCTTTTGCTCCGCTCGATCCTGCCTGCTTCGGAGCTCTGTCTTCCAGCCCGGCTCGGCTGCGCTTTGTCCGGCAATGGCGAGCGAGGGAAAGCCCAGGCCAAAGCAGGCCTGGTGGCTCCCGCTGGAGGTGGGGCGCGCCCAGTTCCTGGCGCCTTGGCGGCAGCTTTGCAACTCACAACCTGGCTAATTTCCTGCGTCCTCTGGCACCAGGAAGGAGGACAATTCGTCTCTCGGGCTGCCCAAACGACAGCTGTCAGAGGGTCAGGAGCTTCTGGGAGCCGCCATCTGAAGGTGAGACATGTGGGGAGGAGATAGGAGCAAAGGTGGTGAGGTGACAGCCGGCAGCGGCAGCGGTGGGAGAGGGTACCCAGGGAGGCTTTAAGAGGGGCATACTCCCCCTCACCCGTACTCACCCATTCACACTCACCCCATCACACACTACAACCCAAACATGTCACACACACGCACACACACACACACACACACACACACACACACACCCTTTCTGTCCCCTCTTTGGCTCGCCTTGGCAGTAAGTGCCCGCCTTCCCTCGGCTCTCCGTGGCACAGCGCCCAGGCACAGGGCAGCAGCCCTTGGGTCTTCTCTCTCGCCTTCCCCAGCTACCCCGTGAAGCCCAAAATGAAGTGGCCTGCATTCCGTGTTCCCCGCTAAACCCTTGGGTTTGGATTTTATTTCCATTCATGGCCCAATTTGGTTTTGTTGGATTCTCCAACAAGAGACCATTCTCGGCCTGGGAAGGTGGGAAGAGGTGAGGGCAAAGTGCATTAATCCACTGGCATTTTATTAGCATCATCACGGTACTTTCTACTCCGTGGGAAGTGGTTTCAGAGAGAAAGATAGAATGGGGAAAACAGACAAAAACTTACTAATTCAACCAGAGTTTTCCGCTCGTTGCCGGCTTCCCTTCGCCCAGTTTTTCGATGAGAGAGGTGTCTGAAGCGCTGGGAGAGAGAATAGGTGCGTGGGTGGAATTCTGTGTTGGAGGAGAGGATGGAGTTAATTGGGTGCTACTTGGTGGGAAGTTTCGGTGCAGAGGACGTTATGGTGTTAGCGCGGGTGGCAGGGGCCCGCAGCTAAGGTGGAAAGAAGGACGCCAATCGAGTCTGGGCGGTAGGGGGACCCCCACCCCCAATTCACCTTGGCGCAACGGACTGGCGACCGCACTCCCCACCTTCCGCGAGCGGGGAGAGGACTGTGGAGCTGCCGGGGAGGAAGCGCGGAGGGTGCTGCTGGCGGTGGCTTTGCTTAGCGCGGTGGCTCGAACTGTCTGTAGCTCGGCCTAGGTGCGCATCAGACCAGATTTGCCCCGGGAACTCCCCGGACACAGACAAGAAAGGAGCCCGAGGTTCTTTTTGTTTGTTTTGGTTTGGGTTGTTGTTTCCCCATCTTGAGACAATATCTTGGTATTCATTAGATAAATAGGACGGGGCTGTGGATGTTTGGGACGTTCCCCTGTGCTCTGGGTGCGCTCGGGGCGGATAAAGCGGCGTATTTGCATCCTAGGGCCTCTGGCTTCCTGACTGCGGCTGCCGCGGGCAGATTATTTATTGCAACCGCGCCGGCGCTCTCTGCTGCCACGCTGTGGCCGTCGCCGGGACCGGCGCCAGCCGCAGCCCGCCTCTTACAGCCTGGCGCGACTGCTGTACGGGCCCCTCAGAGATTTCCAGCAAGCAGGGGAGAGGGGGACGAAAGGCGACCTGGGGGACGATCACCCAGAGCCTATTTGGCCGGGAAATCTCCCTGCCTCGGCCTCCCCTGACCGGAGCTGGACGCCGGTATAGACTCGGGTCCTCCCCCCACCCCCACTCCAGCACCATGGAGACTGGTTGCACAGGCCGCCTGGCACGTCACGGCTGCTTCTGTCCAAGCTGCGGGTCCCAAGGCGCCCTGGGGGCGCACGCTGGTTCAGGGAACGCTCTGGCTTTGAGACTGTGAAATCGGAGAGACTACCTGTAGTCCTGAGGCCTGTGGGCCTGGCTGCCCTGAGGAGGACTGGCTATGGCAAAGAAGGCCGGCTTTGGCTCCCAGCGAGGGCCTGTGAAGGGCAGAGGCCGCACCTGTGCGCTGTTGGCTGTGGCCTGGCTAGCGATCTGGCTGGACTGAGGTGGCCTTCAAGGTCCCACACCTACATAATCCCAGGCCACCCTCCAGGCTGGCGGAGGTGGAGCTGTTCAATGGGCAGCCAGGGCAAGGGCAGACAGTGGGGCCCAGCTGTCCCACTGGAGAGAAACTGATCTCCCCCCTTGGAGGGAAACTGAAAGGTAAGTCGCTTTCTGCGTGGCTTTGGCAGAGAAGAGAGAGCCCTGGGGTGGCCATTCTCACCATCGCAGGAGAGGCTCTCTGGAGGGTGTGGGGTTCGTATTCTTGCTGGAATGTTTCTCTCTCTCTCTCTCTCCATACACACACACACACACACACACACACACACACACCCCTACGTGTGCATATCCGATTGGAAAAATAAATTGGTCAGCTGCCAACATGATATGCACTAACCTTGACTAACATGTAAAGGTTCCAATGTAATGTATATTTTTCCATCTTAGTACTTACAGAAGCTAGAAATACGTTTTCTGGCTCAGCTGAGAAATCAGATTCTCTTGTTAGTTGGAACAATGATTAGATCGAGAATCCTGGTCAAGGCATGACAAACCATAATCAGTAAATCGACACCGACCCCAACACTGTGTGGGACATGGAGGAATGCAAAGGAAATCATAACTGTAAACATTGATTGACATCTCCAAAACAGTTGTTTTCATCTTAAATAATAACTTGCTTAAAATCACTGTTGTCTGATGGTTTTGTTTAAGAAAATACACAAACATGATTTTCTTCAAACAGCTACTTTTGAAAGTCCCTTTTAATTTTTTGACTCGAGTTTTCATTTTCACCTATTGAATTATTTCCCTAAAGTAATGTGTGGGAAATATTCAATTCTATCCGCCCAGTTCCAACCTCTCATTCGAAGCCCTTCTTTATCTGCACAGGAAACCCTTTCCAGGCTGGACCGACTAGGGAACCGGCACATGGCTTCCAGCGTTGCCCCCATTGCCGGGCTAGTAGCCGCCTTCCAGGAGTGCCTCTTGGGCTCTGTGGAGGTCGCTCTTAGGCCAGTCCTTTTCCAATTTTTTCCCTTTGGGGGAGGAGAGCTCACCAAAAGAATCGAAAGCAAGGAAGACTAAGTCATTACTAGATTCCTACCAGAACACTGCCAGTTGCCCCCTCCCCACCAAGTTCTGAACCCTGAGAGCCTGCTCTGGCCAGAGTTTTACAGATGTTGTAAACAATCTCTAGAAATCCATCCAAATCACGTAGTCTTTTTTCAACCTTCACGGAATTGAGGATTTTAAAGCTAATTCAAGGGGTTTTACAAGCCCAACAAACACAGTTGTAAAAATGCCATTGGGCTGCTATCACATTTTACAAAACGAGATTGAGCCATGTGCTGTAAAAGTCAACTATCTCGAAGGCACACCTCTCAGGCAAGAGTGAGCAGCCCAGGACAGGCTTTTCCTGTCCTGTCTGGGGACAGCCAGGCCTGGGACAACAGTGAAAGCAATTCAGGATTTCTGGAGCCAGTGAGACAACATTCCCGGTTCTGGAGCCACTGCAGGGCGGCAGCCCTCCGCGGTCCCAGGAAGGGCAGTAAAGAGGGCGGCCCTAGGACAGTGCCGGCTGTCGGGCGCCCCGGAAACCGAGCTCATCAATTATCCCCACGGCCTTGGGCCCCGCAGAGCTGCCTTCTGTGCCCAGCTTGGCCAGGGCCCCTGGGCCTCCTGCGCCTCTGGAATGAGGACAGAGAGATTCCACACCTGGATTTTTATCTGCCTCAGCTCTGAGCGGTTCTGCCCGCTGATGCCGAGTCCTCAGGCGCTGGGTAAGGAGCAGGTACCTAGGCTGGCTTAGGTGCCCAGTCTCACGGCCGGCTGCTGCTCTGTCGGTTCTTTCTGGTGGAAACGAGTGGTTTCTGGCCTCTCAATTCTCTGGGTTCAAACGTGGGATGGGGACGCCCAGCTGGAAGGGCTGCTTTGAGACCAGGCAGGCTAGGGATATTGAGCCCTTTGGGACTCAACCAAGATGTGTATGTGGAGAAGGGAATGGGTTGGAAGAACCTGCGTTTGGCTGAGTCCTGGTCAGCTCGAGGTGAGCCTTCAGCTCTGGCCTGCGAGGCCCAGGTCCCTGGTGAGAGTGGAGCAGGAGAGACTAAGGCAGTTCACAGATTCCTAAGGCGCAGGAGTGAAGCTCAGGGAGTTCAGGCCTGGTTTTTGAGAGCTCCGGCTCCAGCTCAAGAACTCGCACCCACGAATAGGGGAGCGCTAGGGGAGGGGCGATTCGGGGCCGTGCCTGGAGTGCGGGTCGGCTGGGAGCAAAGCTACCTTTGTCACCGCCCCTCCTGGCGCGGGACCTTCAGGTTTCCTGTTTGGAGGAGGAGGGGCTGGTAACCTGCAAAATTCAATAAAGCAAAAAGGGGAGGAGGAAGGAGGCAGCCTGGTGGGGCCTTTGTGGCGGCCCCAGCGCTAGTGTCTCTACTCTGGCCTGATCTCTTCGCCCCCGAACGGGCCGTGCCCGCCACTGGCGTTCGGGAAGAGAGCCGGGCCGGCTGGCTATGAGCGCCCATTAATCTGCCGGGCGGGCGGCGGGCAGGCGGGCTGGGGGCTGTTTGTAACTTTGCTGCCTCGGTCGCCGCGGTCCCCGGGGAGCGGGCTCCGGCGCTCGCTCCCATTGGCCGCTGCCGCGTCAGCTGGTGCGATTTGCTGCTGTCGCTTTTGGCGTTCGGCCATCCAGAAACAAACCAGTTCGATGACTACTAATAGTTATAGCCAGATGTACTAATACACAACAAATCACAGTCCTGCAGAGGGGCGCGCAAATGAGTTCCTATTTTGTGAATCCCACTTTCCCCGGGAGCTTGCCCAGCGGCCAGGACTCCTTCTTGGGCCAGCTGCCCCTCTACCAGGCCGGCTATGACGCTCTGAGGCCCTTCCCGGCCTCTTATGGGGCGTCCAGCCTCCCGGACAAGACGTACACCTCACCTTGTTTCTACCAACAGTCCAACTCGGTCCTGGCCTGCAACCGGGCGTCCTACGAGTACGGGGCCTCGTGTTTCTATTCTGATAAGGACCTCAGTGGCGCCTCGCCCTCAGGCAGTGGCAAGCAGAGGGGCCCCGGGGACTACCTGCACTTTTCTCCCGAGCAGCAGTACAAACCCGACAGCAGCAGCGGGCAGGGCAAAGCACTCCATGACGAAGGCACCGACCGGAAGTACACGAGCCCCGTTTACCCTTGGATGCAGCGGATGAACTCCTGCGCGGGTAAGGCACGTCCCAAGACAGTGGAGGGAGAGGGGAAAGGAGGCAGGAAAAGAAAGGAGGAGGAAACAGAGTAGAAAGAGGAATAGAGAGAAAGAAAGGAGAAAAGAACCAGCAAAGTTTCTTCAGCTTTTTAAAGAGAAGGAAAAATCTGTTCCCAATGGGGCAATCAGGCAATAGCAAAGGAAGGGCAGGGCCCCATTGTCCATGCAAGGTGACACCTTAGGGGAGGATGGGGACACTGCCACAAATGTGAGACCCATGACAGGGACAGCCTGAAGAGAAAGGGAGGCTGGTGGGGAGGACTGCCTTGTTCATGCATCCTAGGTACCCTGCTCAGCTTCCCAAGCCAGAGGGCCTTCTGCACTGCATCGCTGATAAATACCCTTTGCTTCCCAATCCCCTCTCCTTTTAGCCCCTCAGAAACCCATACAAAGAGAGGTGGCCATTTGGCCTCTTCCGGTGTCTCCCCAAAGCCTTGGAGGGCCACAGCCCCAGACTCAGGATTTTTTCTCTCTCTCCTCCCTCCCCTCCTCCCACTTCCACTCAACTGCTCACTCTTAGCCAAGTTCTGCCTTCTTCTGAGCCCATGCCTGAGCTTCATACACCTGTATTGGAGGGACCCCCACCACCCTTGGGCATCTTTGGCACCAGATCAGACAGTCACACAATCCTACATTGCCAGAAATCCTAGACTACCTATAGCTCCATCTCTTAGACTCTGGTTTCCAAAGACTTCACAGGAAATCCCAGAGACTCCTAGGAATTCCCTAGGACAGAGCCTAATGAAGATTGTTAAAATTACAATGTTTTGCATTAAAGTCCACTTTATCCCTGATGGATTCTGCATTTCTCAGAAGGGTCATATAATTTGTTAGAATGTGTAAAGATTTGAGAGGGCTGATCATTTTTAACTTTCCAAAAAATGTGTTGAGTTCTGATATGGCTGGTCACAATAGCATCCTGAGAGACCACTATGAATTCAGAGTATGTACACTACTTACAGGGTTCCACACCACCCATCCCCAGGCACACACACACACACACACACACACACACACCCTGCATCCCCACAAAAACACTACTTGGGTGTCCCAAATTAAGAGTGCCCATTCTATTTTGCTTGTAATGGTTTTCCTATGAGGCAGATTTTTCAAAAACAATAAGCCCAACTTCAAGTCGTTTTAGGTAGAAAACATCTCGCTTGGTATGAAATTATCTCCCATCCAGTCTGCTTTGGGCCCCCGATATAGTGGGAGAGGCTGGAGTGGACACGGGGTGGTTTCCAGGCAGGAGGCCCCTTGTGGGAGGCACTGGGCTGACTGGGTCGGCTGTCCAGACCCTGGCTTACCGGCGCCCGGCCTTTTCTGCCTGCAGGTGCTGTGTACGGGAGCCATGGGCGCCGAGGCCGCCAGACCTACACGCGCTACCAGACACTGGAGCTGGAGAAGGAGTTCCATTTCAACCGCTACCTGACGCGGCGCCGCCGCATCGAGATCGCCAACGCGCTCTGCCTCACCGAGCGCCAGATCAAGATCTGGTTCCAGAACCGCCGCATGAAGTGGAAAAAGGAAAATAAGCTCATCAATTCCACGCAGCCCAGCGGGGAGGACTCAGAGGCAAAGGCGGGCCAGTAGACCCCTGGGCAGGGACCAGGCCAGCGCTGCAACCTCCTTCGGCTTTGCCCCCTTGCCCTCGCCTGCTCCCCAACTTTTCTCTCCGTCTGCTCCCATCTGGGGGCTTCTGCAGCTTCAGGGGAGCCCGGAGCTTTGCAAGAGTCTGTGCATTTATTTCTTACAAAACAAAACCTCACACACAGCCAATACCAGCGGTGGAGCTGGATGCACTGCACACACACAGTCCCGCTCCACAAGGCTGCCCAAACCCGCTCCGGAGCTCCGGGGTGCGCCCTGAATGCGTCCGGGGCTCCTGTGCTAGTGCCTCTGCGCTCCCCGACCTCGGGACACGGGGCTACTAGGGAGGAAAGAGCCCTGGACCGTGCCCCGTTTCTTGTCTGGGCGTCTCTGCCTAGGTCCCTCGCCAGGCGGTCCCGAAGGGCATCATCAAATCATCTCTGGCCAGTGGAAAGAGGGGGTCTAAGTGCTGGGTCCTGGCGTTGTCGCGGCCTCCCAGGGCGCCTCCCAGAACAGGAAGCTCGAGGAACAAAGGGGGGCCCAACAGAGCCCCGCTTGCGCAACCGTCAGTGGAAGAGAAGCTGCCTCAGACGAGGCGAGCTAACCTGGGAGCGAGTGGTACAGTACAGTCCGGGGACCGTCTGGGCTCCCTCAGGCTCCCGGCTCCGGATTCCCGCTCCCTGCCTCCGATAGCGCTCGCGTCGCCGCCACAGCAGCGTTCAGGACCCAACGAGGGGCCCGGGGCCATGGGAGCCTCCAGAGTCCTGGCTTTCAGAGGTGCCAGGGACGCCTGCAACACCGGGCCTCCAGACGGGAGACTCCACTTGCTTCTCAGCTGTATTTGTGATTTACTTGCGTCTTTCGGAGCCCTGGAAAATAACTACGGAGATACTAGGCACTGCCACGAAATGCTTCCATTATCGCCCTCATTTTATTCCTGGAGGTCTAAGCAAGACCCCAGTAACCCAGCCCGCGGATCCTCAGACCCCAAGCAGCCTCTGTGGCTGCAAGGAGCCTGGGCCCACTCGCTGAGTTCAACGAGAACCCTCCAACTTGGGGCCCGGCTGGCTCGAGGAACCAGACGCTGTGATGAAGATTTTCCAAGCTGGATACGTAAGCAAATCAAATAGCAAATTAATGACACGAAAACCATACTCACAAGAAAGAAAAATCGACTACGGTTATAAAAGTCTATGGAATTTGACCTCGCTTTGGAGAAACACTACACAAAAGCTATCTTTACTAGACGCCTGTCATTTAAGAGCGGCAGGGACACTGTCCCTCTTGCGCTAGCAAAAACAGAGCCGTAATTGTAGCTGCTGCTGCTGCTGAGGGCAGGATTTATTTCTCCAATTGGCTAAATGGCTTTCCCCCTTCCCCGAAGGTGGTATCTGTATTTTCAAAATTCAGAGCTGCCGGCAGGACGGGCAGAAGCGACCCCAACCTCGACACAAAAATAAGAGAGGCTGCAAAACGGGGGAAATAAAGTTGTTGTAAATAAAATGCAGGTCACCACCTCCCCCCAATCCTCTGCATCCTCGCCCGGCGCGCGATCGGCAGCTGACGGCCTAACAATCGGTACATCCTAATGGAACTGCGAGGGAAATGCAATAATTTTGCCATAATGGGCTGTAACCTCAATTCGACCCCAGCCCTTGCAACCCCGGGTCGGAAGCGGGGCGATGCGCCCTAACTCCAGCGGGTGGCGCTCGAGTCCGACTGAACGGCGGCAACGGGCGGCGGGCACGCGCCCGGGGCGCGCGCGCCAACCCTCTCGCCTCCACCCAACTCCCCCATTAGTGCACGAGTTTACCTCTAGAGGTCATCAGGCAGGATTTACGACTGGACAACAAAAGCACGTGATTCGAAGTCGTACCCCATATTTGGGTGCCTACGTAGGAGGGAACCAAGTACATGTCCCAGTCATTTCCATAATTCATCATAAATTGTGCAAGGGTGCTATAGACGCACAAACGACCGCGAGCCACAAATCAAGCACACATATCAAAAAACAAATGAGCTCTTATTTTGTAAACTCATTTTGCGGTCGCTATCCAAATGGCCCGGACTACCAGTTGCATAATTATGGAGATCATAGTTCCGTGAGCGAGCAATTCAGGGACTCGGCGAGCATGCACTCCGGCAGGTACGGCTACGGCTACAATGGCATGGATCTCAGCGTCGGCCGCTCCGGTTCCGGCCACTTTGGCTCCGGAGAGCGCGCCCGCAGCTACGCGGCCGGCGCCAACGCGGCGCCCGCCGAGCCCAGGTACAGCCAGCCGACCACGTCCACGCACTCGCCTCCGCCTGACCCGCTGCCCTGCTCCGCCGTGGCCCCCTCGCCCGGCGGCGACAGCCACCACGGCGGGAAAAACTCCCTGGGCAACTCCAGCGGCGCCTCGGCCAACGCCGGCAGCACCCACATCAGCAGCAGAGAGGGGGTTGGCACGGCGTCCGGAGCCGAGGAGGACGCCCCTGCCAGCAGCGAGCAGGCGAGTGCGCAGAGCGAGCCGAGCCCGGCGCCGCCCGCCCAACCCCAGATCTACCCCTGGATGCGCAAGCTGCACATAAGTCATGGTAAAGCCAGCCTTTTTCTAAATCCACGCGACCACGGGGACGCGGCTCTCGATCCCCTCTCTCTCCTCTGCCACTCTCTCCCAGTCTCTCTCCTGGTCTCATTTCTCCCCGCCCTGCAGAGCCTCTCCTTGCCATTCTCCTTCTCCTGCCTTCCTCCTTCCTGCTCTTCTTTGCAAACACTCTGCGCTCACAAATAATGGGGGAATTGGGCGCTGGCTGGGCCAGTTTAGACATTGAAAGGGGAAGGAAGCAAAAAAAACCCCTTTGAACCCCAACGCCTTGTAACGCGCTCCCGGGTCAGGCCAGCCGAGCAAGGTAGAGGTAGAGGATGGCGGTAGGAGCCGCGAATCGGGCTTGTCAGGGCGGATGATTTATGAAGAGGGCTACGCTGGGGAAACAGCGTTACTAATTAGAGCCCCGGAAAAGGGGCTTGGGGGAAAAATCGAGGCGAGAGCCGGCAGGATTCTGAAGTTTGGGGGCAGGAGGGAGAGAGAAGGAAAGGGAAGAAAAAGAAAGCAGGCGCCCCAAGCCTGCAGGCTGGACACTGGAGGCGGCTCGCGGGACTGGAACTTTGAGGGAGGGTGACCCGAAGGCCACTTGGGCGCTCAGGAAAGGGCCGTGCTTCCTGGGCTTCTGAGCGGTGGGCAGCCTGGGAGGGCTGTACCTCCCGAGCAGGGCGCCCGGGGCAGGGCGGAGAGGGCAGGAGTGAGGCCAGGGAAAGCCGGAGTCCTCCAGACACGGCCCCAGCCTCAGATGGGCGGATTGTTCCCAGGGTCCAAATCGTATTGTTTTCTCTCTAGAAAGGAAGAGGGAAGGAAATTCGGGAGGGGTGTGCCGGCTGGTAGGGAGAACTTGTTGAGCCTTTCGCCTGGGTTCCCTACTCAGCACTCGAGCTTGTCCCCCTGGCGGACTTTGGAAGCCAGGGGGTGAGGAGTTGGTGGCTAAACCGCTGACTTTTCTATTGCAGACAACATTGGCGGCCCGGAAGGCAAAAGGGCCCGGACGGCCTACACGCGCTACCAGACCCTGGAGCTGGAGAAAGAGTTCCACTTCAACCGCTACCTGACCCGCCGAAGAAGGATTGAAATAGCACATGCTCTTTGCCTCTCCGAGAGACAAATTAAAATCTGGTTCCAAAACCGGAGAATGAAGTGGAAAAAAGATAATAAGCTGAAAAGCATGAGCATGGCCGCGGCAGGAGGGGCCTTCCGCCCCTGAATATCTGAGCGTTTAAAGTACTGAGCAGTATTAGCGGATCCCGCATAGTGTCAGTACTAAGGTGACTTTCTGAAACTCCCTTGTGTTCCTTCTGTGAAGAAGCCCTGTTCTTGTTGCCCTAATTCATCTTTTAATCATGAGCCTGTTTATTGCCATTATAGCGCCTGTATAAGTAGATCTGCTTTCTGTTCATCTCTTTGTCCTGAATGGCTTTGTCTTGAAAAAAAAAAAAAAAATAGATGTTTTAACTTATTTATATGAAGCAAGCTGTGTTACTTGAAGTAACTATAACAAAAAAAGAAAAGAGAAAAAAAAAAACACACAAAAAGTCCCCCTTCAATCTCGTTTAGTGCCAATGTTGTGTGTTGCACTCAAGTTGTTTAACTGTGCATGTGCGTGGAAGTGTTCCTGTCTCAATAGCTCCAAGCTGTTAAAGATATTTTTATTCAAACTACCTATATTCCTTGTGTAATTAATGCTGTTGTAGAGGTGACTTGATGAGACACGACTTGTTCAACGTGTAGTGACTAGTGACTCTGTGACGAAAACTGTGACTCCAAGCGGTGTGTCCCTGCGTGCCTTTGTAGGACCCTTTGCACGAACTCTGGAAGTGGCTCTTATAAGCGCAGCTTCAGTGATGTATGTTTTTGTGAACAAAGTTACAAATATTGTCCAAGTCTGGCTGTTTTAAGCAAACTGTGATCAGCTTTTTGTTTTGTTTTGTTTTTTGTTTTTTGGTATTTGTTTTTAAGGAAAAAATACTGACTGGAACAAAAAATAAACTTTCTATTGTAAGTTCTCTTGGTCTGGTTTGTGCCAAATAGTGAGTGGCTCTGTCTGCTTTTCTGTCTGTCTGTTCAGTCCTGGAAGCCTGTAGGTCTGAGGCTACCTGAGCAGATGACCTGTGCAGGGCGACCTCAGACCAACACTGGCCCATCACCTCCCTAACTCTGACCCATTACAAAGTTCAGGGCAGAAGGTGGGAAAAGCTGCAGGCAGTTCCAAAGCCCAAGGCCACCCTGCCCATCTCTGAGGAAACCAAGTTAACTTGCTGGGTACAAAACAGAGAGACAGAGTGAGAAAGAAGGAGAAAAAGCCCAGGGCTTTGTTAGCTGCCCTCGGGCCACACAGACCCTGCCTCTTTCCTAAGGCTGCCCTAGGCCTCCACTTGCTGGAGACGCTGCTCTGCCTGGCTGTCGTCCCCAAACCCTCTGCCCTTAACCCGTCCCAGCACCCCTTCCCCACTCTTCACCCTGGACCCAGTTGGCTTCTTCTGCTACAATTAATTTGCTACAAATGGAAGGTACTTACCCCATCCTAGCTCGATTGGGAAACTCCTCAGAGCAGCTAAAGCGCAACTAGAGATTTGCACATTTACCGACTGCTTACACTGATGCCGTCTTTCCTTTTAAAAGTTATAAAACAGTAAACTTTATAAGCCCCAGTTCCGGCTATATGACATTTGGGTGCCAAATGAATAGGGTTTTGTCTATGAATTAGATCGTAAAATCATCCATAGCACAGACAGATCGGCTCACTGGCTATAAAACGTCACGTGGGGCCATTAAAGTAAGTTTTATGGTTTTGGGGAGTTGACATCCAACATTATATACCACATAACATATAATCTCACTAACGCTGGACTCCATTTGACTCTTTTGCAGGCTACGTGTGCTGCCTGGCCATTCAAACTGTCAATTTTAGGTCCAGAAGTGTCCAAACCACAAGTTCTCAAAACTCTCTGAAAAATGGCTCCCTCCGAGTTAAGGTAAGCTCGCCTCTTGAGCGCTTTCAAGTTTATTTGTACTTTGGAAAGTTTCTTCCTTGCTCTCTGTTTCTCTCTCTCTTTTTCTCTCTGGTTCAATAACTCTGAGGCTGCCTCTGAATTCGAAAAGGCAGAGCAAACTTTCCCCCTGCCCCAGAGAGCAGCGCCAGGAGCCAGCTCTGCGGAGGCAGGAGGGCGAGCAGCGCCTGTGACCGCGCCGCATCCACAGGCCTAACTTTAATTGCTGCACAACCGCGGATGTTAATGACTTCCGCTGCTCCTGCCGGCGTGCAAAAAGATGATTTTTGTGTGCGAATGGGCCTGTGTGTGGGGACCAGGCAGGGCCGCAGCCCCAGCCCTCTGCGCAATTGCTGGGCCAGCCGGGCCGGCTGCTGGGGGTCACCGAGCTTTGAGGTGGGGGCTGGGAGACGGTGGGGCGCCGGCCGCGGGCGCCGAGGGCCGCGCTGCGCTCAGGAGTTTGAAAGAAAGGCCCGGGTAGGACCGAGGCGGACTCTGGCGGGATTCCTTACGGGGCTGTGGCAGTATGTCTTTGGGGCCGGGGTCTTTGGCAGGGTTGAAATGAGGCGGCGGCCTTCGGGGTTTCAGCCTGGCTCGCGAGAGCCGGGGGGTGGCAGAGGCCGGCGAGGCGGAGGCTGCACCTCCAGGCTGGGTCCCTGGGTTGCGAGGTGGCGCTTGGGCTGCTAGCGCCCACCGGACCCTGGGGACCAAGGGTCCCCACCCTGGTGGGGGGTGCTCAGCACCCCCTCCCCCGCACCCGGGACCAGGCCCTGAACCCTGTTTGCCTGCACGTTCTTTTTATTTCGGTGGGACTGTTCTCACCCGCCTGTGAGTCTGAAGCAATAAACTTTATGGCCGGATTTAACTTTAGTCTTTGAATCCTCAGGCTAATTGAAAGGGGTTAAAGCGCTTTCTTTTCTTCAGCCTTGCCTTTCTTCTCCCTCTCTTCTTTCCTTTTCCTCTCCTTCTTTGTAGACTTAAAACATCTACGCACAGGACCCTCAAAAGGCAACTTAGGCGGCCCCCTAGATGACATTAAAGATTGGAGAAATTCACTCCCCCTCAACATACAGGCGAATTCTCTGTTCCAAACCGTGCTCTAAAGTTTGGGGGGAAATTGAGGTGTCTTCAATGCCCAACTTAAAAATCCCCAGAGCCATTAGGTTGTTTTTCCTGACACATCATAAACGGTAGTTTAGGGAAGAAATTGGTCCTTTGTCAGTAGGAGATTTCCGCCTTTCTTTTGTTAGCTGCTCTTTCCGTTTGATCCCAGGAAATTTACATAATATATGATTTCCAGAACAGTCTCCACAATTGCACCAATGGGTGAAGTAAGGTGAAATAAGTTTATCCTGGGTACAGTTCCATACTGGCCCCAGTCACCCCTTCTGGCTTCAATGCTCCATATTCTTCAATGGCAAAACCCAAGCCCAGTAACTGGGGACTGACTATGTGGCCTGTCCTGGGATCTTTTTCTGGATGGGTACCCACAAAGGACTCAGTGTATTTCCCCCAATCCTATTTTAGGAATTAAGCCAAATTCTTCTACTGCATTCAGAAATGAAAGAAAAAATAGGATCTGCTTTTCTCCTTAAGAGCTGGGCAGTTTTTGGCGAGTATTAATTGGTAAAGATACCTATTAGTGCTTAAAGTGAAAACATTGAAAGTAGAGATTTGAAATTTTAATAAAGTTTCTTGTGCAGAGGCCACCTACACTCAACATAAGTCCAACAGATGTCCCCAAAGTCAGAGGTCCAGAAAGCAAAACCTAGAAAGTTGTTGTTTTAAATCGAAACCCTCCCACAAGCCCTACTTTTCATGAATTGTGTTAAGGTAAAGAATCCTGAAGTCATTGTGTGTAACCTATTAAAGTGGACGTTGGTATTTCAGCAGTCAAGAAGAGGTGTCCACATCTTAGTGGGAACAAGAATATAAACTCTACATGGGTCTGGGCTCTCTTTATGTCTGCGAGAATACCGGATTCTTTGTTTTGCTGCTCTGAATTTTGGGCTCCTTATTGGAAAATATTGGGTTATGGTTCCATTGTAATTACTCATTTGGTGATCTTGCTTGAGTGATTTCTTGGTGAGTGAAATTAGAAGCGAGAGAGAGAGAGAGAGAGAGAGAGACAGAGAGAGAGAGAGAGCCAGAGAGAGAGAGAGAGAGAGAGAGGTTCTGACAGTTTAGTTGGAGTAACTCACACAGAAAGTGTCCACACTACCTTCATGGCTATATTCCACCTTGGGGTATGGGAATGAGCAGAAAGCCTGTTGAAGTCATATCCAGCACCACGTAACATAGAGAATGTTTCCAAGGAATGAGAAAAATTACAGGCTGTAAATATTGTCAGCTTGCTTATTTCTGTCTGTTTTAATCTTCACAAAACTTAAGTAGAATTCAAGGGAGCAGGACAACCCACATGGCCACATGGAATTAAATGACTTTTCAAAAATACATCATGCAGTCAGACCTACGTATTATTGGAGGGGTTTTTTTTTTTCTTTCCTCCTATTTTCATAGAAAGCATAATAAAGAGGATGGCTGGTTTTCTGCTCATTCTGTAGATAAGTTATTTCTTTTGTGGATTCTTTTGGGTTGTTCTTGCAGAGGAACTTACTAAGAAAAAATATTTCAGTCACTGAGGGCTTTATGAAGACATCCAGCCTCGGTCGGTGGCAGAAGTGTGTCTGTGCTTCTCGGCAGCAATGTGCAGGGGCTCATTTGTTTCCACAAGCTGAAGAGACAATATTCCTGAACTATAAATACAACAGGAAGCTTCTGGTCACACTACTTACGGGTTTGTTAGGGTTTCCATGGTCTAATTTCACAACATTATGCCAAGATTCCTTTTCTCCTGCTCTTTCCCCTGCTTTACTGTTGGCAGTTCTGGGAAAGCAAGACAGAATTTCCTATCAAAAAACAGAGTCCTGTTCATTTGTTAAGATTCTGAGAGTACTATATCCAAATAATTAGTGAGTGGAAAGCAAATCGCATATTAAAAGATGGGCAATTAAGAAGGAAAACAATCCTTTTAACTTAAAAGATGCCCTTCTCAGCCTCTCCCCTGCCTTGGCTGGGGGTCTGTCCATGCCTTGCCCACCATGGAGAGTGCAGAGCATTACAGGCTCCATCCCTTTGGTTTCTAAGAGGAATTTCCTTCTAGTCAATGGCAAAACTATAAACGGGGCTCCCAGGCAGGGCTGAGGGGGTCAGCCTAAGCTCCCACCCACAGAGGGGAGGGGTCCACAGCCCCAGCCATTCTAAGCCTCAGAACTTGAAGGTCTGCCCAGGTTTGTTTTGTTTGGTGTTTTTCGCAAATAAATTTATTCTTTTCCTACCAGGTCCCCTCCCCACAAACCAGTCTTTTCAATAATAATATTTGTTATGAAGGTTATTAGATAATTATTGCAATTTTGTGAAGCAGCCCTTGCTGGAGGTGAAGTCTGTCATCGCCTAACAAATGACGCCCGCGCAGTTCACTGCCGGGTTAAGTAAATGCAGAGAAGATAAATCTGCACACCCTAGGAATCGCCAGCAGAGCACGCTTTAGTACAAGTTCACAGTCAACTCACCCGCCTGGGCCAGCTCTCCCAACAATTAGGGCTGCATCTTTAGTTTTAAATAAAGGGGAAAAGTGTCTCTACCTCCCATTGCCTGCTTTCCCCATCTTCTCTTTTCTTTCACTTTTTGCAAGGTTCTCCCCTTCTGCTCCAAATTTTCCTTGTAAAATAGAACTATGAGTGATTTCAAGTTAATCTAGTTCCTAGGTGCGCAGAAAAAGAGGTCGTAGGCTGATTTAACAGGAAATACAGTCACAAACACACAAAAACATCCATTTCACCCTCTAATTTCAAATGGCAGTGGCAGAAGCAGGGCATCCTGAGATGCTAGGGGGCCTCTTCCCTCTGAAAGAAGAGGCTCAGCTTTGTGTATCTTTGTGGTTAGTGCGTTACAACTGCAGGTCAAAAAGTTGAGGGTCAAAAGTTTACATTGTGCAGCGCTCTTAGTCATCTGCCCAGACAGAGTTTGATGTCAATGTTAGAGCTGTGATCTTGACTATCAGCACAAAAGATAAAATGGCTCGGAGTGACGCGTGTATCACGGTATGGACTCCAGGTGAACCCTAGTGGTTGAATGACCTCAATTACGGAGGAAAGGATAGAAAATTCCTCTTTTCAAGAGTAATACATGCTGTATTTCATCTTGAATTATTGCTCCCATTCTGAGGGAATAGCAGCAGGTAAATAGGCATAGATTACTGAAAGACCAACACCTTAGGTGTTGGAGAACCAGAAGTCTGTGGGTTTGTCACAAAATAAAAATGCCCAAAACTCATCCGTGGAGCTTTAAAAAGTAATGTTGCAAGTTTCCAATATTTCATTATGCCTTCAAAGGCAACAGAATGGTTCAGGAAACCTCCTTTGTTTGAAAAGAGGGATTTTGATTGGCCAGTTTTTTGTCTTTTTAGTACGTGTGATGACCCCTAAAGTGTGTAAGAACAAATGCAAACACAGGCACTTCTTGCAAAATGTAATCTTTGCAGTTTTCAAACATAGAATATGCTTCTTCTGAAACTACAGTTCGCTGAATGCAAAGGGTTCTGAGATCTGGGAAGGGGAAGGAAGGAAGTGAAAGCTCTCCTGAAAACAGATGATTCCCCCCTTCCCCCCTCCACCACCACCATCAATGACGAAATGCTTACTGGTGCCATGAAAATGTTCCTGTTTGGAAATTTTTGTTACGTTTACTATTAAACCACAATTGAATGTAAGAGAAATGCTACAAGCTATAATTGAAAAACTAGACTGTAGGGAATGCAGAAAGGTGTAATCCACAAATACCAGGCCACTTTGTAAGACCACCACACAGAATAGAATATTTTCTATTCTTCAGAAAGTGCTTTTTAATAATGCCCTTGGAATTAAAAAAAAAAAAAAAAAGCTAAGGAGAAGGGAAAGCAACCTAAGGAGAAGGGTGGGAGAGCAGAAAATAAAGGGAATAGTGTATTCAGGAAGCCGACTGGAACCATGCCTCATGTGTGAGGTGCAACTGAAGAGCTAAACAATATTTTATTTTTCATACATCTAGAAAGGCTTTAAGTGTTGGTGCTGTAAGAATCTATTTTCCAGGGAGCATATTTCCTTTATCTGTGAATTGACCTTCAAGGGATCAATTTAGGAAAACAGAGAAGAGAAAGGTGAAATATTTTCCCTAGGTTTTTCTTTTTTAACTTTGGAGATAATTCAACTACTCAGAATGTAGCCTCTTGCAGGAATGTTTAAGATCATCCCAATATATTTTGGTTGATTGGATTTAACAGTGCCAGGTATGTTCAGTGGTAAAGTAAATATTTCCTAAACACTGCCTTCATGGAAGTAATCAGGGTGCTTCTGTGCAATGTGTAAAGTTTTCACTCTGGCTAAGAGTCAGAAGCCAAATGGGGGTTTGCCAGATGAAACAGAAGAAAGGAAACAACTGCGGTGCTTGCTGTTGCAGCAGTGAGCATTTCACCACATTTGGGCTAGTTAGATGAAGAAAACCAAGACCCCCTCTAGGACTCGCCAAGAAAATTATTTGTCTCTTTGGGGAAAACCTTTTTATTGTGCGTTTTGGTTAAAAACACGTGACGCACCTTAGAAACATATCAGCTTCAAAACCCATAGATACCTCTTAGCTAGTCTTTAAAAGAAAAGGGTACTTGCAGAAGTTATTGCCTTTAGAGTGCTTGCTTCTTTATTTGGAGGATTTTGAATCTTGGGCCTGTCAAACAACCCCAGTTAAAATTCATGTGTAATCCGAATATGAATGTCAGTCCTCATCCCTGGTTTGTGTGCATTATTTTAAACTACTACAAGGAAATTTCCCCCAAATAATTAATTGGTCAAATGGCTGGTAAAGTGTTGCTCCTCTCAAATCTTGTGTCTAGTGTAGGTGGTGGGGAAGCCCTCAAACGCATTTTGAAATCCTGCCATTCTGCGGTTCATCTCGAGACGCGCATCCGACAGAGAAGAGTCTGGGGGACTCTGGCTCTAAAGAACAAAGGACAAATACAGTCAATACATTCCATAACGTTTACATTTCCTTTGCCTTTTCCCCTTGGTTTTTCCTGAGAAGGAGTGACCTGGGCAAAGCACCCTGCTCGCTAAAAGACACTGTATAGACCTTTTAGAAGCGCAAAGTCCAAGGCCGAGGTGAACTTCAGGTCAGTGCGTCTAACAAATATGAAAATGTCGGCTGGTGAAGGGCGCGCCTTGTGATTTAACAAAGACTGTCAATGTGTAAGATTAATAAGAAACAAAATGCACACGGTGTCACTGTTCGGTCACTTTGAAACTTGGGACAGGGTTGCATTCAAGAGGGAAGGCTGTTACAAATATATTCAAAATGATTCAAATCAGATTCAAGCCAAGCTGCAAAACACTGCTTCCCTATCACCCTCCCTCTCCCTCCGACTCCCTTCACTCTTCTTTTCCATCTGGGATTCGAAGACATGAAGAAAAGTTATTTCAGCTATCGGGATTTTAAGAAAGCTTTTGTTGGGAATATATGTTATCCCTGCAAGTGGAAATGAGCAAATGTGCTTACCAGTTTCCTAAGGAAAGGATAATGCTTTCACCCCAATTGAGACTGGAACCAGTTGGCATGCGAGGATTAGCATGCTCCCTCTGCTACATTTCAGGGCATCCCATCTTTTCTCCAGCGAGATGCTGCTGGTAAACTTTAGTTTGTTTATTAATTGAGTTAGTTTCTTCCTGGCTTTACTTTGGTGTCTTGGATATTGTGTAAAGGCAAGCGGTATTTTTTGAAAAAAACTGTTTTTCAAAAGATTATTTGATTCAATGGAATGATGCTACGGTTTGCAAAGGGAGATTGAGGAAGCTTCAGAAAAGGTACTGAGATTGTTTATTACAGCCATAAATCTTGCAGTAAAATGTCAAAATGTCGGTGTGTGAGATAACACTTGGTGGTCCTGGCTCCAGTTGTGTTTATGATACGAACCACAAAGACGAGTTACAGGCCTTGGGGGATTCTGTGTAAGCCCATCTTCCTAAAGTAATAGAACCACACAAAACACAGGCGCAGTTAACTCATTAGGGTTGACCTATACACAAAACAGTGCCTATGTCTCATTAATACTTAAAAATAGAAACTTGGTAGAAGGTTCTGAGGCTAAACAACATGAATTTTGTGGTTTAGTGTCTGTAAATATTAAACAAACATGGTGAAGACCCTCGTACTCAAGGCTGATGACATGAGGAGGCGGAGGGAAGGTTTCCTTGTCATGCTTTTTGTTCCCCCTGAAGCTTAGAGGGTTCTGCTTTTAATACATATTATGTATGTACATATTATTTATATTACATATTACATAACCTATGTATATATCATTTTTTCTTGCTAGGGAGAGATATTGGTTCAGGTAGATGTATCACAGGCTAACTTAGTCCTCAAGTCTAGAGAGGATGGCTAAGGATTACACTCAGTGTTGATTTCTGTCTGTGGCTCAGATTTCATTAAAAACAAATTTTCAGGGTGCCTCATGTGAATGGACAGCACTCTTCACACACATATACACCCATTGTGGAAAATCTCTCTGTACCACTTCAGGGTGATTCCAGTTAGAAAGCTAATATGATCCCCTGTTTAACCTCCTTTTCTAAATTAGTTTAAAGATGAGTCTCATATACTAGGCTTTATGTGGCTAAGCATTAAATGACTATCCATCAAATGGATATATTCCAGCATTTAGTAACTCATATGAGTAACCGATATAAATGAAGATAGAATTGACATTCCTTTTGAAATGTCTCCAGGCTTAGGATATAATTTTCCTTGTCTGCATTCCAGACTCCGTTGTGAGAAGGCTGTTGATATTGCTCTTTGAAAAATTAACTAAGGTGCACCAGCTGAAAAATCCTTGCATTTGCATGCCAATAGGAAAATATTTTTAGAATGGTGACTATGCTAGTTTGCAGTGCTTTAATCTAGGCTGAAAAGTAGAGGATCTAGGTATGTCTGTTACTCAGAAAAGGAAGGAGGAAAGTACACAGTACAAATAAGGCATCAGTATTTACTTCAAAGATCAACATTAGGTGGAATTAATAAGTAACTTATTTGTTAATAATGGTGTAATTAGTGTACCCATCAAATTTCAATTACCAAATGGCAGGCAGCAGTCTCCTCTCCCTCCTTTCCGGAGCTTCTGATATCGTTAATATGCTAATTTTCAGCAATTCAGAAATTATAGACTGTCCTGTAAATGTAACTCTAGCCTCAGATACAGCCTGAGAAAGCAGGTTCCGAAAGAGAAAACATAAAACTCTTAGCTGGAAAAGACCTATCAGCGAGCAGACCAGGCAAGGTGTTTATTCTACCTTTAGCTTGTTTTTGTTTGGGGATTGTTCTGAAATAGGAAGTTGCTGTTTTCAAAGCTCTGTTCTGTGGAGGTGTTCCTTCTATCCATTCCCATCCTTGGGCCACCTTCTCTCTCACAATCGCACCTGGTAAACGCGGGCATATTTAGCTCCGACATCAACAACCCCAGTCAAATTAGATGCTATTAGGAAGGTTCCAATTTTTCTAAGGAAAAAACGAAACACATTGTCCCTCAAAGCAGGAAAAAATGAAAAGTGCCCATGCAGTTATAATGGAATGGCCTCGCTTTACATCCTAGGGTCGATTTCTCTCAGCTGCCCGACCGCCCACCCTTTGCAGCTTCTGCCAGGTTCTCAAAGCAAGGGCTCTCTCAGGCCGACAAGCAAGGAGCTGGGGGTGGGGAAGGGAGACCTGAGGTTGAGAAAATGAGTCTGATGGCCTCTCTGGGCCTACATAAAAACCAGGTTGCCCCTCGGTCCCAACGCCCTTCCTTCCCCCATTTAGCCTAGAACCCCTGAAGGACACGAAGCCTGACTGGGTTGGGCCCGAGGTCAGCGCTGAGTCGCGGCCGCCAGACTGCCCGAGGCCTAGGCCAGCTGTAGGGCAGGCAGAGGGCTCCCGGGAGGACCTACAGCCCGGCAGGGCCCGAATTCCCAGCGGGAATCGAAGTTGGGGGGCTGGGGTCCAAAGCGCCTGCTCCCTCCCCCAGCCCAGGGGCCGGACAGCAGCATCCATCACGAACCCGCGCGTTTCCTGATCCGGGTCCGCGCGCGCAGTGCGCCCATTGGCGGGGGCGCTGCACGTGGGGCACGGGGCGGGGCGCGCGCCGGGCTGGGGAGGAGCGGCTGGAACTTTGGTGGCTGCTTCGGCGGGAGGGGGAGGGGTGAACACTTGACAGCGGGGGGAGGGGAAGGACGCAGAGGAAAGGGGGATGGGAAGCGAGGCAGGAGGGGGAGGGGCCTCGGCGAGCCCAGAAAAAACGACAACGCGAGAAAAATTAGTATTTTTGCACTTCACAAATTAATGACCATGAGCTCGTTTTTGATAAACTCCAACTACATCGAGCCCAAGTTCCCTCCCTTCGAGGAGTACGCGCAGCACAGCGGCCCGGGCGGCGGAGACGGCGGCCCGGGCGGGGGCCCCGGCTACCAGCAGCCCCCAGCGCCCCCAGCGCCCCCAGCGCCCCCGACCCAGCACCTGCCGCCGCAGCAGCCCCAGCTCCCTCACGCGGGCGGCGGCCGAGAGCCCTCTGCCTCCTACTATGCGCCGCGGGCCGCCCGCGAGCCCGCCTACTCCGCCGCCGCTCTCTACCCCGCTCACCGGGCCGCGGACACCGCCTACCCCTATGGCTACCGCGGCGGCGCTAGCCCCGGGCGGCCGCCCCAGCCGGAGCAGCCCCTGGCGCACGCCAAGGGCCCAGCGCACGGCCTGCACACGAGCCACGTCCTGCAGCCCGGGCTGCAGCCCCAGCCGCCGCCGCCCCCGCAGCCTCGCGCGGCGCCCCCCGCGGCTCCGCGACGCTGCGAGGCGGCCCCCGCCACCCCAGGCGTCCCAGCAGGGGGCAGCGCCCCCGCGTGCCCGCTGCTCTTGGCCGACAAGAGCCCGCTGGGCCTGAAGGGCAGGGAGCCCGTGGTGTACCCTTGGATGAAGAAGATCCATGTCAGCGCCGGTACGTGGCGCCGCTGGGGAGGCGCGGGAGGTGGGCCTGGGTTCGAGGGTCGGGGTCAGGAGGGAGAGGCTCAGGGGAAGGGGGCCTCGGGAGGGGAGCCCCCATCTGGCCTGGGCTGCGATGAGATGTGGGTGTGTGCGCGCCAGCCAGCCGCCTGATCCCAACGTGAGAACCCTTTTGTACCCAGGGTCCCTTTATCAGGAGATTTACGAGACGCCAAACTGTTAGGGCAGTAATTATAGCCCCCATAAATTTAATTGCCCTGGCAGAGGCTTCAGGCCATGTGTCTTTGAAGCTTTTCTTCAGCCCCAATGCCCAGCACCATTCTTTATGGCTCTCGGGTGTTTCCCGTTGTCAATAGCCTGTGAAACATTTTCTTTGCCGTTTTATGTATCTTGCGTGAACTTGGTGTCAGGTTATTATATAATGATGATGTCCAATTGCTCTTCCCCACCTCACCTTCTCTCCCCTCCTCCTTTCCCTCTCTTCCACTCCCTCCTCCTTGGCCTTCTCTTTCGGGGTTCTGGGTGTGCAGTCAACCCCAGTTATAACGGAGGGGAGCCTAAGCGCTCTCGAACCGCCTACACCCGGCAGCAGGTCTTGGAGCTGGAGAAGGAGTTCCACTTCAACCGCTACCTGACCCGGCGGCGCCGCATCGAGATCGCCCACACGCTTTGCTTGTCTGAGCGCCAGGTCAAGATCTGGTTTCAGAACCGGAGGATGAAGTGGAAGAAAGACCACAAACTGCCCAACACCAAGATGCGATCCTCCAATTCGGCCTCGGCCTCGGCCTCTGCCGGCCCGCCAGGGAAAGCACAAACTCAGAGCCCGCACCTTCATCTCCACCCTCACCCGGGCACCTCCACACCCGTTCCCTCCTCCATATAATCCTCTAGAGACCTCGACCAGTTTCTATCCCTAACCTCTCTTCTCCTGCTCCTTTCCTCATCCACCCCTCCCAGTCTGGACCATAATAGACACCAAAACAAACCCAACTTGGTGAAAAGGATAACCAAAAAGAAGACATTATCCGGGTAAGAGTATGTGCTGGTTGCCACCCATGAGAGGACAGTTGTCCAGGATGCTGGCTGGTGGAACAAGCCTGCTGGCCTGAACAAGGCTGCCAAGTGTCAATACCTCAGAAGGACTACTTGGTATCAAATACTTTTGAGATGGCTACAGTCAGCTAGCTGGACGGCCCATGCTGTCTGGGAACATATACTTGTATCTTTGTTGAAAGCAGAAGAAAACAGACCCTTTCCCCACCTTCCTTACCTCCTTCTTCCCCATTAAGGCAGCTCATCCAAGCTTGTATTGAACTGAATAAATGAGTAGACATTGTGGACTTCACAAGATTATTTAATTCTTAAGATGTGTAGACCTTGATGTAGATGTGACATTTTAGTTTCCCTTACTTGCATTTATTTAAGAGACTGTCACAGAGATATTGTTGTCCCATTCTGGGTTACAGTCTTTGGGGAGAGGGGAGTGTATTTAGACTCATGTTGAACTGTACAAATTGTGATGTGGCTGTATAGAAAGCCATGTGCTAAGAATAAACTCCATTTAAAAAAACATTAAAAATCTAAGATTCATGTGTTTTCTAAGCTTTTCATTAAGAAGACAAAAATCCTCTGGATTGAGATACTTGACCTTGCATGTAAAAACCTTGCAGATGGCTTGAGCTGTGTTCACTTGGATTCTGACTACTCGCATAATTTTATGTGTGTGAGAGAGTTGTGTGTATGTATGTTCAACTTGAGCTGAACTCTTGTCAAGCTTGGCCTACTGTGGAAAAGTTCCAAAGAGCAGGAAGGCTCTTGAGCTCTGAGAGGGTTCCTCTTCTTCCCAAAATTGGCCAGGCTTTCAGGCTTCAAGTCTCTGTAAGGCATAGAAACGTGTCCTTCCCTGCAATGAAAGTTGAAACCATGCAGTGCTGTGGGCCCAGGAGTTTCTGCAGCTGTTCTACACACTGAACTTTGAGTACACTTGGAAAGAAGTGGTCTCTTTGGTATTTATTGCACCTTCACACTTAATCTGCCTGTTTCCCTGGAGAAAAAATAGTTTGTGCAAAGGGTTAAGATTGCTTTTGTTTCTTGGCTGTTCTTAAGGTCCTCTTCACTAACTGCAGCCTGGGAATTTTTGTTTGTTTGCTTGTTTTTTTTCTTTTTCTTTTTTTTTTTTTTTTTAAGAAAGAGCTTTCAAATAAACTGAATTTTCCAAGTACACTCTCCAAAGTTTGTTCTGAGGAAAGAAAAAGCATAATATACCCCCAAAGTTAACCCCAAGCAAAATAGACCTGGGAGAGTTTACTGCTGGAAAATAGCCAAATTCTGGACTGGGGTCACTTTCCTCAAATGCTTTGTGACTTTTTCTGCTTGATTCCAGAGATCCAGATCCAAAAGGCTGAAAATCAAAACCCATTTCTCAATCTCTATAACCCTAGTATTTGTTTATTGATTTACATTTGGTGCTTACTACAGGAAGTCCCCTATAATAAGATAGCAAAAATCAGTGTACACTAGCCCTAAAATATTAGACCTGTCACCTGGCCTTGAAAAAAATGCAGCTTTTAGGTTATGTAGTAATTTTAGCGTAGATGAGAGTAGGTGCTCACCTGCCTCTGCAATATCAGAGAATTTAAAAACACATTCCTTTCTTTAAAAACCCTTTAGCCAGTGTCAGAGCTGGTACCCCTTTCATCCCTTCTGCCCTATGTGTGCTACAAACAAGGGTGATCAGTTCTGTACCCACAAATCAGATTTGAGAGGAAAGTGTTAGATACCAGTCTCCGAGGAGCCAAGAAAATTTGGGAGCAAACAAATACACGTTTACCTTCCCAAATCAGGATAAACCTGGCATAAAGTACATTTTACAAGGTGTGAACGGGTGCCAGGGATTTCTGGAGGCAATGCAACTGCTGCTGAAACTTATTAACCCTCCCCCTACTACACGTACTTGTAAAACGAAATTAAATCATGCTGAAAATAGCAATTTTCCCAGGAATCATTAATCACCTCATACAATAAATACTTCTTTGTAATTCAACAGCAATTCTGAAAGGCATTCTCTGGGAAAAGTCTGTGGAGGAGAGAGGGATCTTCCTGCAAATAATGTGGTCTCAGGCAAGGACACAGAATCTTGGCTGTCTGCTAAAAAAAAAAAAAAAAAAAAAAAAAAAAAAGAAAAAAAAAAGAAAAACCTAGACTCCTTTGGTGGAAATTGAGTGTCGAGCTGCAAAACCTCAAATGGCAGACTATCATCATTTAAGGTAAATTCTTATATTTCTCCTTTGTGGGGAAAGAGGGGTATGGGAACATTCATTAGCTTCATGCTGGAGGCAGTTGTATGAGGATAAAGGGGATGACTTTCTTTCACTTGCACTTGTAGGTCTATCCAGAAAGGGAAGAGAGAGGTTTGAGATCATTTTTCTGATATTCTGGGATAACATGGCATTTTTGTCCCAACTGTATTGATTATTAAGGTACAAAACCAAGATTATCGGAAATGATCCAAATGATTGCCATTTCTTCAGTGTTATGTTTTGCCTGTTTCAGATTGGCTTTTAAGGGAGCTTGTTATAAGAGATTAGAAAATCCCACTTTGTGCTTCAAAATCATGCATTGTCTGCCCTTTGCTAGGGCAACCATAAGAGTTCACCGAGAGGACAAATTTTCTATCTCATTAATTGTTTTTTTTTTTTTTTTTTAAGCAAACCCTATTGGCCCCTCAAACCCTTGACCTTTAAAGACAGTATTTTGTGTAAGCTCTATAATTCTATGAAAATAACCCTTACACATGCTCTCCTTCCTTTCTCCCTCCCTCCAATCTCTTTTTCCCTCCCTCCAATACACACTTATCTACTTCAGTCACACAGCCAAGCTGTGCATGACTCCAGAGATAAAATGTTTTGTCAACATCTGAAATCAACCTAAATCGGATAGGAGACACTTTAATGGTCACAGTTTGAATTAAGTACTTAACACTCTCCCCCTTGAAGAAAAATGGTACTTTGCAGGCTTCCTTCCCTAGTTTTGCTGAAATCTACGATATACCCGGTGTTTTATTACAGCAGGAATTCAACTGTGACAGGCATAGTAGAGTACTTAATACCCAGGATGAAGCTCATGGGAAGATTACCTAGATAGATGGGGGAGAAGGGAAGTCCCTGTGCATAGCATCTCTGACTTCATACACAGTTGTCCCAGGGTGCCCCATTCCCTACATCTCAGCCTCCTCCCTGTGGGGTGGGGTAGAGTGGATATCACTATCTTTCCTCTGTCCCCCTGTTCCCCTAAGCTCCCAAACTCTGCTGCTCTCCTCACTGTTGCCTTCCCTCTAGCAGTTCTCACATAGAAACAGATCATGACTCTTTAGAAAGGAATAGAAGAAAAACCTAAAGAATGTAGCAAAAAAGCCTGGGGCTTCCCATCTGAATGAGTGGGTTCTGTGCAGGCAGTAGGCTGTCCTTGGCACTCCTTTGGTCTCTGCCTACCTAGACACAGTCTTGTACTGAAAAACACAGGCTCATCTCTCTCAACTGCTGCTCCTGTTGCCCCTTCTCTATATTATACACAAGAATATGGCCCAAGAATAATTCTGCTTTGTGTTTCAAAGAAACACATGGACTGGAAACAATAGGAGGAAGAGACGTGTGTTCTGTTCCCTTGATGGTATGAGGGAGGCTGCTGTGGCTGTCTTGAAACCCTCTAGTCTGCAACTTATAGAACTCTGGCACCTTTTCTGAAGACTCCAAACTTATAGGGCACCCCTCTCCCTTTCAAGCCAGCTCCACTTTCTCTGAGATTGATTCATCCGGTTGAAAGAGATTCCCAGATTGAAAGATTGTCCAAGATGAAAGAGACCTGGAGGCCATTTTGGTTCAATCTTCTTAATTTACAGATGAGAAAACTGAGGCAGCTGAATAATCCTTCCTCTATATTCCTTATGTTAATGAGTGTGAGGGTGAAGTGCAACCTTTAGTCTTACTCTAGAGAGCAGTAGGGTCACAGGCATCTTTCCTCTTGGGAAGCTATTCTGCCAGGAATGGATGTATCTAAGCTTACGCTTGACCTGGATGGCCACAGGTGTGTACAGCCAGAGAAGAATGATGGGTTCTTGCCTCATGTGCCATCGAAGCTGCTTGGGGAGATTTTTGTAACCAAACCACCCTAGTCATGGAGCTCAGACAGGTGGTCTGGCCACTGGGCTCAGGAGGGGACAGATGTCAGGGTGCCTCAGAGAGCAGTGGACTCCTCACTGTCCACAATGTTCATAGTCCCAAAATGACTAATTCTGTCTTTCTTGCCCTGCTATTTTTATGGTGGTGGCTTGCCTCGGACCAGGGCAAGGGTGAATGCGCTCCGGAGGCCTGCAGAGCCAAACAAGGACCCTGGTTGCAGCTGATAAAGGTGTAGCGCCTGTTCGAGGGAGATACTGAAATTGCAATCTTTGAGGTCACGTGACTCATTAAATAATTAATGCAGATCGTCAGGAATGGATCGGAGTCGTCAGGGCCTCACTAGGAATGAATCTCTCAGAAGTGAGACTCCAACTTCCCATTTGATTTTTAAAAACACACACCCTCAGCTTTATCTCCAAAAGCTTTTAACTCCTTCAGGAAGGCAGGAGAGAATCCTTCGGAGGGGAGGACAGAGCTGTCGGGCCCTCGCCGGGTCTTGGGGCTTTTTCCGCAGGCTTTCTGCGAGTCCGGGGAGCGCGACGCGTCCGGGGAAACGTGAGTTCGGGCTTGGGTTTTCTGCGGTCACATCCTGGCTTTGGTGATGAAGTGGGACGGATGCGCAGATAGTTGGTAATACTCTGATTCACGCTGGGGAAGGCTGCAGAGATACCACAGGACAGGCGCGCGGCTTTGTTCAATTTTCCCGGCGTTCATAAATCACCCGCGCCGGGCGAGCGAGGGAGCAGGCGAGCGCCAAAAACGCGGAGAGAGAGGCCGCGGCGGCGGCGGCGGCGGCCATTGCAGAGCGAGAGACCTGGGCAGCATCTCTCTGTGACTCATTAGTCTGAACGATTTATGGGGGACAGCAGCCATGAATATTAGACTTGGGGATAAGGAAGGAGCAAAAATAATAATAACCATAATAATTACGTACTCCTAAGTGTTGCGCAGGAGGGTGGTGGATGGCAGCATAGTGGATCTTTCTGGGGTGAAATTGAGAGGCAAAGTGCAAGATGGATGAGTACACACCTTGCTCTAGGTCATGCCAGGGGCCCCAAGACCAGGGGACACTCCCTTTGGGGACACAGATAGCAAGTTTGAACAAGAGAAAGGGGGCGCAGCATTGATCTTGAGCCCTTTTCCTTTGGTTTGTGGGGGCTGCGGGTCGAATGGTGGCAGAGCGCAGCTGCCCTTGTGCGGCCACTTGTTCAACGTGCTAGGGGGCTCCGAAGCAAGGGGTCAGGGGACTCCTCTTCAGGCGCTATTTGATAGCGCCTCTTAGCGCTATCTACAGAATTGCAAGGAGGCAGACAGACAGTGGAGGGCTGGTTTGGGGCAGGCTGGGGTAAGAGGAGGTTACCTGGGTCTGGGTGAAGGGCGAGTGGGGACAGGGCTAGGTCTGTAGACGAAGAGAGCCCGCAGAATCCCAGCGGAGTGCAGAACTTCTCCAAGGCAGAGTCCAGCGCGCGGACGATTCTTTGCCCCTTCCCTAGCGTCTCCCACAGAGCTGACTGCCTGCTCGGTGACCATTTGTTGGTTAGAGGGCAAGAGAGGGTTGTAAATATTGTGAGGGACCAGATTTGAGTAGAATCAAGGCATCAAGTTGGCTTGTGGCCACTGCGCAAAGGCCAGGCCGGAGCAGAGTCCCTGAGCAGGTATTGTACCAGCCGGTGCCCCTCCCAGTTTCCAGCAGCCTTAGTTGGCCTGCTCTGAGGGACTAAGCTCTGCGATAGTCCCGCCAGCTCATTAGGACCTAGAAGGCACGTACCCACGGTTGGATAAACCAGAAGATAAAACCTCCCAAGACTGCCTCTGGCCAGCGGACTGAGCCCGGGTCTGATTTCGCGCCAACAGAAATGAACGCTATTAGTGAGGTTTCAGGAGAGTCCGTGATTGAATGCTCCCAGACAAGGCGTCCTTTTGTTAGGAAAAGAAAATAAAGCGAGCATTCATATTCTCTAAGTTGGGGTGCCTGAGGAGAGCTCTCTGAAAGCAGCCCACACCACCAGCAAAGCCGCTTCCACCTTCTCAGCGTCCTCTCTTTCATTTTCTTTCCTCTCCCACCCCAACCCCCTCCCCCAAAAAAGAAAGAAAAAGGAGAAAGTGTGGGTGCGGAGATGGAGTATGTATTTATTTTACAAAAATAAATCACCATCTTTGGGCCATTTGTAGACTGGAACATTTCGAGCAATGAGTGCACCGCACGGACGAGTGCCCTAGCGACTCCTTGGTGTTCGAGTCACCCCCAGGGCCACCTTGGCGCTCGCAGGAGCCGCGCTTCCCACCCTGGGCCTCCAACTCCCTTCTCTCGCAGCCGCCGTTTACCCTCTGCTGTTTATTTGTCTGCAGAGCGCCTGGACACTGGAAAAGGCGATTCCCTGAGCGCCCGGAGTTGGAGACAGTTCCTAGTTCAGATTTAAACATCTTTCTAGGTAAGCGCTGCTTCAAAGCTCTTCGCTGCGTGGGACTTTGCATCAGGGGGGTTGGGAGGAGTTGGCTGTCCACGGCTCCTGGCAACCGCGGCCTGTTGAAAGAGGTTCTGGTCAATATTTAACTTCAGAGGAGTTTGGAGTTGGATTCTTTTAAGCTGCTTGCCCTGCAAATGCGGGGCCTCAGGCAGACAAAGAGTCTACCCCAAAGCCAGCGATGGTCAGGAGAAGTGGTTGCAGAAGGCAAAGATGGGTTTTGGAGAGTCAGAGGGGGTGTGTTTATTTCTTTCTGAAAGCCCCAAACAAACCACTACACTGAACTTCAGGGCAAAAGCAAGTAAAGGCCATGGGTATGCGCGCCGCGGCCGCTGCGTGGGCTGCTCTCCTTGCTGACCGAGGCGACTGCGGAGGCTGGGAGTTAGGAAATTGTCGCCAGTCCCAGCTCGCTGTTGAGGAAAACTTGTCTCACTGCCTTGCAGTTTCTTAGATCCTTTTGCCTTTTCTCAGGCATGAGAAAGATGGCTGTGTTTCTAACCTTTAGGCCTTCGCAGGCAGCGGGTCTTCTCCCTTCCTTCATCAGGGCTCATTCTCGGTTCTTCCTACGGGGAAAAATATGCTTTTCTATGTCTTGGCGTTTTCTTTTCCTATTTGGAACAAAGGAAAACTCTTTTAAATTCTTTTCAAGTTCTGCCTTAATTTGTTCTCTTAGTTTGGGATGCAGGGAGGTAATTACTGTGGTTTATTACCTTGTAAAAGATCCATAAATTACGTGCCTGTTTGGGGGAGGGGCTGCTTGAATAGCTTTCAAAATCATGGTATGAAGGAATGAGTTTGCTTTGTTCTTTCAGGAATTACTTATTTTTAAAAAGTTTTGAGATTTTGTTTTCTATTCCCTAGGCCTCAAACTTCCCTTAAATTTGCTCCCAAATCGATATAAGATTGTTAATTAATTGCAACATGATATGCAGTGGTGCTCTAAGGCCGATATGGTGTTCTGGATACAATTATTATTTTTTCCAATAGAAGCTAAACAGAGCAATAGTCAAGCTGGGTTACTTTCTCAGCTACTGTATGTCTGTTTATATCAAATGTAGACAAAACGTTTCAGGAATTCGTAACTCCATGTATATGACTTCCATCTCTGCAAACAACAGAACAATTGCATGTGTAAATAGTTGCAGGAGTTTGGGGCCGTGTGTATAACACAATATACACATCCACATGTGTCCAGAGAACTTGCCTCATTTGTACTGCACTTGCACTCACAGGAAATACCTCATCTTAAATAAGAATATATCACACACACACACACACACACACACACACGCAGTGCGCTAAGAGAGCCTTACCTGATGCTGAGTAGAAAATCCTCTAGATTTAAGTAATGGGACAAAAATGTTAAGTGAATTTTTGATAGAGAAATCAGATTACAGTGTTTGAGTACAGATATATGTAATCTGCCAACAGCCTTGCAAATATTGACTAACAGTCTGTATCACTGATTGCCTGCTTTTTCCAGCCAACTTTCCCCCTATTTTGGCTCTAGTGACCAGGACCACAGCATGAGTCCCAGCCCAGGCCAGGTTAGAGGCCAGTGAAGTGAGTGAGGAGGGACTGGCAGCTGGATTTTTAAAAGGCCTGTAGCTTTGCTCCAGGAGACTGGATTGCAGAGTGGCAAAGGACAACTGTCAGCTGCTGTTTCCCCAGATAGGCTTCCCAGGCCAAGATCTCTCATAGAGAAACAGTTATTTACCTCAAAAGTTAAATGTCTTTTGACTTCTCAGACTTTTCCCTTCTCATCCCACCAAATCACCCAATCCCATCCCAAGTCATTAATGTTAATTGTTAAACAGCAGTTGGAGCATTAACTGGGATGTTAACAGCCCTGTGGAGGCCCTAGGCTGGAGCTGAGAGATGCCTCTGGGCTTTGCTGGCGTTAAGGCATTTCTCTGAAGCAGTACCAGTGACTTCTCTCATTGATTTATGGCTTTGTTTATTTATTTATTTTTTTCTGAGACGTAGGTAGTCTCACTCTGTCTCAGGCGGGAGTGCAGTGGTGCAATCTCAGCTCACTGCAACCTCTGTCTCCCGGGTTCAAGTGATTCTCTAGCCTCAGCCTCTCGAGTAGCTCAGATTACAGGCATGCACCACCACGCTGGGCTAATTTTTGTATTTTTACTAGAGATGGGAGTTCGAGACCAGCCTCCATGTTTGTCAAGCTGGTCTCGAACTCCGCGTGATCCACCTGCCTTGGCCTCCCAAAATGCTGAGATTACAGGCATGAGCCACTGTGCCTGGCTGACTTATGGCTTTAAGAGTTTTGATTTGCTCAAGACTCTTCCAAGAGTTTTGAAGGGGATCCCTTCTCATCTTTGAGTTGATGCCTCTGCAGAAACTTGAGGGTGGGGAGGAGTTTGTCAGCAACACCTCCAGGTCCTTTTCTAGGGTATCTGGAGAGCTCATTGTGAATTATTGGTGGGGGGAAGAGGGATGCACATAGCACTAAGAATGAGAAGAGTGAGTTCTTGGGGGATAGGACAATGCTTTTTAGAAACCGGATCTTGCTCCTGTCCTCTATCCCCCAAACCTGAGAGAGGCAGGTTTTCACTTTTACTTCTTACTTTCCAGCTTATAACATAGGAGCTGGAAAAGTTCACATGGAGGTTTTCTTCCAGCTACACCACAGATTGAACCTTATTCAAATATTGTCACCAGTTTAGGCCAGGACTTGCTTTCAAGGGATTAGGTCTCTTCTTTCATTGCCCTTCTGATTTAGATAACCCATGACCAGGTTCTCTTATTAAGGGCCTTACATTTTCATCAGACCCCTTCTGTTCCTCTGCAGGGGAGGAGTGAAGGGGAGGAATCATGTACAGCCTCCTGAAGCTGCTACAAGTGAGTCCTGACACTTAGGTATAGCCAGCTGAAGACCCATTCTCCAGAAACAACAGAATATGGCCGGAGGATCTCACTAGCCTCACAGCACTCTCAGAAGTTCAGAAACTAAGAATGGGAAAGACAAGATTTTTAGACAGCACATGAAACAGTACTATGCTGAAATCGGTGGGCAATGTCACCAGGCAGAAGGCAGGAGTAGGGATGGGGGCAGCTTATTTGTTTCAGTTAGGTTCCTACTGAGCACAGCTGGTTCTCTACTGGTTTTCTCCTCAAGATTATTTTCAGAGTTCTGAAGAGGGATCCTTCTCATCTTTGAGTTGATATGTCTCGGGGTGGGGGGAGAATTTGCTGGTGGACACAGAATTGTCTTGGAAAATGGGTAGACAGACGTGCCTGTAGAGAGGGTTCCAGGTTGCCTTGTTAACTCAAGGCACTCCAGTGAAGGTTGATTCTTTTGCTTTTTTTTTGGCGGGGCGGTGGGGGGGGTCTCTTGCAGATCAATCGGATCATTTCCTCTGATATTTTTCATCTTTAGAAACCTACAGTTTAATGTATCACTCAGCTGTGCACTGAGGAAATGCTTAAGTTTGGTCAGGGCACTAGGTTTCTTCAGATTTTACAAAACCGGGACCACCACACTATAGCCAAGCACATCTTTCCTCATAGGCTTCCATTGAACAAAACCAGCTGGACTTGGAGGAGATGTTTTAACCTTTTGTCAGATAATTATGGGCCTTTTTGGTTTCTCTAGTGGCTGTGGTGTATGGTGTGGGTGTTAGCAAACTCCATACAATGGAAGGCAGGGAGGAAGTCCGATATCCAGGCCAGTTGTTTCTGGGCCTGCCCCTTGCCTTTTGATATACTGGCCTGTGAGCCAGAGGAGACTGAGGTGCATGGCCGTGCAGGATCCAGCTTGTCCGAGGGTGGGAGGCTGTAAGGAAAGTTAAGTGGATTCTAAAAATAAGTATAGCATTGCTGTACCCTTGTGTTTGGAGTGTGTGTAAAGAAATGTAAGTGGAGATAAGCTGTCTTGTATGGTATTCATGTGGGGATGGCCCTTAGCATTCTATTGCTTAGACAGAACTCTTAAACTCAAAATTGCTGGTTGAGGTCCCCCACCTACGCTCCCTCAAAGCTAAATATTCTGTTTGGAAACCTAGTTCCTTTAGTGGTTCCCTATTTCAAATAAAAGGATTTAAGTTGACATATGACCACGTGAGCACATAATACAGCGCATTATTGTGGCATTTGGAGCGGAGACCCAGGCATGCTTCGAGTGTGATTACGTTTTCTAGATTCTCTACAGAGCTGGAGCTTTTCCCCAACCCCCACGCACCCACCTCCTCCTTCTCCTTCCCCTTCTCCGGAGAGCATTCTCTGAGCAGGTTGCGGTTTTCAGCACTCATGGAGCGGTTCTGGGCGAGCTAGCTGATGGAAGTCGAGGCCATACCAGGAGGATGGGATTTATTTTAAGGTATTTCCGCTGATTGTTCATATCTAGAATGAGTTATGGCTGTGAGAGACAAAGGTCAGGCGAGGAGACCCTGGCTCATGGACAGGACCCTCAGCCTCTCTCTTCCTTTGTTTCTCTTTTAGAACTGAAACCATTTGAAAGATTCCCAGTAGTGCCTCAGAAAGTGTTAGGGGTGTAAATTAGGGGTATTGGGGGGCTACTAGGTGGGCCCCATGGCCCCCAGTGCAAGGGTGGCTTTGTCTACTGCAGCAGAGCAGGGCTGGAGTCTCAGGAACTGAGCCCAAGGCAGAAAGAGGGTCCTGAAGCCCGGTGCAGGCCGAGGTGGCCCGGCTTGCAGGGCAAGACTGCCTGGGAGGGATGGGGGTTGGGTGGGTGAGAAGGGAAATCTCTCCCTGGATGGCAGTGTTTTCTGGCAGGGGATGGAAGGTTAGGGCTGACCTGAGCAGCCTGAGCAGCCTGAGCAGCTGGAAGAGGGAAATCAATGAGGGAAATGTACAGATGTGCTGCCATTTTATTGATGATGCTTCCAGACACTTTGTTTAGTGCCAGCTTACAGAGCATGCTTCCCCACAAGCCAGACCCAAGAAGCCAGACCCGAGGATCTGAACTGGAGGGCCTGCCATTGTTTCCCTGAGCACTCCCTGCCCCAGAGGGATGAAGAAAGACAGCTCAGACCTAGGAGAGCCTTGGGCTGGGGTGAGCTTGCTGGATGCCCCGAGGCTCCTTATTCTAACATTCAAGAGACAGAGTAAGGAGGGAGCCAGGATTAGGTTTGGACTTCATCAGTGTGCCTGGTCTGGGCATTCCTTGTATAGCCCCAGCTGGCTTGGAGAGTTCCAGAACTGGCCAGTGTGAGGGAAGTCCAGAAACAAGATTCCTCAGGAAGCAGAGGCAGACATCTCTACAGCTTCAGAGCTCCCAAAACAGAGCTGTAGCCAGGGTGGAGGCAGATGAAAGTTAAACCGCATGTTTTAAGATTATTGGGAAAGCCCCATCTAATTGGGCTTTGGGGACCCCACACTCCTGGGAAGGGTAGAAACTCCCTGGAAAGATATAGGAAACTCTACTTTATTCTGCTCCTTGGAGTAGGGAAAGGGATGCTTATAAGGAGTCAGAAGTTGGATTTGTCCCTTTGACTTCTTAAAATATAGATTATTTATTTCTGTACTTGAAAAAAAAAAACAAATAGGGCATCCCCTACTTCAGTGGGATTTACTACCCCAGAACGAAAGGGCCCTTCTGCCCTCCCCAATGCTGGCCTCGGCAGTAACTGTGTTTAACTGAGGCCCTTTCAAGTGCTCTAAAATACCCCTTGGAAATAAAATGTAAGCTTTAATTGCTGTTCAATTACTTGTCAGCATTTCATATGATTTATGACCTAGTTCTGGCGCATTTTTGACCCAGTTAAAGACTCATAAATAATATAGTTTTCACTAGAAAGAATGAGAGAGGGAATAGAGGTTTGTTAGAGGCATCTTTTTATTGTCGATTCAGTGCCAGCAAGCTGAATAAATATCTAAGGATGGACTCTGGTTCTATATAAAAGCATGCACAGTGAGAAGCCAAGAGCCACATTTATAGAGCTCAGATTCGTTTTTCCTTCCACGAAAGTGCTAAAGTCAGTCCAATATGTATAATGCTAAACTATTAGGTATCAAAAAAGGCTGGTCCCCTTCTACCTCAAAATGGCAGCTTCACCCTCACAGGCAAGTACATTTCCTGAATAATTTTCCTCCCCTTCTGGGATTTTGATGCCTCTTCTTGCCCACATTATTCCTCACCTTCCTCCCAGCTGCATAGCCTTGGAGCCGCCAGAGGCCCTCTCAGACGCCTTCAGGAGGACACCCTCTTGAATGGTAGAAAGGCACCACGGGTACCTTTGCTGCTCCAAGTATTCTTCTAGTGCTGAGAAAATGTTTTCTTCTAGTCCTCCCTGGATGAGAGATCGGGAGCCACGGGGATCTGGGGAAATTGGTGGAACCAAGGGGTCCTCTCAGTAAGGAAAATCTCTGCGGTTTTGGTGGAGCCGGGCGAACTGCTGCGGGATTTGTCTAGTAAGGGCTCAGCGGCGGCGGCCAGTATTTTCTGGAGGTGGAAATCAACAATTGGTATTTTATCTTTTAAAAATACAAACACCAATAACAAACCGACAAATAAAAACCTTCCGTCAGTATAAATTATTATTTTAAAATCATCTCGCCTACGCTTGCTCCAAAGCCAGTCCTTTGGATTTCAGCAGAGCGGCTTGAGACTGGGGCACCGACCATCTGTACGCCAGGATGTCGGACCTTCGTCTTGAGGTCGGAGCCCCACTTCTACCCGCTGAGGCCCGCAGCCCGGGAGCCACCTATGGGGCGGATAGAGGCCCTGGCCGGAACCGAGCTTCTGCCCCAGATATCCCTGGGCTCCCGCAGCTCCTCAAGTCGGGTCCGCGCGTTTTGCCCTGCAGGGTCTTGGCGCCAGCGGAAAGGTATGCATTCCGGGCTCCCCAGCCCCTGCTCCGGCGCCCTCGGTCTCCTTGGCTCAGAGAATTCCTTCGCCGGGAAGGTTTTCACGGAAAGCTGGCCTTGCCGGCAGCTGGCTTAGCTGAGAAGGCAGTGAGAGTCGCGTCAGCAGTTTGGAGGAGAAAGTGCGGGTTGATTATTGACCCACGCCTTCTTTCTTCAAATGCCACATCCGATCGGGCTGGTTTGAAGAGAAAATGCCACCGAATGGATTTTTGCAGCGGCTCTCACCTCCTACACAGGCCGGCTCCCCCTTTCAAGTTGCGCTGCAATATGCCATAAGGAGCAAGTGTTTGCTGTTTTGTGCTCTGTTTACAGCTTTGGGGCGCCGAGTCATAAATCTTGCCCAGCCATAAATGACAAAAACCATTGGTATGCATGAGGCCACCCTGGCCCGGAGTGCTTTTTGATTTCTCCCTTTTCCCCTGGCTTTGTTTTTCCTCTAAGGTGACACTTTGGCTCCTTGACAGTTTAAACATACTACTTATATTTTTAACACCTTCCTTTGAGAAGGACCCGCCGTTGACACCTTGGGATTGCAGGAAATCTCCATTTCTCTCTTTTTGCTACACTCATACCCTTGCAGAGTTTGCTTCTGAAGCCGGGGAGCTAAGGAGGCTTTGGGAGGACAACCATCCTCTTTCAAGTTGTGGCAATATTACCAGGCAAATTCTGGCCTTTCTTTTGCCCAGCTCAGCGTTACTCCATCCCATTAATTAGGAATATATATATAATTTAGGAATCCATTTGAGAAACCAAGTATTCCCCTGCCGTGTGTGTGTTTGTATGTAGATATGTATATTTGGAGTCAGACCTTTATCTGTCATCCCTATGGGTAAGCTGCGTGTCTGCACTGTGAAATGGGCACACGAGCCCTGCGATTCACGTTTCTAAACACCCTTGTGTGTTCCTGAGCCCAGAGCATCCCATTTCACTGCTGGAACAAGTGTCTGTCTTTCCCAGGTTACTTCCCTCCTGGCTGCTAGGATGTTAGCTGTTTCTGCCTAAAAATATAACCGAAGAGAGCCCAGGTGGCTCTTGGGGGTCTCTAGAGAGCCTTATCCCAGCTCCCCAAACCCCGACCCAAAGATCTGTTTGGGGATGGCAGGTGAAGTAAACTGGGCAAAGTCTGGGAAACTCACTTCTCTTGGTTCTCTTTCCCCTCACCGCACAATTGGAAGTGTCCAGGGCAGAGGAATACGTAGTTTCTCAAATGGATTCCTAAGAAATTGAGCCCAGCAAGAGAGCCCCTTTGTGAGAGCCTTTTGTCCTCATTAGCATAATTTTCCTGGACTTTAGTGACGCCTGGGAGCAGGAGAGGGAGGGAGTTGGGGGTGGGGGGAGGCTGCCCTCCCCTGGCCACCGCCGATCCCCTTCTCCTTCCAGTCCCTCCCCTCGCTTCAGCTCCATCCCCCACACCGGCCTGCGTTTCCCCAGCCGCCTTGGTCTTCCCTCCTGCCCGCCCCAGCACCCCCCACCGCACCCCCAGACCAGACGCTGCTCCGCGTGTAATATTCATAAGAAACATACCCAAGTCGGTGTCAGTAGCCCAGGCAGAGCCCGGCGCCGCACTAGCGCTTATCTCTGGGCCGCGGCTGCTGCCCTCGGGAAGGGCAGGGGGCGGAGGTGTGGGGGAGGGGTGGGTGGGTGGGGTGGGTGGGACAGGGGGGTCCAAGCCGTCCCAGTCGGCCCTGGGCGAGCCGTGCCGGAGCAGCGAGGCGGCCACGCTCTGCGCGGCGGCGTCCGGGCCTCGGGGTCTCCTGCCAGCCTGCCGTCTCGGCTGATGCTGAGGGTCGGTGCCCATCCTGCGCCAAGGGGACCCGGCCGGGCCGCCGAGCCGGGCCGGGGGCCGGAGCGGGTGCCCGAGCCTCAGCCCGAGCCTGCGCTCTCGGCGCTCGTCAGAAGTTAAGGTAAGCAGGGCCGCAACCGGCCGCTCCCGGCTCTGAATGGCGGAGTTTACGTCTCGGTGATTTATGGCTGCAGACTTAAATCTCGGTTCAAGAAGAGTTCACAAGCCGGAGCTTCCTTCCCGGCAGTGACTGATACCCTTACACTTCGAGTTCAGGCCGCTTTCCCATCCCCGCCCCCACCTCTTGCCTCTCCCCTAGCCCAGCCTCAACTTTTCTGGGTTGGAGAGGGAAGGAGGGTAGGCAGGAGACTCGGGGCTCCTGTCCGAGGAACCTGCCCAGATCTGCGGCAAGGGAAGGCTAAGGAAGAGGAGGGAATGGGAAGAGAGAGCGATCTCAGAACTACAGAGGTTGAATTTGGGCACATCTTCCAGAGAGACAATAGGGCTCGCTTCCTACACTCAGTGTAGCCTCTTCAACTCTCTTTCGGCTCTTGCACCTGGGGATTATTGTCCAGAAACGGATCTTTGTAGAGAAATCTTACCTCATCCCCAGCCCTTGCCTGAGGGTACAAAGCAAAGTTTCCTGGCTGGCATTTTTCCAACTTCTTTACTAGGTTGCAAACTTTGGGGGTTGGGTTGGGGTGAGGAGATGTGTGAGCTCCGAGGTGGTGGTCTGCCAACCTGAAACAATAGGGAGGATTTTGGTGAGATCTCAGAGTAAAATTCATGTTTTACATTTGTGGGGGCTGTTGTATGCTCTTTGATTTTCACAGATATTTTTGCTGTTTTGCAAAAAATGCATAACTTGATAAAAAGGCTTAAGTAGCAGGCTGGTATAACCTGTGATAATGGATTAGCAAGTCACTAGAAATATTGCATGTGCGAAGTCAACTTAATTTTGTTTTATCTAATATCTTGCTGTTCGAGTGTCTAATTTTCCTAACCTGATGTTTTATTTTACACAAACTTGGTATCTAAAAAATTTATAATGCAGACATTAACTCTGCCAAATGTAATTAAGAACTGTTTTCAGTAAAAGAAAAGGAATCTGATACATTAAATTGCTATTCAGTTTTAAGTTTTATTTTATCCTGTATTTACTTTAAATCATGTTATGTGTAGCTTCCTATTTCCAAAAGAGAAACAATGCTTCAAGGCTCATGATCACTGACAGTAACTCTGGATAAGGGATGCTGTAATTTTTAATTGAGGTTCTGGAAAATTAATTGTGCCTGTTTTTCAGATGTTGGTCAGATTGTTGGCTTAATAATGAAATCTAAAGGAGTCCATTATTAACAATGAAATTATAATCATCTTCTGTTAGATGCAATACATTGTCTTTTTTCGATTTAACAAAGCATTTAATATTCCTGGAAAACTTGAATAACTTTGGCACTCAATATACATAGTTGGGTTGAATGAAATCATTTTCTTTTGAATTTGTTATAATTTTCTTAAGTGGTCAGAGGGACTGACATTCTGAGTGTGTGTGTATATGTGAATATTTGAAACTCTCATGGAACTTTTCTGTGCTGAGAACTAGAGGTTGACCGTGCAATCGTTGAAAACAAAAAGAAAACATAACTATTGCAAACTGCTTTCTAAATGAAAGAGGGTTGAGAAGGTTTACATCTGCTTTTTAGATTTTCAGTTATCCTTTATCTGGTATTTCTGAAGCAGGTAAATAGGCCAAGTAACAAATATCAACAACAACAGCACACAAAGATCAGGAAATTCTGGCAGGATTTTATGGCTTGTGGTTCCATCCCTCGTCCGGAGCCAAGTGACCCCCATACATCAAATTACATAGCAGTTTCTAAGACAGAACCTATTATCGTTAAGTTGGAAGGAGAGTTCAAGCCGTGGTCATGGAGATGAACGCTGGTTTTTCAGGTTCCTGGTGGGTTGTTTTTTTTCTCTAATCCATCATGTTTTAACAGGTAGAATTTGATAGTTGCCCTGAATAACAGCACCTCAGAAAGTCCAAGACAGGAGGGTATGAGAACCTTCTGTAACTGGGGGAAAGAAGTCAGCGTGGCTTGCTGGAAAGAGCCTGAGAAACAGGGAGAGGAAAGGAGAAAAGAAATCTCTAGGATTTGAGTTGCAACTTGCTGGTGGTGGTGGTGGTGGTGGGGGTGTTATTGTTGGTCCCTCCCCCTAAACACACACACGTAATGTGTGCCACCCAAAGTTTCCCCTTCCGCCTTTTTGGCCACGAGGGGTCCCTTTGGAGGAGGTGAATCATATCCCCAACAAGGTGAATTAACTGTCTTACAAGCTCAGCTTCTGAAATCCAGCATGGTTGGATGTGGCAATTTGCCTGAAATTTTTTTAATGCAAACCTCTCTTGGGGGCAGGAAAGTCTATGAAGGAGCTGGGTGGGAAGTTACTCCATCCCAGGGCTCTTTTGGCAAACATCAGTCCTAAAGCGGAGAAAACACCGGCGACTCAAGCTCCCCTTTGCCTCTTCGCCACTCCCAAGATTCCCAGAGTGGAAGAGTCCTGGGCCCTCTGGAGGAGGCCAAGGAGCAGAAACTAAGTGACACCCCAAGTTTCTTCTTCCCTGGAAAAGAAAACTCCCAGCCTTGTTTCTTTCTAGCCTATCAGGCCTTTCTCCTTTTGGACCCCGGCTCCTGAGAGTCAGCTTTCAGCCCTCACTCATTTTCCTTCTCTCTCCCCGGAAAATCCCCCAACTCCAGACGCAAGTTAAGCAAATATTTGTAGCTGCCAGTAAATTCCAGCGGTTTTTTATAGCGCGGCTCCCTGCGCCTGGGGCCAAGTCGTGCTGCTAAATATTGCTGACCACTTTTTCTTTTATGGCTTTCATGTCACTTAGCTATTGAGAGTAAGATGGATTTGCGCGGAGCCCTCACCGCGCTGCGCTTCTCGCCCCCCTAGGTCTGCGCGGGGCGGCCATTGGCGGCGGAGTGTCACGTGACCGCGGGGGCGTGCCAATGTGCGCCCTCAAGGGTGTCAAACCGCTGTCAGAGTGTGCGATCAAGATCGTGAAACAACGCGATGCAAAAAGCGACCTACTACGACAGCTCGGCGATCTACGGTGGCTACCCCTACCAGGCAGCCAACGGGTTCGCTTATAATGCCAATCAGCAGCCGTACCCGGGGTCCGCCGCTTTGGGCGCCGAGGGCGAGTATCACCGACCTGCCTGCTCACTCCAGTCCCCCTCCAACGCCGGGGGCCACCCCAAGGCACATGAGCTGAGTGACGCATGCCTGCGCATCCTGAGCGGCCCACCTGGCCAGCCCCCAAGCCTGGGCGAGCCGCCCTTGCCCCCGCCACCGCCCCAGGCCGCGCCCCCTGCCCCACAGCCGCCTCAGCCCCCACCTCAGCCCCCTGCACCCACCCCTGCCGCGCCTCCGCCCCCCTCTTCTGTCTCCCCCCCTCAGAATGCCAGCAGCAACCCCACCCCTGCCAACGCAGCCAAGAGCCCCCTGCTCAACTCACCCACAGTGGCCAAACAAATCTTCCCCTGGATGAAAGAGTCTCGACAAAACACGAAGCAGAAAACCAGCAGCTCCAGCTCAGGTAAAAGAGTGCCTTCTGGAAGAGGGTCCTCTGGCCTGGCTGCGCCCCCAAGCTGCTGCCCACCATATCCAGCACAGCCTAGGAGAGATGAAGCATGTCTGGAATTCACTGCTCCCACACCACTCCCCACCAAAAAGGTTTTCAGAGTCTTTGCAACTTAGGGAGGTGATAGGCCTCTGTGGGCTGGAAAACCCCAGAGGCCTTCGGGAGTCTCTCTGGACTTCTCCAAGGGCAAGTAGGATCTAGTGTAGTTGGAATTACTTCTTGCTCCACTCTTGGAGTTAGGACCTCTATGCAGGAACAAGCTGAGCTCCACTGTCCATCTTTTTAGCACAGCTCTTCTAATGAAACAGTGACATCCTCCTCATGCTGAAATGTGGCAGAATAAAAACAGGCCTAATCACCCTCCAAGTCAGAATCAATGCTTTGCCTATAATCAGAGCCAATTTTTGCTCCAGCAGATGGAGTGGCTGCCTTACCTCTGGGAAGACCCTACTCAGACTTAATACAATGAAAGCAGCTGAAGATCTCCTGGGGGAGGGGGATGCAGACTTGTGATCCTAATGGGAACCACATGGGCCTCCTGGAAGTAGGCTCCACTAGAGGAAAGGCCCCAAGCCTTAGGCATCTTAGCATTTTGGTTACCTTTGCCCCTGCCTTCTCCAGTTGCCAGTGCCCTGTTCTGAGCCTGAGCATCTCGGACCTCCAGAGCTAGGATTTAGGGGGCCAGGGAAGACAGAAGGGTACAAGATTAGTGGACAAAAGCTGGGGCAGGCTGCTTGACAACATAGGAAACCCTAAAGAATAGGACCTAGCATGAAGGGCCTAGGCCTCTCCACCAGTAATGAATACCTTCAATGGGATCTCTTCCTTTGGGCAGAGAAGGCTTTCCAGTTTGAGGTTTCCAGTCTGCCCGTCTCTTGGAATGGGCAGGGGAGACTCTTCCTGGGTAGAGAGAAATAAATGGCCAGTAGAAGCTACTGCCTAATTATTGTCAGACAGTGTGGGAGGGAAAGAAGGTTTGAGTGTGTACATTAGGTTTCCCACATTTCAGTTACTGTGAAGGGAATGGAGATGCTGAGACGGGCCCACAGGGAGGCTGTTGTCTGATAGGTCAAAGAGACTAGTAAATGCCAAAATGTTAATAGCTCTAAAAAGAAAATCCAGACCAGGAAGGCAAACTGGGGCTGCTGCTTCTCTGTCCTTTCCCTGAGAAGCTTGTGATTGCTCCTTGGCTGATGAGGGACTACCACTGTTTTACCCACCAGGAGAGAATATAGCACCTAGTTCCTACTACTTTCTGGGCCCTGACAGAAGGAGAAATCTTTGGGGCCTGAAGGAAGGAGGGGCCGGGCTGGGTCAGGGGCTGGGCGGGGCCGCGGCAGCCCCTGACGCCGCTCTTCCTCTCTCTGTCCTCGCAGGCGAGAGTTGCGCTGGCGACAAGAGCCCGCCGGGGCAGGCTTCATCCAAGCGCGCGCGCACGGCCTACACGAGCGCGCAGCTGGTGGAGCTGGAGAAAGAGTTCCACTTCAACCGCTACCTGTGCCGGCCGCGCCGGGTGGAGATGGCCAATCTGCTGAACCTCACCGAGCGCCAGATCAAGATCTGGTTCCAGAATCGCCGCATGAAGTACAAAAAGGATCAGAAGGGCAAGGGAATGCTGACGTCATCGGGGGGGCAGTCTCCAAGTCGCAGTCCCGTGCCCCCTGGCGCCGGCGGCTATCTGAACTCTATGCATTCGCTGGTCAACAGCGTCCCGTATGAGCCCCAGTCGCCCCCGCCCTTCTCCAAGCCCCCCCAGGGTGCCTATGGGCTACCTCCCTCCTCCTACCCTGCACCCCTGCCTAGCTGCGCACCCCCGCCAACCCCACAGAAGCGCTACACTGCGGCAGGGGCGGGCTCAGGGGGCACCCCCGACTATGACCCGCACGCTCATGGCCTGCAGGGCAACGGCAGCTATGGGACCCCACACATACAGGGAAGCCCCGTCTTCGTGGGGGGCAGCTATGTGGAGCCCATGAGCAACTCCGGGCCAGCCCTTTTTGGTCTAACTCACCTCCCCCACGCTGCCTCGGGCGCTATGGACTATGGGGGCACCGGACCGCTGGGCAGCGGTCACCACCACGGGCCGGGGCCTGGGGAGCCGCACCCCACCTACACGGACCTTACGGCCCACCATCCTTCTCAGGGAAGAATTCAGGAAGCACCCAAGCTCACCCACCTGTGATGGTGGGCCCGGGGCTACGCGCCAGGAGAGTCTCCCCCACCCACCTTTTTGCTTTGGTTGCTTTTTTTTTTTTTTTTTTTTTTTTTTTTTTTTTTTTTTTTTTTTTTACGTTCTTCCTGCCCTTTCCTTCCTTCTCCACCCCCGCACTCCGTTTCCCGGTTTCCCGGCTCTTTGGTAACGCATTTTTATAGTTTATGTGACGTAGCAATCTTGGTTGCTGGAATGGCTGTATCAGTAGCGATATTTATCTCTTCCTGCCTCTCGCTAGGCCACTGGCCCTGCATCCTTTACCTTCTCCACTCTTTGATCAGAAACAGGGTATATGAACAAATTTTCTAGTCGAGTTTTCAATGTGAATTTGTTCGTACATTATGGCTCCCGAGGGGAAGCGATTACTTTTTTTTTTTTTTACGTTTTTTTTTTTTTTTTTTTAAATTGCACTTGTAAAGAGAGAAAAAAAGTCAAAGGCGCTTTGGAACAGGGGCTCCCTGTGCAAGGATGACTAAGTGTACGTCTTTCCGTGTGTGTATGCTGGTGAACAGTCAGATTTATTTATATTTTTTTTGCAAGCATTGAATAATCTAAGTTTTAAATATTATTTATCCCCATCCGTTCGTATTTATATTAAAGAAATTCTGTGCCCTGATTGTTCAGAAGGGTTCTTGGACCTTTTGTTCAACTGTGTATTGGCGTACATAGAAATTTTTTTTATTTGAAAGGGAAATAGAATTCCCTTAAACGGTAATGATGCAATAAAACCAGAGAAGATACAGCTTTTGAAAACAGTGATTTAGGTTTGAATCCGGCAAAACTGAAAAATATAATCTGTAAACGCGAAAAATGCTAGATTGTGTTGAGAGTTCTACATTCCTTGCTGCTCACATTCTGAGAAACAAAACAAAAAGAAATAAAGTTTTTATTCTGAATAATATCCTTGTTAAGAAGAGGTTCTTTGGCCGAAGACGTGGGTCTGCGTGGAATTCAGGCCTAGGCGAGCGGGCAGAGCAGGCCGGGTGCAGCAGCCCTCCAGCTCCAGCACCAGACCTGGCCAGGCTATTAGCCCGGAAGTTCCGCGAATTCTCAGGATGGCGGCTGGGGCGCCAGGCGGCTGCGGCAGCTCTGGTAACGCCGGGCAGCCCGCTTGCTGGGCTGCCTGGTTCGCAGCTGCTGCGGAGGCAGGCCGAGAGCGCTGGGGCTGCAGAGTGCTGAGCATGGAGGAAACAAAGGCATCCCAGCCCACAGCGCAGGGGGGGCGCACAGGTGCCCCGTGGCCGGGCGGGGAAATAACGCAGGGCGGTCTTCTGCTCCACACTCTTCCTCGGGCCAAAGCTGACCAGCTATTGCCTAAATCCCGGGATTAGCCAGCCGCACAGAGGATGCTGAGCACTTTCCGGGAGCAGTTGGACTCCTGGTCTCCTCTGGGAGTGCTTCGCGGTCCATTATTATGTCAGGAGGAAAGAATGGTTCCTAAAATCTGCACGCGGAGCGAAACAGTTTGAAAGGGATTGAGGCTCACCCGGGTCTCCAGCAAACGGAGGATTGAGCTACGGAGAGTCGCACTGAGCCAGCCCTTCCCCGGACTGCCTAAATCCCAGCATCAGCTTCCTACTGAATGTAGTATTTGGCATTCTCTGAATTTATTTCCTCTCCTCCTTCCCTCCCAGCTTTCTTTTTATGGCCCCAGGGGGAGGGGGGAGAGCAAGGAGATCGGTATCTTTGAAATAAAAATGCAATTTTATAAGTACTTTTTTCGTTTGATGCTACAGAAGCTAAATATTACATTTCCATTCCTGGATTTAAGATAGGGCTGCCTACTGACTGGCTGGTAGAGGCGAAATAAGGCACAGTAAAGGGAAATATTTCAATCTTCAGATTTAAGGATTCCTGGAGAAAGGAACCAAATTCAGGAAATGCAAACCTCAGACCTGCATCCCCATCATCACCCCCTTCAGAGCTAGAAGTGAGGAACAGCTTTCACCTGGGGATCAGGAGCGTTGGATGTGACAAATAAAACCCTATTCTCCCTGGATTGTATCTTTCAGAGGCAGAAGTGGAAAATGTCGCCATTTTGTTTGCAATCCAAAATATCCATCATCATGGCCTCTATCTTCCTCCTGTGAAGCTCCCTCAGAAGACCCTTAGAAGCAGGCACTGGAGCCATTTCTGGGTATCTGCTGGGTCCCATCAAGCTGCTTTTAGAAAAACTCCTCACGGTTTAAGGAAAAGGCTCAGAGGATGCAAAGCCAGGCTGCTGTTTCTCTCACACCCAGAGGTGCTTTCTCCATATCTGTCCTGAGGCTGTTGATAGATATACATAAATCCTTTTTAAAGAGTTTGGGCTGTGGGAGAAGTAGATTTGCTCCCCACACCTCAAACTTTGTGCCAAAATACGGCGCACATAAAAATGCAGAGGCTGCACAACCAGGCTTTGTGAGAACTAGAGTTTCCCTTTTGGTCATGCTGAGCAGATACAGGAGTCTTCTTTTAAGTAATCAGTTTAGAGACACGTGTAAAATTACCTGGAAAAAATAAGGAACAGCTGGGGGAGAGATCCACCTAAGGATGAAGATCTTTCAGGGATACCACTATTTGAACCTGTTTCTGAAATCTACTCTTTAACTGAGGGAGGGATGGTTTGGAGGCTTCCTCCTTCCCCCAGGGCTAAGGTTTTAAAATGAGATTCTAATACGATTTCCCATATCTTACCGGTCAAGACATTCATTTTGGCTTTCAAAGAAAATATTGATTCACCCCCCAGTTTCCTAGATATTAAAAAGAAATTCTTATTAAAATATCTCAGGGTTAAAGTAATAGATTTGGGAAGATTTCAGTGTTGAGTGGTCAAAGAAAAGGGTTTCTTCCAGATGGTATTTGAATTAAGGCAGCTGAGGCCGGCCGAAAGCTCTCACCCACGCAGCCCCTGACAAAGCCTCAGAGATATGAAGGCAGTGCTGCTCCCTCTCTGCATCTCCCTTCCCTTAAGCCTGTAATATTTTCTGGTAAAAGCAAATGCCAACAGCCACCATCCCAGATTATGCAAAGCACCCTTTTTAAAAGCAGCCCTATAACCCTCTTCACTGCCAAAAAATATTTTTTAAAAGACTAGTTTTCCTTATTTACTTGCGTTTCTTGCTCTCTTCTTTGCTCGGTCACATTTTATCTTGGAAGGAGCTGGAAGCTGAAATGTGTTCTTAAGGGCTAGAAGCTGTCAAGGCTTTTGGTGAGCAAGATTGATCGCGCCCAGACTTCCTTCGGAGCTTTGTTTGGAATAAAAGCAAGAAAACTGAAAAACCTCACATTTTCCAAAATAGCATCTCTATCTGCAAGGCAAAACTCTGAGCTGGTCAATGATACAGGCCACTTTATATCTAATTTCCACCTCAAACCCTCTTTGATGCCGGCCTCAGAGATGGGGTCCTGTCTCTGCTCCTTGGTTGGCCTTTCTTGTTTTCTACGTAGATTTTTCTCTCCTTCCATCCTCTCTGTCCCTGGCCATCAGAATGATTTATTTTCCTGCCACTGATGCCTGCCGGCCTGGGGGAGTCTGATCACTTGGTCCATTTCAAAGGAAGCAAAAGCGAATACCCATCCTTTGCGGGGGGGGGGGGGGGGGCGGGAAGAGGTACCTCCAGATCTATCTCTCGGCCTCCTCCCCTCTTTCTGGCTTGGTGGATTTTTTTAAAGTTATTGTTTGGAACCTAAAGGTGTTATCTTTTGAACCCTCTAGCACCGTCCAAGATGCGTTCAGTCTCAAGCCTCCGAATTGGAAAAAAGAGAATGAAGGAGAACGAAAACCTTTATATTCCTCCTTGGGTCGCCTCCTCTCCCCGTAGTGCTGTTTCTCACAACAGAACCCGGAAGCAAACGTCCCCGGTGCCCAAGGATCAGGAAGGTGTGGGAGGCAGTTCAGGCTGCCAGGGAGCCTTGGCTGTATCTGAACCAACCCCAGCCCTCAACCAGAGCGACAAGGACAAGAAGAATGGTAGAAAAAAAAGAGAAAGGGAGGGAAAGAGAGGAACAAGCATCTTCTCTTTCCCTGCTGGTAACTTCCAACAGACTTCCTGGAAATCGGAAATACTCACCGCACCCGAGCCCTACGGGTATGAAACCCAGAATGCCAGGAGCCGCACGCGCCTGCTCGGGGCGGCATTTCTTTGGCTGGTCGCCGCCCTGGCTACAGGGATTTGGACACATGGACCTGGGGTTGTTGTCTCGCTTGGCACATGCATCTTTCTCCAGCCACTCCTGAGAAGTTGATGGCGCAGGAAGGTTGGGAAGCTTCGAGAGCCTCCTCCCGTTTTCCGCTTCCCGCCGGAGCCAGATGCAAAGCTGCCGTGGAATAGCCTGCTAACAATGGGCCGGGGGCGCAGACTCTGGGCTGGACACTGGGAGGGGGGCGAGAGGCTGAGGGGAGAAGGGGAGGCGGACTGAAGAGAGAGGGAGGGAGAAAGGGGAAGAAGAGGAAAAAGTGGGAAAGACAGACAGACGGGAAGGAAAACAGAGACGAGAGAGATCAGTTTTGAGACCCAGGAACTAGTTTTAGGAAAAGTGAAAAAGGAAATGAGAAAGAAAAGGAGGTACCCCTCCCAACCAAACTCTTTCTTTTCTTCTCTCTTTTCTGTCTTCTCTCTCTCTCTCCATCTCTCTCTTCTTCCCTCTGTCTTTATTCTCCCTCTCTCATCTCCTTTCTCCCTCTGCTCCTTTCTCCTGCTTTAACAGAACTTATGTGTCTGGGATGCAGGGTCCTCGGGTGTCAAAACTTTGAAGATTAATGGATTACTTTGTTAATGACTGCAGGCGTCAGACTGAGGTGCTTAAATGATTTGTGAGGTGCGAGGCGTCTTCCCGACAGTCCCAAACAATGCACGGAGTGTGCGGGGGAGGCAGAGGGCAGCGGCTGGCGGGACCGACAGCAGGGCTCACACTCACACACATTCACACACTCACACACACACTCCCAGGCGCACACACACCAGATCCTTGCAGATCAGGAGGTGCGCAGGCAACCTCGCCCCCACGCACTTCGGCACATCCCCACTCACACCCACATATATGTATTTTTGCCCTGAAAAAAGTGTAAATAAAGCCTCGCTGGCCCCCAATGAGGCGTTCCTTCCCGACTTTTTTGGATCAATCAAACAGACAGTGGCTTCTTTTGATTAAAGCCCAAATTGTCATTGGGCAGAAGCAATCATGTGACAGCCAATTCGGTCCAATTTCAACCTTGTCTCCATGAATTCAATAGTTTAATAGTAGCGCGGTCCCCATACGGCTGTAATCAGTGAATTAGAAAAAAAACACCCCAGCAGCGATCTTGTATGATAGATTTTTTTTTTTCCTCTGCGCTCGCCTTTTTCCTGGGCCTTGCCCCCCCAAAGCCCCTCCAAAAGAGGGAACTTTTTCTCCGAGGGGGCTCCAAGGAGAAGGCCATGAATTACGAATTTGAGCGAGAGATTGGTTTTATCAATAGCCAGCCGTCGCTCGCTGAGTGCCTGACATCTTTTCCCCCTGTCGCTGATACATTTCAAAGTTCATCAATCAAGACCTCGACGCTTTCACACTCGACACTGATTCCTCCTCCTTTTGAGCAGACCATTCCCAGCCTGAACCCGGGCAGTCACCCTCGCCACGGCGCTGGCGGCCGCCCCAAGCCGAGTCCCGCGGGCAGCCGCGGCAGCCCGGTGCCCGCCGGCGCCCTGCAGCCGCCCGAGTACCCCTGGATGAAGGAGAAGAAGGCGGCCAAGAAAACCGCGCTGCCACCGGCCGCCGCAGCAGCAGCCACCGGCCCTGCTTGCCTCAGCCACAAAGGTCAGTCCAAAGACTTGGCCCCAGGTCCCCGGGATGCTCTTCCTTCTCCGGGCTGCGCGGAGCGGCTGTGGGGGGAGGGGAGAGTGGGCTGGGAGAGAAGGAGGAGAGGGAGAGATGCTTGGTTGCCTTGTCCCTGCCCCTGTGGACTCAAGATTGGGTTTGATGGAGAGGATAGGGGATCCTGTGCTCTACAATGAGACATACATATTTTTAGGAAGTGGGGGGAAACTTTCCCTAACTTGTGTAATGTGGGATGATTTATTTGAGTTGGAACTGACCTCCTCTTGTCTAGTTGTCCTAGAGTTTGGCTTTTTGACAGTAATGAAGAGTGATAGATCGCTCTTGCTCAGCTAAGCAGCTGATGCATTAATTATAAATTGTGTTGTGGCTGATATAAAGTTTGCTCCCGTATGAAGAGGTTGGGGGGAGCCACAGGCAAGAATTCGAGAGAGGTGGAGATGGGGTCTTCCCCGGCTGGGCTCCCAGGAAAGGCAGTACAATAGCTCTACTGCATCCAGGGGCGGCCATTTTGTTGCAGTTGATCTTTTCTGCTATATTTATTCTCCAGTGAAATAACCCGGCTCGGACCCCTCCACCTCCAACTGTGAGTGTGTCTCTTGTTGGTTTCCCTTTCCGCAGAATCCCTGGAAATCGCCGATGGCAGCGGCGGGGGATCGCGGCGCCTGAGAACTGCTTACACCAACACACAGCTTTTAGAGCTGGAAAAAGAATTTCATTTCAACAAGTACCTTTGCAGACCCCGACGAGTGGAGATTGCAGCGCTGCTGGATTTGACTGAGAGACAAGTGAAAGTGTGGTTTCAGAACCGGAGAATGAAGCACAAGAGGCAGACCCAGTGCAAGGAAAACCAAAACAGCGAAGGGAAATGTAAAAGCCTTGAGGACTCGGAGAAAGTAGAGGAGGACGACGAAGAGAAGACGCTCTTTGAGCAAGCCCTTAGCGTCTCTGGGGCCCTTCTGGAGAGGGAAGGCTACACTTTTCAGCAAAATACCCTCTCTCAGCAGCAGGCTCCCAGTGGACACAATGGCGACTCCCAAAGTTTCCCAGTCTCGCCTTTAACCAGCAATGAGAAAAATCTGAAACATTTTCAGCACCAGTCACCCACTGTTCCTAACTGCTTGTCAACAATGGGCCAGAACTGTGGAGCTGGCCTAAACAATGACAGTCCCGAGGCCCTCGAGGTCCCCTCTTTGCAGGACTTTAACGTTTTCTCCACAGATTCCTGCCTGCAGCTTTCAGATGCAGTTTCGCCCAGTTTGCCAGGTTCCCTCGACAGTCCCGTAGATATTTCAGCTGACAGTTTTGACTTTTTTACGGACACACTCACCACAATTGACTTGCAGCATCTGAATTACTAAAAACATTAAAGCAAAACAAAGCATCACAAAACAAAAACCGCTTTGACCAGGTGGTTTTGCCTTCTTTTATTCCGGGAGTTTCATATTTTTATTTTCTTCTTGAGCTACCCCTTCCCTCCTTTAAATGTTGAGGATTTTCTGTTTAGTGATTCCCTGACCCAGTTTCAGAGCCATCTTTTACAGATTATTTCGGAGTTTTAGTTGTTTTAAACCTAGCTCAACAACCTTCTGTGATTTCCTGCGAGCAATATATGAGGCCTGCAAGAAAGTGATCATATAATTGTATCTTCACTTTCTTTTTATTTTTGTATTACATTAGGATGCACTGTCATGCATATTTTTCATAGAATAAATTCTCCTTTGCTATAAGTAGCTTTCTTATTTTTCTCCCCCTCTTTTTTCAAGGCTCATATGGTTTCTTTTTCTTTTAGCCTAACTTGGTAAATAAAATTATAGTCACAATTTATCTTCTTTTTTCAATTTTAATACATTTATTAAGGTGGCATGTTCAAAGTCTTCAATGGACAGCAACAAAACAGAAAACAAAAAAATGGCTAGGGCTTCTAATAAGTGGTTTTTGCTTTTTTGCTTCTTCTTCTCCTCTTTCTTTTTAAAGGGAATAGATCTGATTTTCAATGCACAGCCATAGATTTAAATTGGTAATAGAGACAGGATTGGGCAGTCTAAGATTTGGGCCAAGCCTAAGCTCTTGAAAGTGGAGAATTAAAGTGCCTACAGAAACCCCCAACTCCAGGAACGAGTAACATGGAGTTTCTTCAATAAGCTACCAGTCTCCAGGCCAATAACTACGTTATCAACAATTCATTTATTTATACATTTTTGTTTCAAACATCTACACGTCAATCCCCTCCCCCATATATCCCTCCACATTTTCAGTGTGGTTGATAAATCTCCCAGCTGTTGATGGGTTCTGGCAAAACAGACCTAAAAGATAGAGAAAACAAAAAATAAAACAAAACAGTGATTACTATCTGGAAAATGCACCCCAGAAAAGGTTCTTTCCAACCCTGTGGTTCAGTCACTCTAGGATTCTTTTTTTTTTTTTTTTTTTCCGGGTCAGAAAAATCAATATTTCATTCTTAAACTGTTTACATTGCTAATAATGGATCACTAAGGCGTCGAAGTCAGGTTAGCAAGTTGAGATTTAAAATGGTGTGTTTCTACACCCTAGGTTATAAATTAAGCCAGTTTCTAGAAAGAGAGAAAAGCACTTTAAATAAAATAACAATAAAACGTAATCTAGGGTGTGGCACTGGGTTGTTGCTTTTTCCCCCCTCCCTTCTTAGGTATCCCCATGTTTATTTTTCCCTTTCTCAGCTCTGTTCTTACTTACCGTGAGAAAATGCAGCATGTAAGCAACATGCGTGTGGGGCGGGTTGATTTAAGAACCCAGCTCTTTATCAGCAAAGGCTTGAAAGTTCCAATGAAAACGCGATGTTTCTTCATAGATTTGCTCCCTGCCTTCCCTTACCCCTTCCTCCACTAAATCCCAGCTGCGGCGGCGGCGGCGGCGGCGGCGGCGGCGGCGGCGGCGGAGTGTAGGGACTATGGCTGGTTTCCGGCCCCAAACTCAGCGAGGAGCAGGGCGTCCCGGCCTCAGCCAGGGCTGCGCAGCTCCTGGATGCGATTCGTCCTACGCTCATAAATCAAACGCTTTCTATGAATGAGAATGTCATCAAAGAGATCAATTGCAGGAACACATGCACAAATAAAAATCCTCTTACGTATTTGCTGGGGATCCCCGTCCGAAAGCATTAAGTTAGAAGGCGTTTAGTCATAATTCATTTTTATTGCTCTTTTAAAACAACAGCTTGGCTGAGCTACGGATGCCATGAACAGCTCAGGGCCTCGGCCGCGTTTTGTTTCTTCCTTATTCCTTCCCATTCTAGTAAAAGAGTCCTGAAAGAGGCATTTTGAGCCAAGCAAACCGCTTGCAGGCGATCATTTTAATAGTGACCAAGCTTGCCTTTCACCAACTCTCCCAAGGCGTTGCAAGAGACTAGCTCGAATCTTCGGGCGCTGACCTACTTGCCTAGAGGGCCAAGGGTCTCCTACTCTGTGGAACGGTCCCCAGGATTTCTTGGGAAGAATCGAGCTACAGAAGCCTAAGGTCTCAAGGCCAGGGGAGGCTGCCTTTGTGTGCCGTTCCCTGAAAGCGGCGCTCTGGGCTGCCAGCCGAGGCACAGCCGGGCCGGCTGCGAGCGCCCGGCCTGCCGGGAGCCGGGAGCAGTAAACAGAGGAGGGCGGCCGCGGGCCTGTGTGCTAGTGCAAGCTCGTAATCCCAAGAAACACACTCCACCCAAGATGCCCCCGAAAAAAGGCCAGCAGAGAGGAAGAGAGGCTGAAGGAGAGCAGCGCCGAGACGGCGAACTAGCAGAGGAGGGAGAGTAGCTCCAGCCGGGGTCGGCTTTGTGGCAGGCGCCCTGCAGCCAAAGGGGTCCTGAAAACCCAGGCTGAGGAGGACAACCAAGGTACAGGAATGAGGCAACGGGGGAAAATGTACCAACTTGCTCGCTCAGGCTTGGAGGGAGGAATACTCGCACAGCCAGCACCTACCTCTTCACATCCTGTCCCTCCCCCACAGGAGTTCCTTCTCTCCCCGCTGCGGGAAGCTGGCGCTCCCAAGGAAGCCGCCTCCAGGAGGATCGCCTTGCCTTTCCCCTTCTCCAAAACCAGGATTCCCAGGAGCTGAAACTGGGGCAGGGGTGACTTTTCCTGCCTGTGCTCCCTCTTAACCATGCTTGGGATGGATCCAAGTCACAGAGAAATACCATTCCAAAAGGAAATGTTTGGGGAGAATGTTTCATTGCTACTGAGGGAGCCCAGGGTCAAAGGTCTGCATGGGTTTTCCTTCTTGAGGGGACCGGTTTGGGGGGAACTTAAGTAGTGGAGAAGAGAATACACAAGACTGAAGGGTGACTAACGTATTTGAAATGTGCCTGCCTTGAAAAAAAAAAAATTCCTTGTTCTATTTACCAGGGGAGGAAAGGCTGAAGGGAAGTGGAAACCCCAGACCCACATACATTCCTCACTATAAATTTCATCTGTCTGATTCCAACTTTGTACACATGGTTGGAGTAAAATTTATACAGCATTGGCTGCAAAGCTTCTTGGATGATTTCTCAATTTCTCCTACCCAAGATTGCATCAGTTTTTGATCTGTTTGGGTTTTTCTCTCAACAAGCCCAGGGTTAACGTGAAACCTAACAGTAACCAGCAATTAACTACCCCATCAGCCTCAGGGTAGTAGGAGGGTGATGGGGAACAGGACCCCTGGCCTGGGATGACACTCAGATTTCCACGTGTCTTTCTAGACTAAAAGGTTCTCATAAGCAACTACACAGTCCGTTGGAAAGGGGAGGTGTCGTTGTGGTAAAGTGTTCCGTCCACCATGAGCCATCTGTCCACCGCCACTCCCACCTGCCAGTCCCCACACCCACTCCAGACATAGAGCACAATGAGGGGGGATTATAAAAGGAAGCTCTCTTTTTCTTCTAACATCCCTCTTCAGAAAAACAGAAACGCGAGGGGAGTTCAGCGTACTTTGTTGGAGCTGTGGGCCCGCCCTGTGAGGCCCACGCAGGAGCATGGAGGCTCCTAGGTCTCAGGGCGCCGGCAGATGGCCGGCAGCACACGGCCTGGCCCCCACGCTGGCCACGTCATCTCTCTTCCCCGCCTCCTACCCCTCAAAATCCGGCGGCCAAGTAGCTCCGCATTCCGGAGGGTTCCCCGTGGAAAACTGAGTGGGGGAGACAGAGGGGCGGAGGGGTGGAGAGAAAGGGGCGGAGGGGGAAGAGAAAGGGGCGGAGAGCCAGGAGAGAGGGAGGGTGGGGAAGAAGAGCCCGGCCGCCCCCGGCGTTTTCGGGGCTCTTCCGCTCCCGCCCCCGCCCCCGCCCCCAGCTCCCACCCCCCGCCCTCGGTCGAATTACAAAAGCTCTTCATTGCCATGCTAATGACGGGCAAGGGTAGTTGGGAGAGAGTTTCCGAGACCAGCCTGGAGAGAGGAAAGTTTCTTTCTTGCCCTCGTCTCCTTTACGCTCGCCCGAGGTCCTCCCAGCCAGCCCTCTGCGCTCTTCCTTATCCATTCCGAGCTTGGAGAGCCAGTGGCCCAGCCTCGCCCTCCGCCACGGTTTTCTACGCTCCTCACAGCCCCACGGCCTCCCAGCCCAACCTCAGAGCAGAGGAGGCGCCCTGGGAACCCGGGGCACTGTGTCAGCCGGATTCCCGGCCTTCCTACTCCGTGCACTGCGGGCTCGGCCCGCGTACTTGCGGCCACCCGGCCACCTGGCCCACTGATTCCCGCCCCGAGAAAGCCGAGAGGCCTCTTCCCTTCTCACCTCTCGCCAGTTCATCTTTCAGTACACGGTGGGGAGGAGGAGGGGACGAGGGCGGGGGACGCCTCCCAGCCCCCACCTCCCGGAGGCCGGAGGGGGAGGGAGGGAGCAGCGGAGTCGGGCGCGCGCAGAAGGCAGCCTCTGCTCTCCTTCGCCACAGCACTCCGAATCGGCCTTTGCAGTCGTCGCCGCAGCTACCGCCGCCTGGGCTGCCTGGGGGGGCGACTGCGCGTCACCTAGACGGAGGAACGCCGGGGATTTAAATGCCACTGAAATGGTGATCCATCACCGCGGAAGCCGGCAAACTTTTGCAGGAGGCTCAGCCATTGGCTGACACCGTCACGTGCCCCTCCCCTAGCGTCCTCCGCCCTCTCGCCCCCCCTCCTGCGCACTGTACATTCATATCATTTTTCTTCTCTGGTCCCATGGAGGAAGTGAGAAAGTTGGCACGGTCACCCAGGGCTTCGCAGGACCAGGTCACTCAGTGACAGATGGACAATGCAAGAATGAACTCCTTCCTGGAATACCCCATCCTCAGCGGTGGCGACTCGGGGACCTGCTCAGCGCGAGCCTACCCCTCGGACCTTGGGATTACAACTTTCCAGTCGTGCGCGGTCAGTGCCAACAGCTGCAGCGGCGACGACCGTTTCCTAGTGGGCAGGGGGGTACAGATCGGTTCGCCCCACCACCACCACCACCATCACCATCCCCAGCCGGCTACCTACCAGACTTCCGGGAACCTGGGGGTGTCCTACTCCCACTCGAGTTGTGGTCCAAGCTATGGCTCACAGAACTTCAGTGCGCCTTACAGTCCCTACGCGTTAAATCAGGAAGCAGACGTAAGTGGTGGGTACCCCCAGTGCGCTCCCGCTGTTTACTCTGGAAATCTCTCATCTCCCATGGTCCAGCATCACCACCACCACCAGGGTTATGCTGGGGGCGCGGTGGGCTCGCCTCAATATATTCACCACTCATATGGACAAGAACACCAGAGCCTGGCCCTGGCTACGTATAATAACTCCTTGTCCCCTCTCCACGCCAGCCACCAAGAAGCCTGTCGCTCCCCTGCATCGGAGACATCTTCTCCAGCGCAGACCTTTGACTGGATGAAAGTCAAAAGAAACCCTCCCAAAACAGGTCAGTCCTGCAGGTTGGTGGATGCTCCTTGATTAATCTGGAAGGAGCTGACATGCTTAATTTCCAAATAAAATTAATAATTTTTTTTTTAATAAAAGGCTTTTGTATCGAACTAGTGTTGTAGTGCATGAAGAGCATGGAGAGGGTGCTCAGAGGTGTTGGGGCAAAGAAGCCTCAGGGGCTGTTGTGTTTTCAAGGATTTTATACATTTGGGAAGTAGGAAGTGTGTGGGGGTGATGATTGTGAAGGTAGTGTTCTGTTAATATCTCCAAGGCTCCATTAATCACCGTCTGACCACGCTAATGGTTGACTTCAGGTTAACACTTTACACCTCATCATTCACCCTCCACAGCCCGATTTGTGTTGAGTTCTTGATCCTTGATCTTTCCTTTACCTGAGTGTTGCCACGAAGTGTGTAGGGGATCTCAAGTCGATTTAAAAATTTTTTACCTTTCCGTCTCATGGCTTCCCACTTTGCCCCAGGGAAAGTTGGAGAGTACGGCTACCTGGGCCAACCCAACGCGGTGCGCACCAACTTCACTACGAAGCAGCTCACGGAGCTCGAGAAAGAATTCCACTTCAACAAGTATCTGACGCGCGCCCGCAGGGTGGAGATCGCTGCCTCCCTGCAACTCAACGAGACCCAAGTGAAGATCTGGTTCCAGAACCGCCGAATGAAGCAAAAGAAACGGGAGAAAGAGGGTCTCTTGCCCATCTCTCCGGCCACCCCACCAGGAAACGACGAGAAGGCCGAGGAATTCTCGGAGAAGTCCAGCTCTTCGCCTTGCGTTCCTTCCCCGGGGTCTTCTACTTCAGATACTCTGACTACCTCCCACTGAGGCGGCTCCAGCCCTAGACCACAGCCCAGGCATCTTCTTGGGCTAGGACTTCTTACCCAAAGCACATGCTTAGCTTATCTTTCTTTCCATTTACAATGTCTTTCTTTCTTTCTGATCCTACCTGGGGAGCTCCTGGCCAGGATAATATGTTTGCAGATAATTCTGGACCAGAGACTTGGTGAGGGTTAACACCTTAATCCAGATTGGGTGCCAGCATCAATTTTCTGGTGAGCCTTAACATCCCTCCTGCTTTTAGGAGAATTCACAGAACCTGCTGTTCCTTTCAGGATGTCCTTTTGGAAAATAGTTCCCTTTGCCAACAGAAACATGCCAGAGGGAATCTTCTCATCTTTTTATCTAACTACATGTACAGCTCTTCCCTCCCTTGCCCTTGAAAGTAGGATATAGTGAAAGGAGAGTCCAGGAGCTCACGAAGAAGAGATGCACTATGTGTTTACATAACTAAATCATCCCCTAATTTAATTCAGTTTTGTGTGTGTGAGTTTGCTGGTTGTAAATACTTTGTCCTGAGAGATTTATCTTTATACAGGTTTTCTAGAAATGTTTAGATTAGGTTACCAAAACAGGGTGGGCAGACTCTCAAAACTGGTACAATTTTATATGTGCTTATAGGTGAAAGAACAAATTCCCTCATTTAAACCCAATCAGATGCCTCAGAGGGTAGCCTCAATTTGTTCTTACAGTTCAGGAGGCCTACAGAGCACAAAGTTCAGAAACCAGGCTTCCTGTGCTAAGTCTCTCCTAATCCTTACCCCTTTCTTCTCGGGCCACCCTCCGTTTAAAATTTGTGCTGGGTAATCCAGAACTTAAAAGTATTATTCAAACCAACTTCTTCCTTCCACAGTTATCTTAGCTGGATATGTTGTATTTTCAGCTCAGTTGTTAATGTGATGGATGGCACAATGAATGTATATTTTGTGTGATTCGTGAAATAGTCTTTTGCATGTCGCACAATGTTTGATGTTCCCCAAGTACCACACTGAGTTCTATCAGTTATCCTTTGTGAGCCTATGATATTCCCCATTTCCTGTACAATCATGAACAGCTCTGAGATTCTAGAGTGATATGATCCAGAGCAGAGTTTACGGGTCTTAGGATGTCTGTAATAAATAAATATACTCAAGTTTCAGGTTTGCTTAAGCATCTGTGTATTTGGCTGGGCTACAATTTGTTAATTCCTACATTGGCACATTTCATGTGGGAAAAGGGAGAAGGGTGGTAAATATTTTCAAAGAGATGAGACTTTTCTTGAATAAAAGTTAATGTTTTCCATTATCATGTAGCTGAAACTCCCCCATGAGTATAATTTCCCCTAGCCAATGTATGTTTAATAGGTTGATTCTCTTTAAAATAACAGCTCCTTTATTATAATCAAAGTTCATAATGAAAAAAAAAAAAGACTGGTGTAGAAATTTATGAAGCAGATTTATTTTTGAAACAAACATGGATACTTCCTGGGTCAAGTGCTAACCTTTTCACCTCCAACTGGATGTTGATGTATATATAAACAGAACTCCCTTCAAAAGCCCAAACTGTCTTCAGTCAGTCTTTCCTCGCATCAGTGAACCAAGAGCTAAGATATTCACATTTAATTAGCTCCAGTATAAAGCTGTTGTGAGGATGGGGCCCTCATTCCACTCCTTTTCCTTCTTTTTGGGTTGTCAGGCAGAGTTCCAATATATTCCACCTTTTAAATGTAGTGTTTTTAGTAAACCCTTGCATCCTTCCCCCATTCTTCCTGTCAACATGTATCCCTTCCTGTAGCTCTTCCCCTCCTCTTCCCCATCTCTGGGTTGCACATCTCATTCCCTTCAGACTCAGCTTTGATTTTATAGCCATCACGGCTGTAATGGATCCACAGTTTTATTTCCATGCCACATAACCCAGAAAAAAAAAGTTATTTTCTTCTCTGGGCTCAACAGTTACTTCCAGGTGAACTTGTGGAAGCTACCCTGAAGTCTTTCAATATCCAAGTTGTTTCTGACCATGGCACATATCTGCTCTCAAAAGAGGAAGCCAGCAAATGATAGAGTTCAAAGTGGCTCTCCTCCCAGACCTCTTTATTACTTTCCTTTACTTTCACATATTTTTGGACGCATTTTATTTAGCCCAGCAGTAGAGCAGAAAATTTACAGCATTGAAAACAAACACAGACATATGACTTCCTTCCTCTTCAAAGAGTGTTTTACAAAGGATAGGCTGGAGGAGAAAAACCCTACAGAAACTTGGAATTTGCAGGCCATCTAGAGCATTCGTGAGAATTCCTGCACTGCTCTGTCAAAGGAGAGAAGCCTGAACTTTGCAGGCGCAGTTGCTGCGGCCATATCAAGGGTGCCGGGTGCCCTCCCCTCAGCTGCTGGTTTCTGAGGTTGCCTGTAAAAGACTAAAGTGGTTGGAGAAGAACTTCAAAGACCATCAATCCTTTCTTTCATTTCCTGCTTGGCCTTATACTGTATCTTTTGTTTATTAGTGTAAGGCCACACAGCAAAACAGATGGCTGGTTTCCAAATACTTTAATGTGTTAAAGTGTCATTTGCATGCCACTGGCTCCATTTCAATATCTAAAAGCAGGGCACACTGGAATCCCAGAGATTCGTCTTTACGGTGATTTTAATGCAGCAGAGAGAGAGAACAATAAATTATGGCTAACCATCTCTAGCTTTCTCTAGATCATGGAATAAATCAGTTAACAAGCAATGCATTTAGGAAACATTAATACACCTTTCAACAAGGAAAACATTTGTATCTTTTTAGGTGTCTCAATCGATTAAATCAAAGGCGCTTAACACATCCTATTTCAAGGTCTCTTTTTTTCTGCTTTGGTCTCTGAGCAGTTAGCTACTTGAAAAATGACAGTGATGGTAACTGAAACAACACACAATGGGAAAACTGAAAATAACATTTTATTGATACATTTAAAAAGAAGACAAGGGTCTCAATTAGGCACCTGGGATAATTGTGATATAAAATTCTAGTTTTCTAATGTTTTTTCCTCACTTCCTCTACATTTATCCAGAGTACTCCCCAAATACAGAGTGTCCCCAAACTAGGCTGAGTGGAGGTCTTGCTTTGGCTCTGAAGTCTGCTCTGAGTTTCACCTTTGAAAGTTTACTTTTGGAGGCTATTCAAATGCAGTGGTGTTTTCCTCAGGGGCAATCAGATTCTAACCGATCAATATTTACTCAGTCTGAAAGGGTTGTTGAAAAGGCTGCTAACAACAAACTGCTTAGCTGCTCACCCCTGTTTAATCTCAGGTTCACCGAAAGTTCAAGAAGAGATGAATGCAGTGATGGGTCACTTTAGAATGAGTCCCAGCAGTTTATCTGAGCTCTCAGTTAAAGGCAACAATTATAGTTCCATCCCTCTTTGGGAAAGGGGCAACTTTCCTATTATTCTTTTGCTAAACAATGTTTACTAGAAACTTAAAACACTTTCCTCTCCCCTCCTGGTTCTTTTCTTTTCTTCCTTGTTTTTTCTTTTTTTGGAAGCGTCCAGCTGCCCTTTCTGCCCCCTCTTCTAGTTTTCTGCTAATCTATTAGGTTTCATTTGACTTTAAATAAATTACATCAAATATTTTTAAAATGTTAAATTAGTCTGACAGAAAAGATCTGATTTATTTCAGGTGCCACGAGCTATGAAATGAAGCTCTTTGGGCCGTGAGAGTTTATCTTTGTGAAAGTACAGAGCAAGATTGAATTGAAATCCATTTGTGTTTGAGTAATATTGACAATCAGAGCCCCAATATCAATCTGAGATGGCTGTTGAGACAGGAGTGGGAAAAGGGGGAGGGAGAATTGGCTTGCACAGAAGCAAATACCTCGGGTGGAAAGTCAACTTTAAAATTTTACGCCTTCCTAATGCATGAACTATTGAGAGATGGAAAAGGAAGACCTAAGGAAGCCAGTGGGGAATGGTGAGTAGAAGATGCTAGACACTGAAGCTAATTGCTACAGCTCTTCAGAGGTCAAAGTTCATGTAATCACTGCATAAATGCATACTAAATAGGGATTTATTAAGCTTTCCTGATGGCTGAGCACGTCTGTGAAAAATGGTCACTGCTGTTTGTGTTTCGTCCTTAAGAATAATCATTCTTAAAGTGGGCATTTCAGGCTTTAATTTATTTTGAGAGACAGGCAACATCTCTGCTTAAAAATTTTGAAATTAGTGCATGAACAGCATCTTTCTTTATATTGATTGGATGGGGCTGTAAAATACCTCTCTCACGCTTAGAAGCGCTACGGCTTTTTCAGTACACACAAGAACACACATTAGCATGCCACTATTGGATAAGCTAGTCACTGGTCAACTTTGGTGACCCTCTGCCTTAGATAAGTCTGCTTTGTGCCTGCAATTCTGACAACACAGAAAAATTCTGCCTTAGGACTCCTTGTGCCTAAATGACCAGACTTGAATGGGATCCATATCCCTAATCTCTTACTCTATGGATCAGAAAAAGGCCCCCAGAGGGGGATTGGTTTAACTGAGAGCACAGTCAGCATCCATACTCTTACTTCCTAACCAAAAAACAGGGCAGCTTAGAACCTGAGTCCAGTGCACTTTTAAATTCTAAAATCCTGATTCGATTTTGTCCCTCCTTGATGTATTCTATGCAATTTATTTCAGGCTAGATATGATTTATTTTTTCTATTTCTGTTTTACTGACCACTCACTCAGCCAAGTACTTGACTTTGGGACTACCAAATCTTTGAAACCATCTCTGAGTCGAATACTTCTGCCTTCTTTGAGTAATAGAATGTGCTACTTACGTTTAAAGACACATGTTCTTCAAATATAAAATAGAAATCTAGAGGGCAGGTAAAGTTCAACAAACACATATATTTTTATTTTTAAAGTTAGATGGGAAAGAACAAATGAAAGAGGAGCTGCCTACACACAAGTTCAACCTCCATTAAATTGTCAAGAAGTATCATTTAGAAAGGGCTTCAATATGCAAGGGACATTCCAGGAGGGGTTATAACTCTGAAACTTTTAAAAATGTGTTTGCTTTTTCTGGCTAGTTTGTAGCGCAGCATACCTCCTAAATTGTTTTGACTCATATTTCTTAATTTTTTCCAAGGCTGACTCATTACCTAACACACACTCGCCCCACGAAGCCAGACGATTAACATAAAGTTTCCTTGCAATACAACTTTCCACATTCTCCTCCATCTCATTGCCATGGGATCCTACTGATCTCAGCAGAACCTGTTGCCCAAAGGGACATCAATGGTTGTCAGTGTTTGAAGAGCTAAGCTGGAATCCTCAGCGTTTTAGTGCCTTATTTTTAACACCACCAGCCATCAGATACAGCTGACCTTCGATTGCAGAACTACAAACAAAAAATCAATTAAACAAGTACGTTCAGTTGGCGCTAGTCTCTAAACACCTTTGTTCCCCACCCCCCACCCTCATCTTGTCCTCAAAACATCCTTAAATGACTGCATTTTTAGTTTATTGGAAATAAATGAAAAGACAAATGTCTCTTTTCCAACGTGTTCAGACACAACTAAAACACGTGTCCCCATTTTTTAATCAGCTCATTAAATTTTACTCTTGTATTAAAAACGTGTTGGTAAAACGTCTAGTCACGAGGCTCATCTACAGAAATCAGATTGTTTTGTATTTTCATTTAGGCTTGTGTGGTTAATTGGTTGGGAAAAAATACACTAATACTTGCAACAGAAAATAAAACATATTTAGCGTCTTTTGTTTCCTTTTCAAACTGAGACACTTTTTAGCCACGTTGGACATTTTTACGATTTACGACCCACTGCGTTCTAACTCGCCACAGAACCGTAACAAGAATGCAGAAAGCCACGATTTAAAAAGGTACCCCCCACAACCTCCAACCACCGAAATACCAGCAACACGGTTCTGGCTAAGTATGCACGGGAATTTTCCTATTCTGAGGAAAAAATGGGGTCCTTCCTTGAGGACACGCAGGGGACAGCTGTCCAAGGCTTGGAAGAGGTCGGTTCGGGCGATTGAGTCGCTCCGGCAGCGGCTGCCGGCGGGAACTCCCGGCTCTGCCTGGGCGGCAGGGAGCGGGCGGCCGGGCCGAGGGAACTGCCGGAGGAGATGCCGTGGCCTTGCGGGGATGCAGGGGAGCCCCGAAGCCGAGAT